CCAATGTATTGACATGAGATGGCCCGGTCCAGACGCAATTGGCCAATCTCAGCTTCGTGTACGGAGTACGATAAAATGGTTCATGTATTATTCCTACTCACATGTACGAGTACACAGGACTATCTGCTATGTGAATACTAATCACTTCCAGGTAAATACATTAGTGTTGTACTGTTACTGTACATCAAAGAGCCAGCCAACCACCGTCAATATTGCCTGAAACGCACACGCAATTGCAAATCGAGGGGCGCAGGCAGCATACAGTACCGTACCGTATCCCCTCGTCATAATACCGGGAGAATTCACTAGAGGCCCGGAATTTGCGGGCAAATCTTGAATATTACACTTGTGTTACACACCTAGTACATCTGTAGTACACTCTCAGTACACACACAATAATCTGTCAGCCTTCAGCCTTCTTCTCTCTGTCGGCCCCCCCTTCTACCTCCACCTCCTTTTTACCCTCCTTCATCACTTCTTCATCCATCTCTAGAGTCGTTCATTATCTCTTAAAACTGCCCGAATCCTCTTTGTCACTTTATTCGTCCGGGTGGGGGATGATCCGCTACCCAATCTTCGACCTCGCTCCACATCAGTCTTTTCCACCGTCATACACCCCAATCACCGCAATCGACCCATGAACCCTTCGGTCCTCACCTCATCAAACCCGCTACACTCCCTACCCAGCTATACACAGCTCTGAAGTTTCCACCATGCGTTGGCGGCTGCCGGGCGGCCGTTCGACCCTCCCCGCCAGCGTCGCCCTCCTCCTACTCCCAACTCTGGTCGCTCCGCAGCAGCAACCAGAGCTCCATGACTCGGCTTCAGCCTCTCGAGTCTCCGTGCCCCTAGCGGCCGGGACAGAAACAACACACCATGCGGCCACTATCGCCGCTCCTCCCATCGTCAAATCCAACGATGCGAGCGCCCTGGCAACTCTGGCTCTGGCGGGCTCTGGCCGCGCCGTTCGAGCCCCTCCTAGCCAGGCCAGCACCTCTGCCGGCCTGGTTTCGCAGCTTAACGCGCGGTCCTTGCAGGACTGGGAGGTCGAGGACTTTGTCTTGATGGCGACCGTCGACGGAACCATTCACGCCCGAGACCGGAAGACCGGTTCTCCCCGCTGGGCCCTGGAGGTTCCCAGCAGCCCCTTGGTGGAAAGTATCTACCACCGGGCTAATCGATCCAGCTCCAGCTTCGACGAGACACATCCGGAGGAGGATTTCCTGTGGATCGTTGAGCCAAGCCAGGATGGTAGCTTATACATCTACAGCCCCGGAGAAAACGCCGGGTTACAGAAACTCGGCCTTACAGTTAAGCAACTAGTCGATGAAACACCCTACTCCGGTTACGAACCTGCAGTGACGTATACCGCCCGCAAAGAAACCACCCTCTACACGATCGATGCTCGGACCGGTAGCATTCTCCGAGTGTTCAGCTCGCGGGGACCGTTCGCCACCAGACATGAGTGCCAGAAAGTCAATGGGCAGGATCTGGACTTGGACGACGAGGAGTGCGAGACAACCTCAGGAACTCTGGTACTGGGTCGTGTCGAATATGCGGTGGCCATTCAGAACACCGAAACCGGTGACCCGATTTGCACGTTGAAGTACTCTGAATGGGCACCGAACAATCGCGATATCGATCTCCAGGGCCAGTACTTCCAAACCATGGACCAAAGCCATATTTACAGCATGTACGATGGTGTTGTCTTGGGATTTGACCACTCTCGCATGGATCGGCCTCGTTATACCCAGCGATTCTCCTCCCCTGTGGCTCGCGTCTTTGACGTTGTCCGCCAGCGGCCTGCCAATAAAGAAACCCAGGATTCATCGAAGCCCTTGGTTCTGCTTTCGCAGCCACTTCAGCCTCCAGATCCAGACTACGCTTCTGATGATCGAGATCAGCGGGTCTTCATCGACTCCACCTCGGCTGGGGGGTGGTTTGCCTTGTCTGAAGAAACATACCCTCTCGTGACGGGCCGTGCCCCGATGGCGCAGTGCTATAATAAAGATTTCTTTCGCAGAGGGCAGCCCCTGATGAGCCTTACCCAACCTCAACAGCGCGACGCGCTTGCTGGTGTTCACTCACTTAGCGGTCCGACAATTGTCCCACCTGTTCCCCGGATCGCCAGCACCCCCGAAGCATCCAACGATACCCCACGGGATGTTCTGCGATCTGAATTGGCGCTGCCCCCTGCCCTGCGGCACAGTACAATCATTCGCAAGAGTTGGGACAATGCGTTGGACATTGTGGTGACAATGATCCTGCTGTTTATCGGCACCTTCATATATTTGAATTCCCACCATATCCGTGACCTTGCCAAGCAGAAACTCGATTTGAAGAATATCATCAACTCCAACGACAAGTCGTTTTCCACTCCTGCTACACCAATTGTTGGTGCGACGCCTGACATCAAGCGAACACCGACTCCCCTTCGAGATGCCACGGCAGGATTAGTGCCGGAAGTCACAATCGACCATGTTGATGTGGATATGAGGAACAACTTCTCTGACAATGATGCCACCCCGCGTCCATCCCGGGATCAGAGCACACCGCCGGAATCTGGGCCTCGTGTGCAAATTCGCGAACCATCTCGTGGTCCCGATGAAGGGGATGACAAGCAAGAAAATGACAAGCCCAAGAAGAAGCGTTCGCGAGGCTCCCGAGGTGGCAAGGCACATCGTCGCAAGGGTGCCAAACCTGCAAGTGAGAACGGAATGAATGAGCAGAACAACCAATTGACGCCCAACGCGTCGATTCATTCAGACCATGGCGTTCCCCTTGCTCGCACCGTGTCAAGCGATGTTGTCGACATGACTGCTGATGGCGTAGTTCGCATTGGACGATTGGAAGTGTACACCGATGTTGTGCTGGGCCATGGTAGCCACGGCACCGTTGTCTACCGGGGTGTCTTCGATGGTCGAAATGTCGCAATCAAGAGAATGCTCATGGAATTCTACGACATTGCCTCCCACGAAGTTGGATTGCTGCAGGAGAGTGATGATCACCATAATGTCATTCGCTACTTCTGTCGTGAGCAAGCCGCAGGTTTTCTGTACATTGGCTTGGAACTCTGCCCCGCTTCTCTCCAGGATATCATTGAACGACCTTCCCAATTCCCCGAGTTGATCCAAAGCGGTCTCGATATGCCTGATGTTCTCCGCCAAATCACACAGGGCGTGCGTTATCTTCACTCCCTCAAGATCGTGCACCGTGATCTCAAACCCCAGAATATCCTAGTGGCCATGCCCCGTGGTCGAATGGCGGCCTCGAAGACTACCGCACGGGCTCTCCGCCTTCTCATCTCCGACTTCGGTCTATGCAAGAAGTTAGAAGACAATCAAAGCTCCTTCCGAGCGACCACCGCCCACGCCGCTGGTACCTCCGGCTGGCGTGCCCCGGAGCTCCTTGTGGATGATGACGCCGGCCCCCTGGTCCAAAACATTGAGTCGCAGCATACCGAAACGTCCGAGCCAGCTGTGGTTGACCCGCAGACCAACCGCCGCGCCACCCGGGCCATCGATATCTTCTCCTTGGGATGTGTTTTCTACTACGTCCTTACTCGTGGTGGCCATCCTTTCGACAAGAACGGCAAGTTCATGCGCGAGGCAAATATCGTCAAGGGCTACTTCGATCTCGAGGAACTAGATCGTCTTGGCGACTATGCCTTTGAAGCCAAGGATCTTATCAGTTCTATGTTGTCACTTGATCCACGCCACCGGTACGTTTTTCCTCCAATGACCCCGCATGCTGTATCTATTTTACTAACTCCCAACCAGCCCGGACGCAAGCGGCGTCCTTACTCATCCATTCTTCTGGCCGCCATCTGACAGGCTAAGCTTCCTTTGCGACGTCTCAGATCACTTCGAATTCGAGTCCCGGGAGCCCCCATCCGAAGCACTCCTCTGCCTCGAATCTGTCGCACGAGAAGTCATCGGTCCGGAAATGGATTTCCTCAAGCTCCTACCACGAGACTTCAAGGATAACCTCGGCAAGCAGCGCAAGTACACGGGCTCCCGGATGCTGGACCTGCTCCGCGCGCTACGGAATAAAAAGAACCACTACAATGATATGCCGGATCAATTGAAGATGCATATCGGTGGGTTGCCGGAGGGGTATTTGAATTTCTGGACCGTGAGGTTTCCCAGTTTGTTGATGTGTTGTCATTGGGTTGTTGTTGATCTTGGGTTGACGGATACCGATCGTTTCCATCGTTATTTCTCGTCGCCGGATGAGTAGTGAGTGGGCGGTGCGTGATAATAGATAGAACTTGGTGATAGGGTACATAGATGTTTACTTGGTTGACATAGTTGTACTATCTATTTGAATTCACTGGTCATGGTCAATTGCATACTTCTGAATTTCATTCTAGTTACTTGTAGCATTTGGCACTTCTTGCACTTATCCATCCCCTTGAGCAGTAGCTAGTACTCAATAGCCACCTCAATAGCCACACCTCCATGTCAAGGTTGGCCCCCTGCCGGGACCTCACCTAGGCCGCGCCAGTGATGGATTGGGGGTCGCTCGGGGGCAGCTACCCCAAGGCCCCGGGCTGCCACCCCCAGGGCGAGGGCCCAAGGTCCCATTCACTGGGTACTAGCACTAGTACTAGTAATACAGTATCAGTATCTTCCTTCACTTATATTTCACATCCATTCTCTGTCACACTCTTGACTTGTTACTATGTTACTAACCAATTATTCCTCCTTCGAACCTCCAACAATCCCCATGGCAGCCTCTGGCAGCTAATGTTTGCATATCTTCCAGTTGACAAGTGATGGAGTGCTGCCTGAGGCCGCCAAGAACCACCGCGGCTCCGCGCAACTCCCCGTTACTTTTTTCTTACCCTTCACCACCTCACCTCCCAACCTGCCCCCTACCGCAATCCGGTTTGTATCACCAATTCTCTCAGAGGTGTTGCGACTCTGAGAGATATTTGAGTTTTACTTCCCCAACCGCGACGCCAACTGTACCACAATTTCGTTCGGCCGTTCGCAAACATGGTTCTCCTGCGTTTGGAGGTGAGGGTCTTCCCCAAGGAACCTGCGCCAACCCTCTCTTCTGAACGTGGCGGCCCAAATACGAGTGTTTTCTCTCGGTTAATCGGAAATGGAGTTGGCAACTGCAACAAAGAGCCCGAGCAGAATGGTGACCGGGCTGACAGCTACGACCTGGGCGAAGCGAACCCGGCCAAGCAATACGCCTCGTTCCTTTTGCTGCTCAGAAACTCGGATGATCTCACATTAGCGGATCTTGCTCGCAGAATTTGTGATGAATGGGCGACCTTCCGATCCGACCAAGAGTGAGCTCTGACCCAACGCCCTACTGAATAGCATGCCATTTTGCTAATCTGATGGACAGACCTCTAGAAATCAAGAAACTACTCGACGATGCGAATCCTACCGTTGACCTCAGCCTATCAATGACGGTTGCCGATGTATTTCTCGATGTTGGCAAAGCATTCTCCGACGGCCACGACCAGCGAGCGATTGTCCGCGTGATACAAAAGCCCGCCAGGCACGCGCCCCAGCGCTTTTCCTCGGTTGTCCAGGATTGGGACGGTGCGGTGAATAAGGCCTATCAATATAATTCACGTGTGGGAAACCAATTCAGCCCAATTGCGGAAGAAGAATATGCTCCCGCTTCGGCGCAAAAGTCCCCAGCTGGACAGCGATCTCACGATGCGCCCCTCCCCTCTGTCGAAATCCAGTCTAAATACCATCGAGACGAGGCAATTCCTGGCACTCCACCAATTCGGAGCTCGGGCAGTGAGGAACTTGGCGACTCACCAAGTCCTGAGCAAGGCCGCAGGTCTAAGAAGCGCAAACCCAGCCCGGGTGAGAACGGACCAGTCAAGCAGCGCCGAGTTGGTGAAGAACAGCTGGAGGCTACGGAGCCCAGCCTCACCAGTCCCCAGAGGAAGCGCGTTAATGTGCCCACCTTTGCGAGTCCGCATCGGAGAGCTAGCCTGTCTGAGCGCCAAGTTCCGAACAACAGTATTGGGCTAGGTGTTACCAAGAGTCCGCTATTTAAGAAGCCTGCGAAACCCTATACTCCCTCCAGTCAGAACCCCGGGCCCATGTCTACTCCACCAAATGCACCGACTCCATCCGGAAGCATGCTTCCACCCTCTGCAATGCGCAAGTCATCTCCAGCAAGCATCAATTCGGAGAAGAGACGATCTGTTTCCATCAATAAACAACCGATCCTTAATTCTCAACCTACCCCGCAAGTTAGCTCCTCGAAGGCCAAGACGCCTCGAATGAAGGATCCAAAGCCTGCTGATAAAAATCCAGCTTCTGGTTCAAAGAGGTCCTCGAATATCCCGCCCAGTAGCAACACGTCAACCCCTATGACACAGGAGGAGCGAAAGCAGGAGGAGCGAGAAAAGCAGTTTGCTCGCGTCCAAAAGGAGGTTATGGAAAAGATAAGCCTCAAGAAGAAACTAAATGATCCAACCACTAAACCTAAGGTCATATCGATTGTGAAGGAAATGCTCGATATATTCGCACAAGTGGATGATAAAAAGAGTAGTGGCGAGGACCAATCTACGCGTCCTATCAACAGACTAAAGAGGAAGCTTTCTCCCCTCAGGAAGAGACTCATTGCTGCCGAGGCTGAACCTGCCGCGGACGCCCAGGAGACAGAGACATCAGAGTCTCAAGAAGAAGAGCCTGAGCCTGAGCCTTCGTTGCCCGCAGCTGATGCTAGGGTTACCAGCTCCGTGAATTTCACCCCTACCGCTCCAACTAATCCAAACCAAGCACCAACTTGGTCGTTCGATAAGGTTGCATCTTCTTCTACGCAAAAGCCAGTGACCCGTCGAGAATCTCAAAGCCCGCGACGCAGACGTTCAAGGTCTTCGGCAACTGGTTCCCAAGCATCCCCGCCCAAGCAGTTGCCCATCATTCGCCCGAGCCGGTCTCCTTCCGTTGTGGTTTATAAATCACCTAGACGAGGATCTCAGTCTGGATCTGTCAACAATAAGGCTCCCATTAAGCCACAGCCCCCCGTTGAAAATACCGATACCGATATGGAGATGAAAGATACGGACGAGAACGATGAGGTCGCGACTGAGGTGGCTACTCAGGAGACTGCCCAGGAAGCTACTATGGACGCTACTCCAGAACAAACCGAGGAGGTGACTGGAAATGTGAACGAGGAAGCGACTGAGGAAGCAGGCAAAGAGTCCAACAACGAAGCTGAGCACCCGGTTATCGACGATGCCAACCAGGTCGAAAAACAGGATAACGAAAGTGATTCAGATGAAGTTGCTGAAAATGATCTGACGGCGGACGCGGAAATGACCGATGACAGAGAAGAATATCCAGAGGTTGCTACAAATGGGCTTATTGATGATGTGGCCATGGAAGATGAGGAGGAGAAAGAGGAGGGGGGAGGAGGAGGAGGAGGAGGAGGATGATGATGATGAAGATGAAGAAGACCCCGAGGATGAGGATATGGATGGCTTTATCGATGATGAGCCCGAGGAGTCAGAAGATGAAGAAGTATACGAAGATGCCAAAGATCACGAAGGATCTGGCGAAGATGTTGCGAATGAAATCGTTGATGCCCAGCCGGAGGAGTCGGATGAGAGCAACGATCAGCTTGCAGCTCAACTTAATGAGAACAAAGAATCTGGAGTGGAGAGCACAGAAGTGCCAAAGGGAAATTTGGAGGCGACCTCGAAGGGTAAAGCTGAATCTGAGGATGAATCATCGAAGAGCGACGAATCCGAGTCCGAATCCGAGTCCGAATTAGAGTAAGTTTACAATCACTGATCTTTGAGGCAGCCAGTCCTCACTAATTATCGTCTAGGTTGCCTTCCCCGCGCAGGTCTAACAGAAAACAACCAAATACTCCCAAGCCGGCTGCCCCAGGATTCCAATCTACTCAGAAGCTGCCCTCCTCCCAGCCGAAATCAGCCCCTAAGACTACCCTCAAGAGTCTCTTGCAAGCTGCCAAGCAAGAGTCAACGCGCCAGCAAAAGCCAGCTCCAGCTCCAGCCATCGCAGCCAAGCCCAGGACTTCTTCGGCTTCAAAGCCCAAATCCAGCGTGTGGGAAGTACCATCCTCAGATGATGAGAGCAATGATAGCGACGACAGCGAACAGGGTGATATTCTCCCCAATGGTGATTCCCGCAAGCCGCGAAAGCCTTACTCACTACGGGGTTAGGTAGGTTTTGGGCCTTTATGTGAAGTGATTGAATCGAAGCAAAGCAGAGCATAGCAAGCAAAAGTGCCACATGGCTTTTGCTGTGCGGCGGTCTCATTCGATTTTCAGCGATGCTATTTCTGTTTGATATCCCCCTTTCTGATTTCTGACTACGATCCATTGTTTGATAGAACGGACAGTTGTGGTCTGTTGCTTGTACCATACCATGTCACTTCTCTCTCTCTCTCTCTCTCTCTCTCTCTCTCTCTCTCTCTCTCTCTCTCTCTCTCTATCTTGTCCTGCCCCGCTGTGCTACATCGAATGGCTATAGGGATGGATTGTTGTATTGCACTGCACTGCACTGCACTGCACTGTTACAGATAAGGTGACCTATCTCATGATTAAATGACTCCAGTACAGAGGACTCGGTTTAAGTAGCCAGGTTGCATATCTAATGAACATCATCATTTACTTCTAGTTATCAAATTTGCCTTTCACCAGCACCCAAAGAAAGGTAAGCGGTGTCAAGACTGTAGAAATACGAGGCAGCTAATAGAACGGCCCATCTTAAGGAACATGCCGTAGGAAGGGAGATCATTGTTTAATGGTGAAAAAGGCATAACTCCAGGAACAATTCAATACAACTGATTCTTGTCTAAAATAGTGATCCCAGTGTCCTTTTCAAGGTACATTCGCACCACTGTCCACCTTTTCGACATTGCCTTCCTCCAACCACTGCTTCGGAGGGGCCTGGACTTCGTAATTCCAGTTCATGTCATCTGCAATGCCACCGGACTGGATCCCCCGAAGCGTCTGCAAGAGTTTGACGCACACCTCACCACCCTCACCCTTCTCGCCAGATTGATATTCAAACTTCTCCCCGCGAGAGCGCATCGTGATACTCCGCACCGGCACCAGTGCCGCTGCCGTACCAGCAGCAAAGACCTCATCAAACTGGCCCAGCTCCTCATATCCAACCCGGCGCTTTTCCACCTTATACCCCAGCTTTCGCGCAATGTCCGCAACAGACGCCGCGGTGACCGAATCAATCGCGTTCCGGCTATCGGGCTGTACAATAGTCACGACGTCCCCATCACGCCTCACGCCTGCAAAAGCCGAAGTTGAGAACTCATCAATCTCACTGCGCGTCGCACTATCCAAATGCAGCGTGATCCCGAACCCCTCATTCCGAGCCTTATCACTATGCCGCAGCACAGGCGCATAATTCCCACCGACCTTGGCATCACCCGTACCATGCGGCGCAGACCGGTCAAAATCCTCCAATATCAACGCATCAACCGCATGCGCCCCGTGATAAACCCCCGTGGGCATCACGAATACCGCCAACGTATATCCATCCGGGGGACTAAGTCCCAATTGGGCGGAGGAACCGAAAAGCAGCGGACGCACATACATGGCGGCGCCGGACTCATGCGGAGGGACAAACTCGGCATTGGCGCCCACTGCCAGGGCCACGCATTCCTGGAAGAGATCTTCGGGGACGGGCGGGATGGAGACCACGGCTGCAGAGTGCTGCATGCGTTTTGCGTTGCGGTCGGGTCGGAAGATGGTTATTTTGCTGTTGCCGGCGTGGCGGAAAGCTTTGAGACCTTCGTAGACTTGTTGGCCGTAGTTAAGACCGGGGGCCATGCCGTGGATGTTGAGGAAGGGGGAGGCCACAAAGCGTGGACGTGACCATTGGCCGTTGCCGGAGGTAGAGAAGTGGCATTCTACATGACCGTTGACTGGGGGGATGAGGTTAGCTGGGGGTGAAATGGTAATGGAGTAGATTTGACTTACCATCGCGCACTTTGAAGCCAATATCGTTCCAGTCTAGAGCGGCGGGTGGTGGGGGAAACATTGCGGGGGTGGATCAAGCGGGGTGGGGCGATGAGTTGGAAGAAGGGGGAAATGAGAAGTGAGAAGGGAGAAGGGAGAAGGGAGAAGGGAGAAGGGCAATTGGTATATATATGGGATAGCAAAATGGCAGGGCAATGGAGAGGAGGAGAGGAAGAATCGGAGAGAAAGACGAGAGAAAAGAAAAAAGAAAAGGAGGGGCAGATGACCAAAGCCGATGCTGACGAAATGCACTGGCTGTTTTGGGTCAGTCAAGTCAGCACTGGCAGAGTATAGTTCGAATACTACTAGTAGATGCAATGGAGTATTAAGTATTATCTAAGACTAGATTACTAGTATTTTAAGCATTAGTATTACTAGTACTACTACTACTAGTATTTTCTATCCTGCCCTGAAGTTGCTTGAACCTATGATAGACTCGGATTCGGAAGATATAACTTGAACAAGACGCCACCATAGTGTTCGAGTTTTCATTTCTGCTATACATTGATTTCAAGGTTGTTCAAGTTCCAAGTTCATACATGCAGCCTCTTATTCCCCGCTCATCCCCCACTAGAGTATCCGCCGGATTCCGCTTGATCCACCGGCATGTCGCTGTTGGACTGGAGACGCTCGCTGCGCCCAAATGCCGTTACCAGACACACTTTCAATCCTCCGGGCACTTTGTGCTGTGAAAACTTCTGATAGTGATCCGCAATATTTTCGAACTCATCCTCAAAGGTGAACATCCACGAGGGATCTACCTTTCCCTGAACCACGAGGTCCATCAAGAACGGGTGATACTGTGTGAATATTGTGAATATGGTGAATGCACTGGGCAACCTGGATAGTAGATGGACTACTATATATGCCGATTCATGGGATACTAGTATGACACACCTTCTGCGGTCCTGACTGACCTCCACGCAAAGTCAGTGCCTTCTGCATCAACGGTCCAATCGGAAAGTCATGAGATGTGAAGAATAGATCCCCGACCAGTGCAACATTCCCTCCCTTCCGAGTCGCCTTGATGATAGATCCCACCGTGTCACTGCTATCACGTTGCAGTCCCATAGTCCGTAATGCTGTATGAGGCGATTTGGTCGGACTGCGAAATCCGCTCGCCTCAATGGCTCGATCAAGGCCCTGCGGCTGAATCGAGAGAATGTAATCACCCACATCCGGATGCTCCTTGATATTAATCGGGATCATACCAAAGTCTTCCGCCTGCTTCAATCGCTGTGGATCTCGATCCATTCCATACACCTTCTTTGCACCCCGAAGCTTGGCCAGTCGCTGTGCAGATAGACCGACTGGTCCACAGCCCCAGACCCCTACGACATCCCCGGATTGTGCCTCCGCGAGCTCGAGGGCATGCCAGGCGGTAGTCACCACATTGGCGAGTCCAAGAATCTTTCGGGCATCAATATCCCGGGTAGCTTTGACGCATGTTAGATCTGCGTTGGGCACTCGACAGTACTCAGCCTGATCACCGAGATATCCGCCGCAGAGTCGGCTGTAGCCCAAGATTCCGGACATCCGGTGGCCATATAGGGCCTCCATTTCCGATGAAGGGTTGGTGATATCACAAAGTGAGTATTCCTCGCGCATGCAGTAGTCGCATTTTCCACAGGCAACAACGGGGAGGATGATGACTCGGTCACCTTTTTTGAGCGATTTGACCTCTGGTCCAACTTCTTCAACAACACCAATAGCTTCTTGACCTAGAATGTCTCCCTTTTCCATTTGGTCGTTTAGCTCGCCTTCGTAGAGGTGGATGTCCGAGCCGCATATGGTACAATGTGTGATTTGAACAATGGCATCGTTGGGGTCTGTGATCATGGGCTTGGGGACGAGTTCGACTTCGACATCGCGAGTGCCCATCCACCGCGCGGCTTTCATTTTGTTCGTAGGATGAGGTGCATACTCGATGCGTGTGATCGGGCTGTTTTATCGTGAGCCATCATCCCATCCCGACGGGGTAATGCATATACCTTGGTAATACTGCTGCTGCCATGTTGATCAATGATATTCATGCCAATAAATGGGTAGTTGCATCGATTGAGAGGTCTCAAAACCCTTCAAGAAAACCGCCCACCTAGATTTAGGATCACAAACAATGTGGGAGAAGCCTTGCCACAGCGCATGGTCTGATATCGGTATGATGGCGGTGAATATGTTCTGAGGCGAGTGGCGGAGACCCATGGGATGGCGTTGGATCGTCTTTAGACCGGGCCTCTGCTGATGGAAGCCTGGAAATCATTACCGGGTAGAATAATTAGTAAATCAATCTGAAGTTGACCCATCTACCGGGTCTTATAACTATTGGGGACTTGAGCATACGTGATGAGAGACAAACACGGTGTCGAGCCTACTCTGTGATTTCTTTCAAGCTGATATCAACCTAGAGTCTGCTACTAATACCGGGTGCGAAGTTACTTCCATGGCCTTGCCCAAGTGTTTCCACTATCCGGTCCACGCTTTCTAGAAGCCACACACTCCCGTCATCAGTAGCCAGCCAACACACACCTCCAGTATCATCTTTTACTTCATCTTGGAAATTCTCATCTTCGAATGCCTTTCGAAGTCCATATACGTGAGATAAAAGCTGTGGCCCAACCCCGGTTTGCGCTCGTAGACAAGCGATGCCCACTATGGAAGTCAAGACTCTGCCAACTTTAACCGGGATAGCCCCCGGCTGCGTTGGCGGGTCTGAGAAGAGGTTTCCATATTCACTTTCCACGATATGCACTGGAAGGTCTGGGTGGGCCTTGCTTAGCTTATCATAGAGCTTAGACTCAAAGGGATAGTAGACAGATTTCCAGAGAGTTTGGCCACGCGAAGATACCATGTCGATGTTCTGCCGGGTTAGAGATCTGTTTTAAATGGATAAGTATCTCAATCCAGGAGGTTCATTTCCAAACATACCGACGTGGCTTGGTAGATAGATTTTGAGCTATACTCTGAGGCAGCGTGGCGTGAAACTCATTGAGACAGTTGATGGTCCGGGGAATCTACTTCCAGTCAGTCTCATGCCACATAGAAATGTCTACGGGTAGTAATGCTTACGCCATTGAATCCAAGACATTTCAAACCAATTTCCCTGACCAGCTCTGCAAGGAGGACCCTTTCGCTGTGCGGCTTTGATCCTGAAACCTGATCAAAAAGCTGATGTAAGGATTCTGGGGAATTCATCGTCATCGTTGCCGCGGCCTTTTTTGAGTAGGAAGCGTGAGCACTAATATTCCCTCTTTCTTTGAGACTAAGTATCTTCTTACTGCGGCAGTAAACCATGGCTCAAGCCCTATGCCGCGGTATTGGGCGTCTTTCGCGATTGCTTGATACACGGGCAAGGCGTGTGAAGGCGCAGGAACGGTTCCTGGTCGGGCGTATGGCGCGTTGATTAGAGACTTAAGCGTCGAGGATAACTTGGACATGATTTAAACTAAAAAAAGCGAGATCAAGTTTTATGCGATCTTCGGATGTTGTCAAACAAAAAACTGCCAGTGGAATGCGCGATCTTTCAAGTCGAGCTTATATCTTGAAGCTGTTTGCATTCGAGTTCATTGGCCATGTTGAAACGCGGGGTTATGCCCCCCCCCCCCGCTTTGTACCAACTGGCTTACTAGAGGGTTCTCCGCATTTTAACTGGTAATGCCATACTGCACTATTCTCTCGGACGAAAGAGACGTTCAGCACTCAAATATTTTACCGAAGGTCGCTAGCAACTGGCGTGCTTAGCAAATCCAGGGCTCACCCACCATGACGGAAGTACCCTGGTATCCTTCCCGAGTCGTCATGCGAAATCAAAGGGCATTTTCCGGATTCAGATGGGACCTTGCAGTGTGATACGGCAATACCCGCGCCGATCTTTCTTAGTGATAGTAAGACCAATGGAACACCTTGAAATATTTCGAAAATATGAGCAAACGTCACCAAACTTCAAGTTGATACGGACAAACCCTGGGCCTTCGATAGTTTTTTCCTAAAGCTACCAGTAGGGGTGAATAGAGTTTTCAAAAAGCTTTATTTCAGTAAGATCAGCCTTACGTGTTATTGGATTATCCTTTGGCAAGCCTATGATGTAGCGTTCGGGACTGTGTTAGGGAATGATGTCTCCGAGTCCGTGAAAGAAACTAGAATTAGTATTTTAGTACGAAATCCTTAATGTCGTTTTTGATATCGGTCGGTAATTTGATAACTTGCATGCTGGGATTGAAGTGCATTGAAAAGGCGAATATTCATTCCACTGGCGCGGATAAAATATTTTCAAGGGACATATTACGGAAAAGGAAGATCAAATGTGGCGACAACCTCGTGCGAAAATCTAGATTTTCCCAAATTATCGAGACGAGAATGGAGCGCCCAGCGTCCCTGCAATTTCAAAATTCGACGGTGTAATGTAAGAGCTAAGCTTCAAGTTGTGGAGACGGCCTGTCACTGTAGGATATCGAAACTGTTACCCTTTTCGGTATAGTGGGTCCAGCAGCCACCATGGAGCTCGGCAACGCCAGGACCCTTATCCAATCAATCACAGAGCGACTATGGAGTATGCTGGAACCAATAGTAGGCTAAGCCTCTCTGCAGATGGACGCTGACCTGCGCTCTTCTCGGTATGACTTTCGATCTGAAAACAAGCTCCAAAAGGCCGCTATTTTAGGCAGTGGGGGCTGCGGCTCGCAGGTTAAGGCTTATTTTCTAGCTTTTTTTTTCGCTCGTTATGATCTCCTCGTTGGGAAGGCGACAGTGGATATTGTGGCTGGAGGCGCTTCGCAGCTTATTACGAAAAGTAGAAGTGAATCAAGTAGATGGAAAAAATTATTTGAAGTTGAGTACATATAAAACACTTCAAGTTCAACTGCCAGTGTCCATAACATCCAGACATCTATTCTCTACAGCTCATCAAAGAACTCGTTGACTTCAAGATTCAAGCTCTCAAATCAGCAATGACTGCTACTGCCGAGCACCTTGCTATTGCGGAGCTGGTAGTTTACATACCGATTTTACTCCTTGCGATATTTGTGGTCTTCCGCCATGGCTTTTACAAACAACTGGGATGGATTTATCTCTGCATATTCGGCGCAATTCGTGTTGTGGGCTCCATCATGGAGATCTTAAGTGTCAAGAACCCCGACAACTCGAGTGATAAAGAGTGGGCGACGATTCTTCAATCTGTTGGCCTTTCCCCCCTACTGTTATCCACTTTGGGTCTTCTGAAGAGAGTGTGAGTGAATTCCTTAACTTCATAATCATAAATATGAAAGAATTTAGTTCTAATTTTATCAATAGGTTTGATGAGACATCTGACCGGGTTCCATCTGACCCCCTATCAACGAAGAATATACTCCTACAGATCGTGAGTTTATTCTCCGGTGTTTTCGGGATCTTTGGCAAACTGTAAGTTCAAATCTGTCATAATTTCTCTCTGAGGCATCTCATTAATTTGTGTTTCCCCTTCTAGCTTCTCCATTTACAACAAAAAGGCAACCGCCGTTTCCTATCGCAGCAAAGTCGTCCAGCTCCTCCATATCCCAGCCTTCATTGCCCTCATCTTGGCAATTAGTGGTGGCTCCGATGAAGCATCAGCCGACGAGTCCGATCGCGCCAGCGGCAAAAGTGAAGTCCGCGCCGCTATCATAATGTTCCTCCTCATCTATATCGCCACCTGCATCTTGTGGGTAATCACTGTGCGCGATTTGGGCAAGATGCAAAGTAGCCAGAAGCGCATTTTTCTCTGTGTCTTTCTTGCGCTACCCCTCATCGCCGTCCGTTTGCTGTACAGCCTGATCAGCGATTTTGGGAACAATCCGAAATTCTCACTCATTGATGGGAATATTACTATTCAGATCGTCATGGCAACTCTCGAGGAGTTTGCAGTCGTCTTCCTGTATACGGTGCTCGGTCTGATTACCCCTCGATCGACCATTCATCCGGCCGTTGGGGGTGGCGTTGTCCCCCCCTGTGCTGTATCCCCTGGTCAATGAGGTGGGTGATCAGCGCCAGCAACGAGATTCTGATACGCAACATAAAGATCTCTCGGACGCCGAAGCTGGGGCTCAGTATGCGTATAACCATAACCAGCGACAACAACGGCAACACCGAGAGCACCGAGAGCAGCGACAACAGCACTACTCCCAGTAAAATAGATTTGGTCTGGGAGTTGGAACAAAGTGAAGGCTATTGGACTATGAGGACAGGATTTTGCATTGGTTGAGGAGGTTGGGGTAGGCGTTCCGTAGATTTCACTGAATTTTGCCTTTTTAATAGTTATGATTCAGAATTCGCGACTTGGAGTATATTGAAGACCAGGCTTGTTCGGAAATGGAGTTTGGTTGCAAATTGTCTTAGATCAAACTTGATTGTCTTTTATTATCCCTTTCGTCTATAAATTAAATTTTAAAACTACCTTACTACCTTTTGCTGAGAAAGTTTTAGACCGAGATAGGGGATCCAAGCTCAGGTGTCAACCAGGCCCGAGAGCCACTGCCGTTTCGTAGCAGCTTTCCCATGGCTAAGGCTTGATTTATTCCCATCGAATGCCCAATTTTGTCAAAGCAGGCCGTAATCCAATTGCGGAGCTCAGGCGATGCGAGCCCGGAGTTTGCAGCAATTAGGAGTGGCCAAACCAACGTCAAGCCGCCCGCTCCAGTTATTTTGAAGAGATCTTTAGACATGGTTCCGAACGAGCTTTGATTTGGAGAATTTGATATTGTCGAAAATGAGGAATCCCTGAATGGAGATGAAACCAGGCTCGACGGCCTCTGTTCTCGGCCGCGCGACCACTGCTTTGACGCAACTGAAGTTTTTTCGTGTACGTGGCTCCAGTCCGAGCAATTCGGCGGGGTTGTAGATTCCGAATAGGGCACTGCTATCTCATCCATATCTTCGGCTCCTGCGCCAAGATGGAAGGGGGCACTGGCGCAGATATCCTCCACCAGCTGACGTGCAATTTGACGGCTTTGGTTGGCTAGGTGTTGCCGCTGTATATAGCTTGCTTGATCGGTTGTCGACGAGTCAAGTCCCGCCACGGTGTCGATGATGAGTTCATGAATGAGTATCCGGGACGAGCGATAATTATTCCACATGCTGCTTGCGGCGATGCTGTGGTATACATGGTAGCTGCTCCCCCAAACCATAGGGAGTATTGACTCCCCATCAACCATCGGGACCTCGATTGATTTATAGTTCCATGGGAATGGAACGTTGATGAAAGTCGCCATCAGCTCAGCATCTAGTGTCAGGGCGGTGCGAATTACTTCACTGGGGTCTGTTATGGTCGCATCTTTTAGAGCCGCACAGAAATTACTCAGTCGTATAACTATCAAGCCGAGGTTGTCGAGGACATGATCATTCGTATTTCGATATTGTTTTGCAAGTTCTGTGAGCTCTATGAGACTCGCCGAGCTATACTCCTCTCGGTATATATTGCTAGTACTCTAAATATGAGCATGGTAAGCATCTAGATCTCTCGTTAAACAAAGGCAACGGAGACGGGACTTACAATTTGAGCGCGTAGTTGAGTGAAGAGATCTAAGCCCTCTTGTCGACTGAGCTGATCTGGGCCTCGGAACTCAATCAACTTTGCAGCCCCCTCCATGTGTTTCATCCAGCGGTCGATGAATGAGTCATCAGTGCATGTCACGACCTGCTTTTTATCAGCATCGAGGGTGACGCTAAATTTGGATGTAGCCTTCCGAGTCACTCACTTCGAACATTCCAAGTAAAACTACCGCAGCTAGGATGTCATCTTGCTTAGACATAACTGGGTCTTTCAATGCATAGTTGGTCTGCGACAAAGCAGTGGTATACTCTCGGCGTGCCTTCAGCATCATCTGAGGAGACATTCGAATGTTTGACAGGGCTGCCAAGCCAACTGCATTGAGAGCCGCATTGACAGCCGCATTCTGCGGATTTTGAATCAATGGTAGCAAATACGACATGTGGCCTGCATGAGGACCCCCCGCCATGTAATTGCAGAATAAGTATCCCTTTGCAAGTTCTTGTGCTGGATATTCAGGAATGGCTTGTGGCGAAGTTATAAGACACCGACTATTTGAATCCGATTCATCGACGTCAGGAGTAGTGTCTACTATACGCTTTTTCCGTGTCGGCTTTTGTGATTTGCGAATGACTTCTTCATTTTGATCCCGAAACCTAAGCTCGAGTGGGTCACGATACCCTGGACAGTCCACCTTGGCTCGCATGCATTGGGTACAAGATGGATATCCTTGGTCGCACTAGGAGAGATGTGAGCCTCATTCGGTCCAAGTTGAATTTTCCCGATCGGGCAGCTAGCCAACCTTCATGCGACGAGAGCGACAGCGCTCACAAGAAGCACTTGGCTTGCCGCGATACACCATCTGAAGGCGAACGTGGAGTATTTTTCGCTGCAAAGTCGGCCCCGGAAGGGATAGTCGATAGGTAAACGGCCACGGGGGCAGCAATTCTCGAATTGAGATTTTGTCGATGATATGGAGCAGGAGAGAACAGCAACGGCAAAATGGCGTGGTGGTGAAGTGCGATTTGGGTAGGTTGTTCGACGCGGCGCAGGCCGGGCCAACTTTATTAGACGGCTCTCACGATTTGGTGGCTTGTAGTGGTTCGAGTATCATTGGGTTCCATGGATATGGATGTGGAACTTGTGAAATGTAAGCTCAGTACTAAAAGTCTTAGCTTAGCTAGGCTAGCGAGATGAGCCAGATCCCGAAGACCATTTTCCCTTTTCTACTAAGGGTCCGAGCTCATGACTCGTCTAAGTGGGGGCCATAAATCCCACCTGGCGACCTGATAACCTCCATTGGATAATGAACAGCGCCACAAGGGGAAGTGACAGATCCTTGATGATTGCGAGATGCAGACATGAAATACGGTAGGATGGTGGATGAGGATGAGGATGAGAGGAGAGATGGGATAGCTGGAATTAGAATGGAGAGATGGAAGGGTCGAAGGACGCCAAGGCAATATTGATGCCTCAGGCAATACACCTGCTGGAGGTTGGGGTGAAGGTCAGGCAAATGAAGCAATTCCACTTATAGACCGTTCCTACCATCCCGCCCGTCACTAAGTCTACAATACACCTCAAACAAAAGAATATAGTCAGGACCACTGTATCTTCAAGCAATACTGTATTTTCTAGGTACCAATGTATTCTCGGTATATTTACTACATACTAGGCACCACTGCGCGTAAGTCATACTTCTAGGAACGCGCTTGCCTTTGAATATATATTCCTTCTACAGCACGCGTTACCCTCCAACTAACCTTGCATTTACCCAAATATTCTTCAAGTTACTTTCAACTTGAAGCTTACTAACTACGATCTTTAGGTCTTGCTAACTTCGATCGCTAGGTTTTGCTAATCTCTAGATTTTGTTTTGGCACGCGTTGTTTTGGCGGCACGCGTTCTGAATAGCCTTACTTTTTTTTTTTCTAACTTCTGTGAGGATGCTCAGATGCTCACAGAGATCAACGTACGGCGTAGCATACGAAGCAAAGGAAACAGTAGCTGTTCGACGAAAGTAATAGCTTGAGGAGAAGAAGGAGGAAGCTGAGATAGAACTAAGTACATGTAGGCGTGGATGCCTAAGTGGATGCCATCTACGTCAGGCATCCGCGAATGGTAACAACCCCAGTTCGTTACAACTTCGATCTCTAGGTTTTGCTAACTTCAATCTCTAGGCCTTGCTAACTTTGATCGCTAGGTTTTGCTTTGGCACGCGTTGCTTTAGCAGCATGCGTTGCTTTGCGAATGTAAATACTAGTTAGTGGTAGTAGTAGTAGTAGTAGAATACAATGGCCCTTAATGAATACAATTATCTAGGCATACTGATAATATTCTCTTCAATATAGTATTAGAAACGAGGTTATCATATGACTACCCTGTTTCAAAATGCTATATTGTAGACAATATTGTCAGCATGACTATATTTTTGCTATATTTTTGCTGTATTGCAAACGGCCCGGCGGGCGGGATGGTACCTAGGAAGAAAACATACTAGTATCCGCTCAGACTCTCATTGCGGGCGCAAGATCATGTCCGTGGGCTCGAGCTAGTAGGAAACTGATCGGAAATGTATATATTGAAGATGTGATGCATGGTGAGGCGTTCAAAGGATTGGGCGATCATGCTTTCGAGCAGATTTCCATAGCATAGGAATAGTTTTCGAAGTAATGTTGGCGAAAGTATGATTTGTGTCGCGCAATAATTCTTCGCTATTTTTTTAGCGCAAGCGCAGCCTTGGAACATATGAAGCTACCACCAGACCTTCTGTGCCTGATATAAGACGGAAAAATCAATAGGTCTTCAACTATCCTCGACCGCCTTGGGTAATAACGTTAATTGGTCAATAGGACTGCCGCAGTCATATTGCAGATCGATGGTTCAGTTAGATTTCGTAGAAGGTTTCGGGCCGGATTCTCGGGCTTAGCACATAGTTGACCTTTTCATGGGAATGGGGCATCAGCCCTATGCGGCTCATACATAGGTGTGCTAGTGAAAACCTTGGAAATTTGTAAGTTCTGAAGTTGCGATGACTGAGTTCCTTCCGGTTTACACCAGGTATGAGTAAGAATGGGCTAACGTTGCAACAAGGTCCCGAACAGCATGAGTCAACCCCTAGGAGATAAGTCAATACATAAGTATGCTGAATATGTACTGACACATAATACGAGTAGATCTGGTCAGTGGGGCTTATTCACTGAAAAAGCCTACTCGTAACCCTTTTCTCCTGAACGGACGTAGGAATTCCGGTGTTTGGAGGATGCAAGTTTACTCGTACGCTAGGCTGAACTATATGCCGAACGGGGCAGGTGGGGCATTGGTTATTTCAGTCAGCCAATAGACATCCATACGCTAGTCCCCTTCCAGCTTAACATCGGCATGTCGGCGCTCCGTTCCCCGACCGCGTGGCTCAAAGTGGAGACTCGGCAGTCTCCCCACCCGAGTGACTCGCATAATTTGCATAGATGTCGGTGTTAAGCTGGCTCGGTTTTCTCCGTCCCCGAGATCTTTGCGGAGATTTCAAGCAGATCCTACAATATTACTAGGGGACTGCTGGCATTTAATAAGATGATCCCTCCCGGGCCCCGGCCGTTGCTTCTAACTGAAGTTCAGCTATAAGTTGACCGTCTCTGTACCCCCTTCTCCAGATTGGTTGATATCCAGCCAGCATGGATTCAGACAAAGACTCCGAAGTGGAGTTCGCTCCTATTACGGAGCGATCCCAAACCACCATGACTGCTGTGGATGAGCGTGAAATCGAGACTCTTGGCCGTATCGCCTCGAGTCGACTTGGCCAGGCTTTATCTGCAACAACAACAAATGACAAGAAAGACCCCCGCTTGGACCCCGAAAACCCCGAATTCGACCATAACCGATGGGCTCAGAACCTACTCATCAAAGTTCACGAGGCGGGAATCGATATCCCAGACCAGGGAATCGTCTTTTCGGATCTCTCCATCAGTGGTTCTGGTGCCGCCCTCCAGTTCCAAGAGACCCTCCTTTCAAGTCTCACAGTTCCCTTCCGCAGCGCTGCAAGAGCCCTTTCAGGTCAGAAATCACAGCCGCGCCGCATCCTTCACAGTTTCGATGGTCTGCTCAAAGGTGGTGAGCTTCTGCTCGTACTAGGGCGCCCTGGAAGTGGCTGTACGACTTTCCTCAAAACACTTTGTGGCCATCTCGGCGGCCTTACCATGGACCTAAATAGCAAAATCCATTTCGAGGGTATCGATTACAACGACATGATTAAGTACCACCGCGGCGAGGTTGCATACAACAAAGAAGTCGATCTTCACTTTCCCCATCTGACCGCCGGCCAAACTCTCTCCTTTGCCGCCCATGCTCGAGCTCCTCACCGTCGCCTCGAAGGTGTTAGCCGGAATGAATATGTCGATACACTGGTGAAAGTTGTGATGTCCGTCTTTGGTCTCACTCATACCTACGACACCAAAGTCGGTAGCGAGTTTGTGCGAGGTGTAAGTGGTGGAGAGCGAAAGCGTGTCAGTATCGCTGAAATGTTTCTGTCGCGTTGCAGAATCGGAGCCTGGGATAACAGCACTCGTGGGTTGGATGCAGCCTCGGCTCTCAAATTTGTCAAGGCTTTGCGTCTTGCTGCTGACATGGGCATGTCTTGCCACGCCATTGCCGCGTACCAAGCATCACAGTCCATGTACGATCTGTTTGACAAAGTCGTTGTTCTCTACGAAGGTCAAGAGATCTATTACGGCCCTAGAGAACGCGCTGTCTCCTATTTCCAGGATATGGGTTGGACGCGCTCCGAGCGTCAGGTCAGCGGTGACTTCCTCACTGCTATCACTAATCCTAGTGAGCGCAAGGCCCTTCCTGGGATGGAAGATAAAGTTCCACGTACTCCCAAGGAGTTTTCTGAGTATTGGAAGAAGAGCCCCGAGTACCATTCTCTTCGCAAGCAAATAATCGAATTTGAGCAACAGCACCCTCCAAATGGCAACGACGCTAAACTCCTCCGCTCCACCCATGAAGCACAGCAAGCCCGCCACACTCGATCCAAAAGCCCTTACTTCCTTTCTGTTCCTATGCAGATTCGACTTTGCACCCAGAGAGCCTTCCAGCGCATGAAAGGCGATTTGGCGACCGCCATTGCCCCTCTGATTGTCCAAATTATTCTATCCTTGATCATTGGATCTGTCTTCTATGCCACCCCCGACACCGCCGATTACTTTTTCCAAAAGGGCGCTGTTTGCTACTTCGCAGTGCTCATGAATGCCTTACTTACGATGAATGAAATTCTTCAACTTTACAGCCAGCGGCCGATTGTGGAAAAGCAAGCTGGTTATGCTTTTGTACACCCATTTACAGAAGCTCTGGCTAGTCTTATTGTGGACCTACCCATCAAACTTGTACGAATCTCAGCATTCAGTATAGTCTTATACTTCATGGCGAATCTGCGGCAAGAAGCCGCCAACTTCTTCATTTTCTACCTCTTCCTAATCGTTGCTGTCATGACCATGTCCGGTTTATTCCGTAGCCTGGGGGCCCTAACTAAGTCAGTGGGCCAGGCTATGGCACTTGCTGGCATCATGGTTCTTTGCATCGTTGTCTACACCGGCTTCACTCTGCCTCAGCCTTATATGCACCCGTGGCTCTCCTGGATTCGTTGGATCAACCCGATCTACTATACCTTTGAGGCTTTGATTGCGAACGAGTTCCATGGCAAAGATTATAGCTGTGGTTCCATCATTCCAAGCTATGGCACAGGAACGAATTTCATTTGTTCCACAGTTGGAGCCGTGGCTGGTCAGGACTTTGTCTCTGGTGATGCTTTTATCGAACAGAACTACTACTACCACTACTCTCACCTGTGGAGAAACTTTGGCATCCTCATCGCATTCATGGTATTCTTTAACGCACTCTATCTCACGGCCACTGAATTCATTTCCAGTGACAAGTCCAAGGCGGAGGCTCTTTTGTTCCGACCCGGGCACGCTCCAAAGTATCTGCAAGATCAGGATGCCGAGGGTGGTGCACCAGACACAGCCAAACTTGAAGTGCAACAGACAAACGACACTATTCGCCTCCCAGAACAGTCCGATGTATTCACGTGGAGCTCTTTGAATTACGACATTCCTGTCAAGGATGGAACCCGACGCTTGCTGGATGATGTGAATGGCTGGGTCAAACCAGGTACTTTGACGGCCTTGATGGGTGTTTCTGGAGCCGGTAAAACAACTCTCCTTGATGTCCTCGCCCAGCGTGTGTCGATTGGTGTCGTTACTGGTGATATTTTCGTTAATGGTCTACCGCTTGCCGCCAACTTCCCTCGCCGTACTGGCTACGTGCAACAGCAAGACCTTCATCTCGACACTACCACTGTGAGAGAGGCTCTGCGTTTTAGTGCAATGCTCCGCCAGCCCCAAACGGTTTCCAAACAGGACAAGTACGAATACGTCGAGCAAGTCGTCAAGGTGCTTGGCATGGAAGATTTCGCTGAAGCTGTCGTTGGATCCCTCGGAGAAGGGTTGAATGTGGAGCAGCGTAAGCTTCTGAGCATTGGTGTCGAACTTGCTGCCAAACCTACTCTTCTCATTTTCCTCGATGAACCGACTAGTGGCCTTGACTCCCAGAGTTCATGGACAATTTGTCAGTTTCTTCGAAGACTGGCGGATCATGGGCAGGCCGTCCTTGCAACGATCCACCAGCCTAGTGCAACCTTGTTCCAAACCTTCGATCGTCTGCTCTTCCTAGCGAAAGGAGGCAAGACCGTCTATTTTGGCGATATTGGCGACAACTCCTCCATTTTGCTGGAATACTTCGGAAAGAATGGAGCTCCTCCTTGCGAAGAGTTGGAGAACCCGGCCGAGTACATTCTCGAGATGGTTGCAGGAGATGGTTGCCCCGAGGTTGACTGGCCCACAGCTTGGAAAAAGAGCCCTGAGCGTGAGGAGGTGTTAGGTGAACTTGATAGAATACACTCTGCTCGCCGACTCTCGGTTCACGACACAGTTGGCGATAACGATACTGCCGAGTTTGCCATGCCCCTATCTGCCCAACTTTCCATCGTTCTGCAACGCTGCTTCCAGAGTTACTACCGCCAGCCCGACTACATCTATGCCAAGTTTATTCTCGGTATCGCGTCCGGTTTGTTCATCGGATTTTCTTTCTGGAAAGCGGATAATACCCAGCAAGGGTTCCAGAACGTGTTATTCAGCATCTTCCTGTTGTGTACCATCTTCAACACCCTCGTCAACCAGATCATGCCTCGCTTCGTCGCTCAACGCTCGCTTTACGAGGTTCGCGAGCGCCCATCTCGTACATACTCCTGGAAGGTCTTCATTGTTTCACAGATTCTCGTTGAAGTCCCCTGGCAAGTTTGCCTGGGAGTCTGCTCATGGGCCTCCTTCTACTGGTCCGTCTTCGGCACTGATCAGGACGCTGAGCGCCGCGGATTAATCATGCTCTACATTGTGCAATTCTTCATCTACGCTGCCAGTATGGCCCAGTTCGTCATTGCTGCCATCCCCAGCCCACCTTAGGTGCTATCATCGCGACCATGACGTTCGGTCTGTCATTCATCTTCAATGGTGTCATGCAACCGCCGAATGACCTCCCACGATTCTGGATCTTCATGTACCGTGTCTCTCCATTCACATACTACATCAGCGGAATTAGCAGCACAGCTCTGCATGGCAGACAAGTGCAATGCAACTCAGCCGAGCTAAGAGTGTTCGATCCTCCTGCGAACCAGACTTGCGGAGAATATCTCGGCAAGTATGCAGAAATGGCCCTGGGCTCTATCTACAACCCCGATGCCATGTCCGACTGCCAGTACTGTACCATGCGCGAAGCTGATCAGTATCTCGCGGCGCGTGAGATTTACTGGGAAGACCGTTGGCGCAACTATGGAATCTTCTGGTGTTATTTTGTTTTCAACATTATTGGAGCCATCACGCTCTATTATATTTTCCGAGTGCGCACCTCGCGAGCAAAGGTTGGAAAGGGCAAGAAAACTGCCTAGGTGTCTTGAGCTGTATACTAACATGTGTGGCTATGCCACAATTTTGAAGCGTTTTGCTCTATATTTGGAAGCATAAAAGCAGTATTTCTTATTAATTTGTTATAATTTCACCTTCCTTTTCCCCTTTTCAAGGATGCCAAATGGTTCTTCATAGAATATCAAAAACCCGAACTGCAATCCCCAAGTGATAGTTACTACTAGTACTCTACATAACTAGTTATTAGTTCCTGGTATACCCTTTCTGCAATGTATGATTGAAAAAAAAATATCAAATTTGCCAATTCACACTAGTAGCTTTTCATTTCAATTGAATCACTAAAACAGAATAGCCACCTTATTGACCACCCACGTGAAATGTGTCACGTGACATTACACCCGAGATGCAGGGCGAAATCCCCGGAATCAGCGATCTCCAACCAATAACCATCCCTCATCAACAAGACTGTCAGAATGTCGCCCCACTTTGCCCGTTCAGATGCGAGCGGATGGGCCAAGGATGGAAGCCAAGAACGGGCTCATTTCCACATTTCGGATTGGAGCACCCACGCGTCTTTGACCGCTCGTGGCTTAGATGCCTCCACAATGCGGTCAGCTTCCCCATCCATGTGAGCCTTTTTCGAGGGTTTCTTTTTCTTCCCCAACTTCTGCTGCGTCCCCTGCTGCTGCTGCTTCTCTGCTCCAGCATCATGGCGAGCAGCACCACCACCGCCGCTGCGGCTGCGGCCAGCAACAGAGCTACCCCACAAGGTGGTATCCTCGAGGGGGGGGGAATCCCACTCACTATGACACGAAAAACCCCATTGTCGTATTTATCATTCAGGCTGTCATCATCATCGTCCTCTGTCGCCTCATCCACTGGCCGCTCTCCAAGATCCGCCAGCCGCGAGTCATCGCCGAGGTCATCGGCGGCATTATTCTGGGTCCCTCTGTTATGGGCCATATTCCCGGATTCACCGAAGCTATCTTCCCTACTGCCAGTATCCCCAACCTCAATGTCGTCGCCAACTTGGGTCTGATATTGTTCCTCTTCCTCGTGGGCTTGGAGACCGATATCCACTTCCTTGTCAGCAACTGGCGCACCGCCGTCAGTGTCTCGGCAGCTGGCATGATCTTACCCTTCGGTCTGGGTTGTGCTATTTCCTACGGCCTATATCACGAATTTCAGGAAGATCCTGGCACCGTCCCGATCGAGTTCGGCACCTATCTTCTCTTTATTGGTATCGCCATGGCCATAACAGCCTTCCCTGTGCTGTGCCGTATCCTGACCGAGCTGAAGCTTCTCGGTACCCGAGTCGGTGTTATCACTCTATCTGCCGGTGTTGGAAATGATATCGTCGGGTGGGTCCTTTTGGCTCTGTGTGTAGCTCTGGTGAATGCGGGGACGGGGCTCACGGCGCTGTATGTTCTCCTCGTTTGCGTGGGATATATGATTTTCCTGATCTATGGCTTCCGCCCGGTCTTCTTGCGCTTCCTTCGACGTACCGGTAGCCTGCAGAAAGGACCTAGTCAGTCCGTTGTCACTTTGACCCTCCTCATTGCCCTGGCATCTGCGTTCTTCACGCAGGTCATCGGTGTGCATGCCATTTTTGGCGGGTTCGTTATTGGCTTGATGTGCCCCCACGAGGGCGGCTTTGCCATCAAGCTGACAGAAAAGATTGAGGATCTGGTAACAGCATTATTCCTGCCACTCTATTTCACACTCTCGGGTCTCAGCACGGATCTCGGATTGCTGAATAGTGGGATCGTATGGGGTTATGTCGTTGGCGTCATTGTCATCGCCTTTACGGCCAAGGTGACTGGAGGCACATTGGCATCCCGTTGGACTGGTCTTTTGTGGAGAGAGAGCTTCTCCATCGGTGTCCTCATGAGTTGTAAAGGCTTGGTCGAATTGATCGTTCTGGTGAGTTTCGGTATTACCCAAGAGGGGGGGAGAAGACGAGCCAAAACTAACGTGCATCACAGAATATTGGTCTTCAGGCAAAGATTCTGAGTACTCGTACTTTCACTATTTTCGTCGTCATGGCCTTGGTCACAACCTTCTTGACCACCCCTCTGACCACAGCCCTCTACCCCGATTGGTATCAGACGAAGGTCGAGCGCTGGCGCCGAGGAGAGATTGATTGGGATGGCAACCCTCTGCAGCAAGATCGCCGGTCTGACAGTGTCACCGCTGCCAAGGATCAGCTCAAGACTGTTCCAGTCCGCAAGCTTCTAGCTTATCTTCGACTTGACGGTCTGTCTGGCATTTGCACTTTGGCCGCTATGCTCAGTCCCAATCGCGGATCCGCTCTAGCATCGCCTCGCATTCACCCCTCCAAGGAACCGAAGCAAACTGATCAGGGCATTGAAGACGCCATCTCGACAGATCAAGATGAAACGGCGCTTCGAGTTCATGGCGTCCGGCTTATTGAGCTGACAGATCGTGATTCCAGTGTAATGAGGGTGTCCGCTGGCGAGCAGGCTCTCTGGGACCCTGTTGTCAACACATTCCGTGCCTTTGGAGAATGGCATGACATTGCTCTGATGGCGGGTGTTTCGGTCGTACCGGAGCACACCTACGCCGATACCGTTGTCAACATGGCTAGCCAGGAAACGACGGATCTACTTCTGCTTCCTTGGAGCGAAACGGGGACTCTGACGGATCGTCAGAATGGGTTAGAGGTCGATACCGCCAGTCGTTTTGCCAATGGCTCATACACCGATTTCGTTTCCAGTGTTCTTCAGCGAGTCCCCGGCCATGTGGGTATCTTCATTGAACACAACCCCGAGTCACGCTCTCCCAAGCGACCCTCTCTACCCCATCCTTCGGCCAGCGGGATGAGCATCCAATCTGTATGGTCGCGCAAGGCCTCTGGAGACCGCTCTCACCATCTTGTTCTCCCGTTCCTTGGAGGTGAAGACGACCGCTTCGCCCTCCGCTTTGTTCTACAGTTAGCGCAGAATGACCAGGTCACGGCCACCATAATCCAAGTTCCTGGCCTACAGCTTCCTGCTTCCAGCTCCAAGAATGGTTCCGCAACGAGGGATAGTCAGTCTGACATTGTTTTCTTCGAGTCCCTTCGTGATTCTATTCCCGAGGAGCTGAAGGAACGTGTCGTTTTCCACCAATCTACCGCGCGGGAAACTATCAGTGATCCCACCCAACTAGCTCTCTCCGCCGTGCGGAGTGAATTGGATGATAACATTTCCGGAAAGTGGGGCAGTATCGTCGTCGTTGGTCGGAACAGTACGCTGGCCGAGAGCGGCGCGTCAATTGATGACAATATTGGGACTGATACGTACCATGCCCTTGGTGCGGTTGCCTCCACCATGGTCGATCCCCAGAGCAAGGTCTTTGGCAGTGTTCTTGTGCTACAGGCTAGCACTAAGACGGTTGTTGATTACCGATGAGTTTATGCATGATGTATTGAATGTTCTTTGAGATTAGCTAGCTTCTTTTGATTGAATACCAATGAAATTCTATGTGATACATGCACGTGAATGAAGAAGGAGATCGATGTGGCTGAAACGCCCGAATAGATGATGATACAAGTTTTGGGTATCGGAGTCTCAGTGATATTGGAATAGTTGGTGTAGACTGGGTAGAAAAAGAGAGTCCTAGTTGTGGCAGCTTTTTAAAGTCTGGAGGAGGCGTTGCTGGATTGGTGTGTATCCTCCCAAAACCAAGGAGGGCTGTATTGTCGTGGAACATTGCGACGGGATTCCGAATTGAGCTGCGACGGTTCTTGGGAGGATGGGTAGGATGGGTAGGATGGATAGGAAGGACAGGAAGGATATGAGTTGATTTCGCGGGCGCTGGAGGGTAATTCCTCGCTGTTGTAGGTACCGCGGGCGACAGCGACGAGTTTCCCCAGGATGGCGTACTCCAATTTCAGTTTGATTCCGTAGGCGACGGGTTTGAACATCACCTGGATCGAATAGTAGCCGGTGTACTCGATGGCCACGATGGCCACGTCCAGGATGAGGATGACGACGTTGATGATGAGGAGTTGGTGAAGAATTCCATTTGGTCGGCCCTCTGGACGCAGTTTGAGGAGCTTGACAGTTTCCCATACATATATTCCCGAGATTATGAGTTCCTGGAGACAGAAGCCGACCAATTGAACTCTTTCCATGACATTGTAGCCCCTCGCCCAGGGGCCGACCGGATAGGCCACATTGCCGTATAGCAAGACCGTTGTGGGAACGTGGAAGATGATGGCATCGATGATGATCATCCATAGAACCCCCCCAAAGTAGTTTCGAATTTTGCAGGACCAGGTGTAGACGTGACCATAGAACGACGGACTGCCCTGTCACCATGGTAATCCAGCCCACGATGACGAGAGTGACACAGACATAGGGGGAGACGCCAGTTCGAAATAAAAGAAGGACATAGCCGAGGACATGAGGGATGATGGCGATGGAGGAGATGAGGAGACTCCAGAAGTAGCAGCCACGGCGGCGCTTGAAGGAGACGAAACAGAGGATAATCAGCTCAATGGCATTATACCAGGCGATAGCAGCGAAAGCGGCAAAGACGTGTGTTCGAACAGGATCTCCGACGTCGGATCTGTGTATCAGCGACTCCGCGATCTCCGAGGCGACGTTCTTCGACATGAGCGGAAGGGGCACATCGCTCACGGTAAGTCGAAGGCACACATCCGGGGAGAGCAGGGGGAATTGGGGACAGGGTTTTGTTTAAGAAGGGACAAAAAAAGAGGGGGAAAAAAAGAAAGAAAAAACCAAGGAAGGGATGATGTGAGTGGCCAGCGCTCGAGCGTTGCCGATCAAGGGTCTTCCTGCTGGGGAAGGTTCCTGAGTGTTGGGATTTTGTGGGAGAGTTAGCCCTGGAGAAAGTGACCAGGGAAGAGAAGAGGAGAACTATTCGTGTACATCCCCGGTCCAAGCGTCAGGGATTGACATTGACATTTGCCATCCATTGCCGGTGGGCACAGCAGCGGAGGTGCCGGAGGTGGAAGTGTTCGGATCCCCGCGCTTTTGATGAGTCCAGCGTTGCCTTCAGATGGGTCTGAGCTGCCTGAGCTGCCTGAGCTGCCCGGGGTGAATTGAACTGCACAGAGTAAAGCAGAGAGAGCTGTCTGACAGCTGCTTTAGGCGGGACTTGTTCCATGGAAGCACCAGTGGGTGTCCCAGATGCTCCCAGGTGCTCACCGGTGGCTTTGGGAAGCGGTCCCAGGGATCTGGGTCAGTCTGGGCATCTTCGAACTATTGAAGGCTCCGATGCATCCAATTATGGTGCATGCAGGAGGCGATGGAGCCGATCTTAGACGCCGATCATTCCTGGGGGATCTTGTTGGTTCGGGAGTGGCGGTGGATGGGGCCGATTGGGGTGAGTGGAGGCAGGTGGAGACACGGGGGGGGGGGACTCGTTGTAACGGGAGATCTCCTATTTTTGAGACACTGGAAATTGAGGGGAAGAGAGAGGAAGTTGATGCTGATGGGGTGGTGGTGGTGTGAGTGTGAGTGGTGAGGAGGAAGTTGGCAAGTGGAGGAGGTGAAGTGCTGGCATGACAATCAATGACAATCGTGACATTAACAACCACATGCATAAACCCCTGGCGCTAGTCTCAATATTCTAGTCATGGACACAAAGATGTTGCAATTGTATTTCCTGCAGAAAAGCCCTTTCCAATTGAGGCCACTCCAGGTAATAAACTTCAAGTTGAAGTATTTCATACTATCCAATCCATCCATCAATTCACTATATATACTGGTAACACCACCACTACCACCACTGTACTGGGGTATCAAATTTGGTCCAATGCCGAATCCCGATTAATCATCCAAACGAAGAGCCGATACGGAATAAATGTGTTGCAGATCCAACTCAGAGTTGAGGCCTGTCCACGTCGAATGAAAGGACCGCAGCCCTTAAGCACATCCTCGACCGCATTGGTCGCAGCAGTGTTGATATTCTGCTTATTAGGGTGGATTTCGGTCTTCTTGTGTCGATCGATAACGCTGGTGATGTTCTGATAATGCGAATTGGAGGGTAATTCAAGGTCGGGGATATTCAAAGGATTATTTCCGCTCGTTTCAACACCACCAAGAATGACCGTGACGACTCTCACGCCGAGGGGGGCCATCTCGAGGCGCAGTGTCTCCGAAAGCCGGGCCTGGGCACTTCGAGAGCTGCTATAAACACCTACGACAGAGAGAATTAGTGTTTTATAGCTCATGACTCCTATGGTCCGATCTCACCCGCCCATGCAAAGACCATTTCGCCAGATACCGAACTGATATTGCACATGGTGCCCTTGGCCGCAATCAGTAGGGGCGAAAAGGCTTGCGCCATAGCAACAATACTCCAAACGTTTACATCGTAAACCTTTTTCGCATCATCGATAGATGCATCGAGAATGGGCACAATCACGTTAACCCCGGCGTTGTTTACCAGGATATCCAGTGACCCGCCAGTGGATTTCACAACGGTATCGGCACATTTGCGAATAGACTCCACCGATGTGACTTCGAGTTCGAGAATTTCTATGCCATCCATGTCGACCAAAGACCCTGCCTTTGCTATATTGCGTAGCGTTGCGAAGACGTGGAAACCTTTCGCACGGTAGACCTTTGCCATTGCGGCCCCGAGGCCTCCATTGCTACAACCTGTGATCAAAACGGTTTTCGCCATTTGTTGAGAATTTTGTAAGTTCGACAACTCGAAGGGGCTGGGTTGAACTCGAGAAAGTAGACTGTTTGGGCCTATCTGGTGGCATTCGCGCGAGGTAATTCCGAAGCTAAATACTACTATATGCAGCGGCAGCGAACGGACGGAAATGAAGTGGTCAAACCCGGCGGTAGTAGTATATTTGGAGCTGAGAACACAACTTAATAGTATGAGGTCCGTCGGGATATCAGGAGCAAATGGCGAGGTGAATTACTAGTAACCAGTAAAACTTCAAAGGGCCGAAATTGCTGCGGAATTCCGCGCAGTGGTGAAAGCCGTGCAGCCGAAGCGGAGATAACGGAAACAAATGTTATGACCGGATTCAAGATGCAACAGATCAGTAATTAATGACTCGTACCAGTAGATCTAAAGGAATATATCCAGGGAATTCTTTACTGCTAGTAGTTATTAGTAATTTCAATAAATAAAGCGTGTGTTTAAAATCATGCTACTACTAACTAGCATGTAACAGGCATAGCAACGAACCCCCCTATGTATAACCTAGTTGCCTTGTTACCTGCAGCTAAATACTTCAGTCTCTTCCTCTCTCCACCTGGGCAGGTCTATCACATTTTCTTGAACTACCCTACACTTTGTCATATATTTCATCGTATCTTGATCTGCAAATATCTGAGCATAGGTAAGCTCTTGGCATTCTTTCGGGTTTTTCTTTCTGAAGCTCTCCCATCGATTTGTAGTCAAGAGAGTGCTCGTAGAGGATCAGTTATTACAAAATTTATCGAGAAAATAAATTTCCCGGGAAATTTGAATGATAATTTTGGACGGCCGTTTTGCCCACACACCAATCTGGCACAGCCGCCGGGGTCGCACCGCACATCGTTTTCGCACCATGAAGAGTCCTTTGACGGTCTTGAACATAACGTACTGCTACCATTCTGAGTTCTCCATGCAGATAGGCATATGATTTATCTCGAAGCTTCTTGATGTCCCAAAAATTCGAACCCAACCGTCACGAGTTCAATGAACCGATGATGGTCAACGAACTTCTATACGCGTATGACTGGTGGGGCGGTCCGTGCATACGCGTATACAAGTAAATCCGTCGACCTGCCAAGTAATCTTTTTGTCTTTCAAGGTCCACATGTGGGGCTTTTAGGACTAGTAGCCGCGTTCCGAAATGACAGAGCTGGTAAGAAATCGTAAGATGTAGCGTATTCGAATACCATACGATCATCCGATACGGTACGTAGCCCAGCTAGATACATAAATCGGAAGATTGCGCAAGAAGGCACTAGAATGGGAAAGTGATGTAAAGGTGAGAATACAAGTGCAGTGCCTAATTTAAAAAGGACCATTCAACATATCTTACGGAGAGACAAATCGGTCGGTTTTTTAAATGTTGCCAAATAGCCGAGCAGTAGAACAGGATAATGGCCTGGTAAATAGCTAAATGACATGAGACACATCAAAAAACGGCCCCGTCAGAACTTACTCAAGCCCTCACTGAGTGAGTGAAGTGATGTAAACCTCCACTCTGAATCTCATGGACAAAATCCTTGATTTTATCACAGTTCTGGCTCGCGAATTCACCCTGGCACGCCCAGCCCTGGCTCAAGACTAGCTTTCCAGTTGTTCCCGCCGGAGCATCGATAGTAACTGTGACTACACTGCTCCTCACCGTCCATGCAACGCTCAAAGGTCCATGGGGTGTGGGGACCGTGGCGCTCACTTCATCCAATCCAAATCCTGCGTAGGCTGGCTCAACGATCCACGACTTATATCCAAAGCTCACCGGCCGAATACCAGCCACATAGTTTGTAAGTGCGTATGTCGCAGCTCCGCCCCAAGGGTGGCTCAGAGAGGTGAACTGGCCATACCCCGGCTGGGACTTCTGGTTCACATACTCCCAAGTAGAACCCGATTTGGTAGTGTCGTTACTGACCATTGCGCCCCATAGGTTGTTCAGCAGGAATTTGGCCGGAGCTGCTTGCTTCTGCTGTAGGAGAGCTGGGAGAAGGAAGCCATTGGTATTGGGTGACAGGTTGGCGTCCAAATCCGATGAGGCGACCAGACTCGAGTCACGATACCCCGGTCCCAGCTTGAGAGAATGTAATTTAGACAATGCGAGGTTGATCTGGGTGGCATTGGCTGATCCGGACGTGATGGCAAAACCGAGAGCAGAAATAGAGAAGTTCCCGGGTTGTGACTCCTGGATGGAGTAGACACCATATTCCTCACTCCACAGGTGAGCATTGAGAGTTGCTTGGAGAGATTTGTAAATTGTAGCCCACTTATTAGCCGATGAAGCATCTCCAATGGCTGAAGCAACAGAGGCCATGCCCTTGAATGCCTCGATAGAGGCGGCGTTGACGGCCGAGCCACTGCTGGGGCCCAGGAAGGCATTGCCGAATTGCGAAAAGTCAATGAGTCCAGTGGACTCGTCGCGATACTCTGCAAGCCATTGAACTGCAGCCTTCCACGCGATCCAGTGTTCGCAGGCGAATGCAGTGTCGTTGGTATGCTCCATGTAAGAAACAAAGGAGATGAGGGCGAGGATCTGATAGTCCGGCAGCAGATATGCGATCCCGCTGACTGCAAAGGTTTTCGGCGCAATATCCGGTGAATAGCCAAGGGATGGGGCCATGGGAAGCTGGCCGCTAGAAAGTTGGCCGCTAAGAAGCAGCTTGAAGGTGCCAGTAATATGATCGCTGCGATTAGTTGTGACGCCAATAATTCTTGTGGTATGCAGGAAGTCTCCAAGCCAGGCCAGACGATCGCGCTTCGCGCCATCCACACAGGTTGGGAAGTAGTTCTCATGCTGGCCGTACTCGGGGAGAACAAGGGCGGCGTTTGTCATGGAGTTGTGATAAATCATGTTTCCAGTGGTATCACGGGCGTAGACTCCACGAATGTAGGCAGACTGATCTTGCCATGCACCAAAACCAAAAGCACCAGAGGTTGAGATTGACGATCCACCTACATAATAGCTAGATAAGGAGACATTGAATAGTTGGGTCTGGTTCACGCTAACAGCCAAATGGTTGGACCGAACACTAGTCGAGATTCGATGCCACAAGCTTTCTTCTAGATCGAATGGAACTTTGAATGAGGCCAGTTTGTAGGATGTCAAAGTGGTTTGGTTGACAAAGCTCACTCCGTGGGCCAAGGTTATTGTAGAAGGGGGAAATAGTGTCTTGTTTGTGTTGACGTAGGTCGTCTCTTCTGGGTATTTGCCGGCCAAATTGATTAAAATGCCTCCGGAGGATCGAATGCCGAAATTGTAGCCGACTGACCAGATAAAGCCCCCTCGAGCAATCTTGGCATCGAATTCCATGTCGTATTCGGTGAAGTTGTAGGTCAAAGACGAGTAGTTGGGGAGGCTGCTGGATACCTTGGATCCTTGGGCAGAGACCTCCATGGTAGGCTTCTGTGACCCTGCGTCGAAGCATGATAGGGAGACTGCACGAGCACCCAGACTCCAGATCTCATTGTACAACTTGTTTGACGAGTGGAAAGATCCGGGAAGATTATCAGTGTCCACCGCACCGACAGATGACTTAAATGACACTGATCGAATTTCTACCGTGTTCTGAGTAAGCAAGCGAATACTTTGCCAGCGTTGGCCCCCCCTGCAACAGCTTGGAGCTCAAATTCCCAGCACTAGTTATATTGAAGGTTTCCACGCGGAAGGAGTTGGCAAGACTGGCCACAAACAAGCTGGGACCGTCGCTGAAAGGCTCGGCTAATCCACTGAGCTGCTCACTGTACTTGACCTCAATTTGTGTTGGGCCGTCGATATTGGTGATTTCCAAGGTAGGGAAGCCGGCCACCTCAGCCCCGTAGTCGAGGGTCGCGTAAGGTGAATCAGGTGTCAACACAAACCCATGGTAGGGGGTGTTCGGCTTTTGAAGGCTCCGGCCCAAGGCGAAGTATTGTGCATTGAAACTAGATCTAGGTGAAGTATTAGTATGATAGGTGGCAAGCATGTATGATATGGCGACTCAACTGGTTGTTAGCTGTGACAAGGTTCCCGCCCGCCAACAAGAGGGCAGGGATAAAAGCTGTCTTCATAGTTGAAATCCTGAAAAGCAGTGCTGATGAGAACTTGAATTGGACATTCCGAAGACTGAGTACTTGAGCATTTTTCCTGCGCCATAATCTGGGCAACAAACTTAAGAGTGGAGAAAAGGGGGCTGATATGTATAGTACTATCGTAGTATACTCCGTAGCGGGTCCCGAGATCGGCGCCCGAGACAGGAAAAAAACTCATTCACAGACATATACGAGTACGGTCGATCCAGTACGATGCATGTACGGTCATAATTTGGTTAAATTTCCGGTAATATTTCATCAATCTGTACAGCCTTTAATACTGCCGTATGATCCCATTCGGGAACAGTATACGCGTATAGATGTGATCCATAGCCGATGAAATAAATCAAATACTAGTACACCACGTATCCTTGCTTCGTTTAAATCAAAAATGAGCCCTAGGCACCATAACACTCAGCCAGTCGAAACTGAGCCTTGATGTTTGGTGATAGCACCAAGTTTCACTGCATAGAAAATCCACCTATCTCAGCAACCATTACAGGGCTGCTGATAGATCACGCCATTAACAGTAGTAGTCAAGGTACCCTTTGCGTAAAACTTGTTATTCTCGATGTCAATCTCAAACTGGAACCCACCGGGGCTGGTGACTTTCGTACTCTTGCTAATCCCAGTGGAAGATAAGTTGGAAACCCAATCGACGTGAATCAGAGTAGCGTTGGGGTACAAGGCAGTCACTTTCTCGCTACCTTTAATGAAATTTTCTCCGTTGTCTGAGTAGTTGTGATATGTGACGTCGACTGTCTCCAGTGCAGTCCCAGCGCCGTTGGCAATAAAAGCCACATCAGCATGACCGCTCACTTTACCAGCTAAAGAGAAGTTGCCGTATGGAAGCCTAAATGCTGCTGGTGCCATGCTCCCTGGAACATATGGATCGCCCCAAGGGACAATATCAGAGGCGGATTGCACCCTGGCCCTTTTCAGGGGCTTGCGGCTAGTTAAAGTTGCTAGCATGAGCCGGGCGGTGCGGCCACCCGAAACAGTCGACACAGGACAAGGTAATGGATTACTCCCACCGCAGTCCGGGGCTGTGGTAAGTAGTTGGAAGTATGCAATCTTGGTACCATCCGGGGACCATCGAGGATCAGCGCCTCCGTTCCAAAAAGGATCATTCACACTACCTGGGCTTCCATCGCCGCCAGAATTGATCTGCTGCCCTTCATAGCTGCGATCGGAATTGACATACTGAACTTCACGATCGTAGATCCACGGTACAAAAAACATCGCCCACCATTGTTCCGGATGGATGATATAGCAGCGGTGAGGAGCGAATCGATGAGAGGTGGAACCCCCCCTCATCCCTGACAGAAACATCATTCGATTGGTAGTCGTAGTGTCCATTATGACAGCCCATTTACCATCTGGGGAGATATCGAACGGGTCGACATATTCGGGTCCGTACGTCATTCGAGCAACTTTTCCACTCTTCAAGCTGATGTTGAAGATGTCAATGTTGCAAGATTCCGCAGGGAATCCAAGGTACTGGATTTCGTCACCCAGTCCATTCAGGCCGCGTACCTCTCCCACCGTGATAGCCTGGTCATTGATCGTCATATTATCTCCATTGAAGGAAAACATAGATGCAGATTCAGGGGAGTACAGCCCAGTCACATTGACCAGATCGTATCTCGGCGTGAGCGGTGTTCCGTTCTTAGGTGCAGGGTTGAATTGCAACCGTGCAAAATATGCATTTTGGGACACGGTAGAACCAGAGTAGGAGATTGCGTTGAAAGTCAGATGAATATCATCTGGGTGTTTTCGAAGCTCACGAATGGACCCCCCAGCCCCCGAGCCAGTGGGGGAAGTATTCCAGCGAAGGGGATAGATGTGAACCTTGTCCGGGGAACACTCGGGGCTAGTCAGCTGTGCAGTACCGCAGTCGATGATATAACTCCCCGCTAGAACACGAGTACCATCTGCAAACGCTTGGGGGTATTGATAGTCCATTGACGATGTGAGCCCATATTGCTGATCCGTCGGCACGCCACAGGTAATACATTTCCAAGCGTCGCCGTTCGGGAACAGTGTTCCATTGGTACGAACAATGATCAAGTTGAGGCCAGTATAGTTACTTCTTGGATCAGGGGAAGCCGGTGCTCCAGTAAACACTAAAGAAGCTGTGACATGATCTCCATCCGGAAGAAAGTTTCCGCTCAGCAGATTGGAGGAGTTTGCGCCAATACATCCAGTCCCATGCGGGTTCACTTGTCGGGTACACCCGCCCTCGGTTTCATTGAGAGTGACTGGAGGCAGGGGTAGTTCGATCACCTTGATGGGCTCATGCTGACCCGCACGCTTTGTGACTGGTTGTAGGCTCGCCTGGGTGTATGGGTTTGCTTGGGCTGCTGAAATGAGCAAGCCCCCCCAAGAAAATGGTTGAAAAGTACATATTGGGGTTACGCGCGATACAAGAGAATTCATTTTAAAGATGTAGCAGAATGACTATGCTTTATACCTCAATTACTGCTGCCGATCGAGATATTCACGAAGGTTTGTTAGAAATACTTCGCCGCAGAAAGCCCAATCGGAGAGGGGGGTTCAGAAGGACTGCATGATTGTCGACCACAAGTACGGCCAGGATCGTATTAGAACTTCCAGGACTAGTACTGGTATCCATGGATATTTTCAGTGAGCCATTTCAAGTTTCCGAGGTCCGAGCATACATGTGGTTAAGTTACAATGATACGATCTGACAATGCGTTACTACTAATTTTCCACTGATACCGACATAGGTAGTACGTATGAGAATGTACTGGACTGCTGTTTGTTGCTCCACGACGAATCTAAATCAGATTATTGACCAACGAAAACAGCCCCTTCCAAGCTACCCGAGCCGCACTCCACATTATAATACCCCGGAGATTTAGGCATCAGAAAATTTGCGGAGCGGGTGTAAGAATGATGGACAATGCATTCATCCATACCTGCCTAAGTAATTCGTAATTTCTCCGGTTTTCACATCTCTCCGCGGTTTTATCTAGTGGCGATTCTTTACCAAAGCCCCCAAACAGGGCTTGTTCCGTACATATCATGTGGAGACTTCCGGAATGTACTAGGCCAGCTTCGGCCTCGAATTCCATGGAGAAATATCAGGTGTCCGTATACCTACTAGGCTACTACTAGTACCTAGGTATGCTTGAGGTTTCAAGTTTGGAAATAAAATAGTACCTGGTGGTATATATTTCAAGGTTCCCAGGTCTTGTTCTCTCAGACTTGTTATAGGTACTACTAGTATCAGTGGTATCTGAGTAAAACGTTCAACATCATGTCTCAGGAGCTAGAGGCTGGCATGTTTAATGCAAGTGATCTAGTCGTAGACCACAACACCCCCGCATATACTTTGGAAGTGGAGGAACTTCCGTTGCCACAGGATTTCCAATGGGGAACCGCTACAGCGGCCTATCAGATTGAAGGGGGTGCCAGTCAAGATGGGAAAGGCCCATCTATTTGGGATACGTTCTCTCATCTGAGTCCTTCTCGAACCAATGGGGAGAACGCAGATGTTGCTTGTGACCACTACAATCGAACAACAGCGGACATCAAGCTCATGGCTTCCCTCGGAGTGGATGTGTATCGGTTCTCAATTGCGTGGTCCCGCATCATTCCAATGGGGGGCCGTAACGACCCAATCAATGAGCAAGGCATCGCATTCTATAGCAATCTGATCGATGAATTATTGGCTCATAATATTGCACCCGTGGTGACTCTCTACCACTGGGATGCACCTCAGTCAATATACGACCGTTATGGAGCCTTTCTCAACACTGAAGAATTCCAAGCGGACTTTGAAAACTACGCGCATCTATGCTTCAGTCGGTTCGGAAATCGCATTCGGAAATGGGTGACATTCAACGAGCCGTATATCATTTCCATATTCGCCCACCTTAATGGAACTCTGGCTCCTGGGCACTGTCGTGAGGCTGGAACTGATACAAAAACGGAGCCCTGGATCGTCGGGCACACTATCATTCTCTCCCACGCCACGGTCGCTTTGATGTACGCGAATGAATTTCGCGAGTCTCAAAATGGGGAGATTTCCATTGTACTGAACGGCCATTATTACGAACCATATGATCAGGCGAGCAGCCAAGATCGCGATGCCACCGAGCGCCGATTACTCTTTTACATTGCTTGGTTCGGGGACCCCGTTTTTCTTGGAGCGGACTACCCTCCTGCCATGCGCGCTTACTTGGGTGACCGACTTCCTACATTTACAACCAAGCAGCGCGAGCTCCTCCAGCGAGCTGCACCTGTCAACACATACTACGGAATGAATCACTATTCCACCAAGTTTATACGTGCGCTATCTGATCCACCGGCCGAGGATGACTGGACAGGCAACACGGAGGAGCTTTCAATCAACAGTGAGGGTAAAGAGATTGGGCCTGTTTCGGGGGTAGCTTGGCTTCGGGTTGCACCAGAAGGCTTTCGGAAGTTGCTGAATTGGATCTGGAAGCGATATCGGCTACCTATTATTGTCACGGAGAATGGCTGTCCTTGTTCGGGCGAGGAAAATATCTCCACAGCCGTTGATGATAAGTTCAGACGGTGGTACTTTGGCTTGTACCTAGACGCGATTTCCCGTGCCATATATGAAGATGGAGTTGCCGTTGATGGCTACTATGCTTGGAGCTTGATGGATAACTACGGTGCGTTTCTTGGAGGCTAAACAGGACTATATGTCGAACTAACACACTTTCGCCTGCCTAGAGTGGTCTGCTGGTTATGGGCCTCGCTTTGGCATTATTCATGTTGACTTTCAGACTTTGGAGCGGACTATGAAGAATTCGGGATATTACTTGCGGGATACCTTCATAGAACGTAGGAGAAAGTCATAGTAAATGAACGCTTTGCATTTAGACGTGAAATTATAACAGAAAAATTGCTAGTATTTCTTATTTTTACACACACATCTATTTATGCCATTCTTACTTGCCTGGGTAGTCTGAGATCTTAGGCTGGCCATTCATACGGTTCCCAGATTCTCAGCCCTGGAGAGTATAGATGGGGCTATGGAACATGTCTCAGGATCTTGAAAATTCCCAAAAATACAATGGGGTCCAGTCCAGTCCAATCACTGCCGCTGCGGGGTATGGAGAGATGGTCTGGAGCCTGGCTTGTGGCGTATTTGTGGGGAAATCGCATATTTGTCCGCGGAATTTCCCTCAACTTCTTCTTTTCATCTTCTGTCAGCCTCAACGGTTTGTCAAAATGTCACCCCTGCGGCGTCTAGCGGCAACTCGTGCATGCGATCCGTGCCAACGTCGAAAGGTCAAATGCGATGTGAGTACGGAGGCAACACGGAGTCTCATTCCCGAGATCAGACTAACATGGAAACAGACACTGGAGATTTGTGCAAATTGCCGAACATCTGGGCTTGCCTGCCACTATACAACTGTCCCCAAAAAGCGGGGACCCAAAAGGGTCCAGAAGTCATCCTTAGAACGACCAAATGCAACGCCTGCATTGGACAACAATGTTCTGGATTCTTTGTGGGTGAATCCAATGCCGACGGGGAATACAGTGGTTTCACACCCTGGAGATCTAGGAAACATGACATCGCCAACATTGGTTGGAATGGAGCAGACCTCTGCATCTCTGTCCGCACAGGCCATTAGGGACCGCTTATTGGATTTGATGAGCTTTGTGTCAGCCTCATTGGTGCCATTTGACATTGTGGACCGCTGCATCTATCTCTACATGCAATACACCTTTCCCACTGCTCCGATCGTGCATGAGCCCACTCTGCGGGAATACGCAGCCACCTTCTTTTCTGGCGCCAACACGAGGCTATTCGCCGCACTTACAACTGGAGAGGAGGTGGCGCATATGCGGGCTTTTGCTCTTCTCAGTGGATTATGTGCGTCAGTCGCATCGGTAATCCCAAACTCACTATTGCCGTATCGGCATTTGATCGCGAAGCCGTGTCTTGATGCATCACGCGGAATGCTGAAAGTGTTTGAGGACTACGATGTGGAGAACCCGGATTCATCTTCAATTGTCACGCGAATTTTTCATACCACCGCCTCGCAGAATATTACCGGCAAAACAAGGTTAACGTATCATATTCTTGGTCAAGCGGCGCTGCTCATCACAAACATGCGTCTCTACAGGGAAGACGCCCTTCAGTCTCACGATCCCCTTGAGTGCCAATTACTACGCCATATATACTGGCAAATATATGCAGCGGATCAGGCATCGTTGTGCATTCGCAGTCGCCCCTTTCATCTACATGAACTGCTGTATAACGAAGAAGCGACAATATGCACCCCTGGGAGAAAACCAATAATTTCTCAATTTGATACTACCGCAGCGTGGAGTGATGTGATGTTCGAGGAGCGCATGCTGTTTTCCTTCCATCTTATTCCTCGTCTTTGGTCGACGGCGGCCGCGTTATTGCTCGATATGAGAAAGTGCAAAGCTCAGGTAAATGACGCCGAAAAATCACGATTGTCAAAAGCATACATGGAATTTTTAGGAATCATGGACAACCTTCCATATTGGCTACAGGCTTCTCATGTAATATTTTCTCGTAACGACGGGGATGGAGCGCAGTTCCAGAAGACAGCCTTTTGGGTTCAAAGATGTACGATTCAGGTATCATTCCAGTGTCTACGACTACTCATTCTACAACAATGCCTTGATTCCGAATTATGCGATATCATGGGCTTGAACAACCAGCCTATCACCTTCCAAATGACAAAGGTTGGGATAATTCAGGACTTTGTCCAAACTCTGGATGATATACCATTTGTCTTTTTATTGGTGAAAGGGGAGCCAACGGTGAGCACAAGAACATTGATTCTGATATTAATTCGCTAAATAGAAACTTTAGGTCGAGAGAATTCGTCTAGTAGGCAGTATGCTTCTCGAGGTGCTTGACCAAGTGGAGGATGGGCATATCCGAGTACGAGCCAATCATTTATTTACACGGCTTCTGGATATACTTTCCAGGCTCGATTCAAAGTCATCAGATGTCTTGGTCGAAATGAGGGAACTGGGCGAGAAAACAGCTGAGTCGCGGCGGGAGGAAGCTCTCGGGTGATTCTTACGTGGCGATGGATTCGGCTAGAGTAGCAGAGTTAGACCTTTATGTCAGATGTCTAGTCTAAGCTCTAGATTGCTTTTGAAAGCTCCAACTTTTTCAACATCTGTGCACTTTGGATCGCAATTTCGTTACTTTGTGCAAGCGTCGTTCATGGTGGCGTACGTGGGCACCACAGGTATTATCGCATAGATGCATACGGACTCAATTCGATGAATTAAAGACTATTAGTAGTTTAAGATCCGAATGTGGTCCACGGTCAAACCGTAGCTTCGGTAAATTAGAGACAAACGCTATTCGGTTGTGCATTTCTCCGCGGATAAATAGGGTTCCAAGGTTTGGTAGTGCCACAAAGATTTCTTTCACTTTTTTCGGATGCGAATACCCCGGATTCTCAGACCTTGCATTCCACGTGAGGCGAGGGTGGAGACTCCACTTCTGGAAATAATATATCTTCCAAGGTTGTCGAGAAATTCATGTTGCTTTCAAGTTATTTGATCTTCATCCATATTCTTAACAATGGCAAAGATCTGGGAAATGGGAACAGGCACCCAACATGCTGAGCACTCCAGTTCACCTGTTCAAGTCAATATTGACGAGGCAGCTGAGCTGGCCAATGGTGTTGGGAACATAGAACCGTCGCTCTGGACTCTGGGCATGATTCGCTTGTACGGCTGTTTGTTGATTGGATACCTTTGCGCAACGGTGAACGGCTTCGATGGTGCTGTGATGGGGTAAGTAACACCCAAGGGCATGATGAATTTAACTTATGAAAAATTCAGTGGAATCAATGCCATGACTTCTTATCAGGACTATTTCCATATGTGAGTTCCTCCAGTTTCCCTATCGTTGCAATCGTCTGGCTTACAATGTGGATTTTAGGGTGAGCGCGTCCTCCAGCACCGGTATTATATTTGCCATCTACAGCATCGGTACCTTCAATCTTATCCGGATGTGAAAACAGGCTCTAATTAAATCTTATAGGTACTGCGTGCGCGGTTCCATTCGTTGGTCCCGTTAGTGATCGATGGGGAAGACGATGTGGTATGTTTGTTGGCGCAGTCATCGTCATGCTTGGGACCGTAATAGCTTCCCGGGCGATCAATCATGGAATGTTCATGGGTGGGCGTTTCGTCCTAGGATTCGGGGTCTCCTTTGTCAATGTCAATGGACCCATATATGTCGGCGAGATGGCCCATCCCGCCTGGCGTGGTCCTTTGTCCGGTCTTTACAATTGTTTCTGGTGAGCAAGGAGAGCTAACTGGATCCCTTAAAAAAACAATTACTTATTCTTGACCAGGTACATCGGATCTATCGTTGCAGCCTGGGTGGTATACGGAACAAAGACCCAGGCTAATGGATGGCGAACCCCTCTGTATTGTCAATTCATTGCAAGTGGCATTATTGCTCTGGCTGTCTGGTTCTTACCAGAGTCCCCTCGGTGGCTCGTTAGCCATGGAAAAACCGAATCAGCGCGGAATGTTCTCGCAAGATACCACGGCGAGGGTAGCCCAGATCACCCCATCGTTAAATTACAGATGGCTGAGATGGTGCTCCAGATCTCAACCGAGGGATCGGACAAAAGGTGGTGGGACTACAGAGAGCTTTGGAAGACCAGATCTCAGCGTCGTCGCCTGATCTGTGTTCTGTCAATGGCTGTATTCGGTCAATGGTCCGGCAACTCCTCCACTAGCTACTATCTTCCCGTCATGCTGGAGAGCGCAGGTATCACTTCAGAGAGTCGAAAGCTTCTTCTTAACGGCATCAACGCACCCCTTTGTTTCGTTGCTTCGATCACGGGAACGATGTTCCTTGACAGGGCCGGTAGACGTCCACTCCTCATATCCAGTCTCATCTGCTGCATCATTTTTCTTGCCATCTTAACGCCTCTTTCGAAGGTTGCATCTGAGCACCCAGAACAAGGCTCGACTGCGAACGCAAGTATCGCATTTATTTACCTCTTCGGCATTACATACTCGTTTGCGTGGACTCCGCTGTCCCCCATGTACGTCGTTGAGTGCCTCGACGCCAACACACGTGCAAAGGGCAAGGCCCTGGCCCAGTTTTTTACAGCCTGTGCTTCCGCCATCATCCAGTACGGCTCCGGTCCGGCTTTCGAGAAAATCAAATACTACTTTTACATCGTCTTTATTGGCTGGGATCTGTTCGAGGTGGCTTTCATCTACCTCTTCTGGCCGGAAACGAAAGACAGGACCTTGGAAGAGCTTGACGAGGTCTTCCAGGCACCTAATCCTGTCAAACGGAGTCTCCAGGCTAAAGATCTTCAAACTGTACTCAACACTCTTCATGTCGGGGATAAGCAATCGGAAGTATAAGTGGTCAACCTCATCCTCGGGGGCTGTCGGGCTTTCGAGAAAAGGGGCTCTTTGGGCCCTTTAGGCATAAGGAAGGCGGGGAGGTTTGGTTTATACCTAGGTAATCTTGAATACATTCTGCCTCAGTATGGATAGTTGCTGTCGAGGCCTTGCGCAGGGGAAGGGGGCTTTATAACTCAATGTCAAATAATTCACCGGTAAGACTTCTCCATAGTTGCGACCATAGAATAGTAACTATGTCCACCGTGCTCTGCGCTAAAGAAAATACTCATAGTATGGCGCTTGTAAGCGTTGCATCCATAAAATTGAAAACTGATTGTTGCAACTTGAGCTTCTTGCTCTCACGGGTGTTGAATAACGTGGAATACCCGCTGCCCGCCATCCCCCCCCAAGCCGCCATTTTCCCGAACACCATAGTTAACGTAGTAAATTACAACTCACAATATCTCAATAACAACAACTTTATTCAAGTTGAATTTTGGCATGGTGGCTATCCTTGAGTAACATAAAAAGATTATTTTTTTGAAGTAATTTAATTCATTATTTACATCCAATACAAAAATTACACGGTATTTTTGCCCCATATATAAAAAAAAAATATTTTGAGAGTAAAATTTAGATTTAAGATTATCTACCTAAATAAAGATATAAAGAATGATATAAAAAACTATAATATTCAGGATTCTATTAAGAAGCAAGTGTTGTTTAAACATTGAGTTGTAATTTACTGCGTTAACTATGGCGGCTTGGGGGAATGGCGGGTAGGGGTATTCCACGTTACCTGTCAAGCAACACAGCCCTGCTGAACCCATACCCATTTAAATTTGAAGCCTGCTTGGAGCATAAATATAGATTGTCATTTTATTCGCTATTTTCTCTGCTATTACGGATCATTTGCATTCGTATTGATTTCCTCTCAAAGAATTAAAAGTGGTATTTTGTGAAAGTCAGCATTACATGAAAGCCACTAAGGGATATAGGTTTCTGGAGTCTTATTTATAAAGCACACATTATAATCAAAATTAACTCAAGAATGATATAAAAATGAACGATCCTATTGGACTCTTACATTGAACTCGGCTTGAAAACAAATGCAAAACGGGTCTCGCGACATGGAACTCGGTACTTGTCAAGCGTCGCAGGGCCACACCGCGCAGTTCCCAAACCTGCGTGCGCAGCATCAAGTCGAAGAAATACATCCTCCCGCCTGTCCAAGTCTGTCGGATGGCTTGCATCAGCTATATTGATGCCAGTGTAATGGAGGGCCGCAAAGTCAAACTCCTCCCCTGCATTCCCAGATTCATCCACTCGCGCAACTACCAGCCCGATATTCCGATTACCTGCTAGCCGAAGCCAGCGGGTTCCTGCGCGATTACCATTCTCCTGTGGATATTCGTATGGCGTATAGAGTTGATCAGGGGTTCGACTGTGCAAGCTTACCTTTTGAGAATTGCGTTTATCCGCATAGGACTCCTCCGGTCCACATCCAAACCAGTCGACAGTCTCGAAATCTGGGGTTAGCTGCATATCAAGACCCAATCGGGGGAGAATAGAAGGATGGAATCCCCGAGGACGAATATGGTGGTCTATGATAACTGTGCCGTCCCCGTAGACCGAGTAGATTATTGTGGTCACAAATCCCCAGTCCCGCATGACAGCCCCGATATAAGCCTCGACGATGATATCCAGACGGTCCTTGCTAAATGATCGCATAGAGGCGGAGATTATGCGACGTTGAAGATTATCCAGGGCAAATTCGCTCCATCGCACAGCATCATACTTCTTGTCATTTTCTGTTGCGGGTCTCCAGGCTCCAAGGGTTGGTGGCGAGGTGATGACAGATTGGCCACCCAGTCTCCAGTCAGTTAAACAGCCTCTGATCCGGTCAAACTGAATGAGAAAAGTTGGACCCCCCTAAGCACCCAGGAGGTTGTAGATTCTTGAACTTCAATCGGCATTTGCTGAGCCGGGGTGGACATGGTTGGCCATTCACGTCTTGTGACTAGGTGTTGGTACCAAGCGACTTCATGGCCACTTTGTGCCCATACTGTAGGATTATTTACCTGAAGGCTAATACTCAGGTGGCATTCCACAACATCTTTCTCTATATCGTGAAGCTTTGGGAGAGGCATGGTGATTGTCTCAGACGGCCTGGCGGTAGGACATGGTTTGCGATCCAGAAGAATTGTCTCCAGTTCACTGCCTTGTGATCAGTAGTTACTGGCTGAAAGGTAGAAGTAAGACTTACCGGCCATTGAATTTTGATAGTTCCAAAACAAGTGTAAGGTTATCGAGGCAATCAAAATCGTGTAGGTTATGAAGCGACACATTGCCATCAGTGACACTGACTTTAACCGGCTCGATGACTTTCTTGAATTCGATAATGCCACGGCCGGGTGAGTGATCTGACAGGACAAGCCCATCCAAGGCGAACGTTGCATCATTTGGATGGTCGCCAAAGTCTCCTCCATAGGCGTAATATCCTTTGTCTTCCTTCCACAACCCGAGATTTGCAAACTCCCAGATAAATCCTCCTTGCAAACGTCGATGTTTGTGAAACATTTCCTGGTATTCCTCCAATGCACCTGGTCCATTCCCAAGTGCCATTCCGTACTCACACAGGATTATGGGCTTCGTGAACTCATCACCTTCCGCCAGTGCCTTCCGTTCCATATTCTCGAGTTCAAGGTACATGTATGAACACATGTCTGTCGTTTCGGCCTTCCTATCTCCTTCGTAATGGACAAGCCGTGTGGGATCATGCTTTTTGACGTACTCGTACATGACGACTTGGTTGCAACCATACCACGCCTCATTCCCGAGGCTCCAGATGATGATTGAGGGGTGATTTTTGTCTCTTTGAAGCATTTGTTCAATTCGGTCCAGATATGCACCGCGCCAAGCGGGATTGTCACTGGTGTACTTGGCCAGTGTAGGACTGAGATACTCTTCAATTGAATCGGCCCCGTCTTTCTGCCAGATCTCCTGAGGTACGTTCTTCATGTCCACATCACCTCGAATAAAGCCATGGCATTCTAGATCGGCTTCATCAATCACCCACAAACCGATTTCGTCACAGAGGTCGTAAAATCCGGGGTGGGAAGGATAATGGGAGCAGCGAACGGCATTGACGTTGTGTTGCTTCATTAAGATGAGATCGTGTCTGAGGAACTCCAGTGATACTGCGCGTCCATCTAATGGGTGGAAGTCATGATGGTTGACGCCTCGGAAAAGAATGGCCTTGCCGTTAACTGTGATATTTCCATTCAAAAGCTCTACCTGCCGAAAGCCGACCTTGTGATGAATCACTTGAGGCTTGCAATTTGGGGCGATAAGATCAATGCTGAGGTCATAAAGATAGGGTGTTTCTGCAGTCCACTTCCGAGGATACAACACAGACAGTTTGAGCTGTAGGGGTGGAGATTCAGCAGATACTGACACTTGCGTCTGTCCGATGAGCGAGGAATCACGGTCCCGGAGCTTGATATCAATTGTCGATGTAGTTTCGAGGTGAAGCTGAAGATTAATCTGCAATGTGGCATCCTTATAATCTTCGTCCAACCAAGTCTGGACAAAGAAGTCCTCAATTCTGGCGGTAACTGGGAAAGCTAGAAGGTAGACATCCCGGAAGATACCTTGAACAGGGTTGGTAAGAAATTCCATACTCCCCGTGGATTTCTATTCACGTACCTGATAACCACCATTGATCCTGATCTTCCAGATACGACCCATCACAGTACTGGTATACCCGAACAATCACCTCATTGTCCTCCTCGAGGAGAACATGGTCGGTGATATCGAACTCGGCAGGATTTCGACTTCCTTGGCTGTATCCAATCTCCTTTCCATTGATAAACAAGTGGAAAGCACTGTCAACACCATCGAACCTCAATCGAATCTGGGAAGGAACCGTCCAGGATGATGGAACTCGGAACGACCTTTTGTAAGTGCCGACTGGATTTTCGGTGGGAACGAAGGGTGGGTCGACCGGGAAGGGATAGGGGACATTGGTATAATGAGGCGTGCCGTAACCTTGCAATTGCCAATGAGCCGGCACTTGAATGGGATTCCACTCGTTAACTTGATGAAATGGCGTTGGTGCGTATTGGAAATCCCAGCTCCCATTCAAAAGAAGAGCATCTTGGGGGATCCAATAAGATCGGGTGGGCAAACGATTGCGCTGAAAAACCTGCTCATTGCAGTAATCAGGGAGGTCCGAAGCGTATGAACCCATAACTGCGATATTGTATTGCGACCAGTGATCTATGAAAGAGTGACAGTGGCCACCTTTAAGTAAGTTGTGGAGAGGTTGGAAATTTGCAATTTTGCCATCTTGACCTGAAGATTGGGGACAAGCTACCCGCGGAGGAATCCAATGCGACAAGAACTTGAGCTCGAACATTTAGGTATTATAAGGCTGTGTTCCACTTGTAATTTGCTATATCTCTGACAATGCCAACACATGGATGCCAAGGATCTCATGGTAGACTCCACTCCGGGGCTTTAACTACGGCCTCAATTTTCCGCGGAGAATTTATGGATACGAATTCGAATAGTAACTATAGTACGAGTAACCTAGGAGTATTAGTACGAGTAATAACTCGTAGTGATAGTAATACTACTAGTATATACTACTACTAGTACTAGTCATGAGCACCAATGAAGTAACTAGGGAATATAGTTACAGGTATTATATACTTGTACCTCAAGTCCAAGTGCCGTGGTTCATAACCTTGGAATTCACACGTTCGCTACTGCTAGTAGCTAGAAAGTAGTATACATACATAGATACTCCTGTATCCAATAGAGTACTACTGGTAGTATTTTATTCAATTTCAATCTGTACTACCTAGGTACTACTACAACTCTACTACTGCTGTATACTATACTGTTCTACTCTTCGGGGCAGACCATCATCACGTGAATGTCCAGAGCTCCAGAGCTCCCGAGCTCTCCGTGATCCAATTCAATTAGACCAATTAAACCAACCAGGTCAACGACAAGTACCATCTTGTTAGTAGCCTGAGGTCAACTCCTTCAATTCCTCAGCTCGAACCATGGAATTCCATCCGCAATGCCAGGATTGCACCGCGCTGCGATTCCAGATCGGGTGACGTCAAGAATCCCGATCGCTCGATCGATGACATCCTACGCGTCTCAGACCAGCCGATGGGATGCTAGCCTCTCTTAACCGGGGCTGCGCGCCTGTTTGCCCGGATCCCATCGATGCATCGATTCACCCCTGTCCACCTTCAGGTTCTCACTCGACTCCTACACCCACTTAAACCTCCATCTCCCCGAACCCTGCGACCCCGTGCCTCTATATCCAAATTCATCTCTACATCCGCCTGCACGATGGCACCGAAACGCAAGACCTCCGATGCGGACGTCGATAATAAACCAAACGGCCACGCGTCCAAGAAAGGTCGCACCGGCCTACGTGAACCACACCCCAATGCGAAACAGACAGAAGACTTTGGCATTGTCCTACGCGACTTCTACCCTCCGGAGATGAGCAATGAGCGATGCAAGGCATACACAAATGGCACCATTCAGCGACCCATTGAAACACTGCAAGAGGCGTGTCGCGACACCGCGGACAAACGTCATTCCATTGAGGCCGGTAAAGCGGTGGTTCACTGGTTTAAGAGTGACCTCCGGTTATCCGACAATCGGGGCCTACATACTGCGTTCCAACTCGCCCGCGACAACCAGGTGCCTCTCATTGGTCTCTACATTGTATCCCCAGAGGACTTCGAGGCTCACTCAACGAGTCCCGCCCGGGTGGACTTTACATTGCGGACCCTGGAGCGATTGCGGCGGGACTTGGCCGAACTCGATATCCCCCTCTACATGGAAACGCAGGAAAAGAGGAATCAAATCCCCGGTCGCGTGGTTGACTTATGCCAGAAGTGGGAGGCGAAGCATCTCTGCGGGAATATCGAGTACGAGGTTGACGAGCTCCGACGTGATGCCAAGCTCGTTCGACTGTGTGCGTCGAGTGATATCGATTTCACCCCCACCCCCGACACCTGTGTGGTCTCACCAGGTTCACTGAGTAGCCAGCAAGGGAACCAGTATGCGGTTTATACACCCTGGTTCCGCTCCTGGCTGGCTTTTCTCAAAGAGAATCCGGATTACCTCGAGTTGTCCGAGGAGCCGGGCTCGAATCCCGGGGACGCACGGAAGCAATTCTCTGACCTGTTTGACTGCCAGATTCCCGTTTCACCAAAGAGCAAGCAGCTCTCGAGTGAGGAGAAGAAGCGATTCGAAGAGCTATATCCGGCTGGGGAGCATGAAGCGATGCGTCGATTGGAAAAGTTTCTGGAAGAAAAAGGTCGCAAGTATGCGGAGATGCGCAGTGTGCTCCCTGGAGAGAATACGTCGCTGCTCAGTCCATACTTTGCATGTGGAGCCCTCAGCGCGCGGACAGCGGTAGTGACGGCGAAGCAGTTGAACAAGAATTGGCTCGATCGTGGGGACCAGGGATACATGACCTGGATCAGTGAAGTGGCTTGGCGGGACTTTTACAAGCATGTCCTCGCGCACTGGCCATTTATCTGTATGAACAAGTGCTTCAAGCCGGAACACACCAACATCGAGTGGGAGTATGATGCGGATCAATTCCAAGCGTGGTGTGATGGCAAGACGGGATTTCCTATTGTTGATGCTGCGATGCGACAACTGCGGCATTGCGCGTGGATGCACAATCGCACGCGGATGGTGGTGTCGTCGTTCCTGTCGAAGGATCTGATGATTGACTGGCGGCGCGGTGAACGATACTTTATGGAGAATCTGATCGACGGGGATTTCGCGTCGAATCATGGCGGGTGGGGATTTGGGTCAAGCACTGGAGTTGATCCACAGCCTTACTTCCGGATTTTCAACCCTCTCCGACAAAGCGAGCGGTTCGATCCGAACGGTGAGTATATTCGGCAGTGGGTTCCGGAGCTGCGCGAGATTGGGGGCAAGGCGATTCATGATCCATATGGGAATAAAGAGGCGGCGGGGGTGGCGGAGAAGAATGGGTATCCCAAGCCGATCGTGGATCACGCGGAGAGTCGAGCGCGGGCATTAGAGCGATTTAAGAGTGCTCTTCAGAAGGATAAGGAGTAGAATAGGGGAGTGGGAAGAAGAGTGAGACATTGATATACGTTGAATACGAAGGAGTATAGCAGAAAGGAGAGCAGAGCAGGAATAGAATCCGAATCAGAAACACAATCTCACAATAAACTCAATATTATGGAGAAAGCAGTTTCAGTTTCCTTAAATATGACTATTCCACTATTCCACACTATACCCCAGTAGTACTAGTATTAGCTGTAGTGCTGTAGTGCTGTAGTGCTGTAGTGCTGTAGTGCTGAGTGCACTGACGGTCTTCCCCGCGCTTTCTCCATTTCTCCATTTCCCCATCTTCACCTCTTCACTCTCCCTCCATACTCATGACTTGACATGGAACCCCACGGGGATCCCCAAAGCCCTGGCCCCGTCGATCTCCCCAATGGCAAGCGACGTTGGCGCCGCAATCGAGTGGCCTGCGATTCCTGCCATACTCGTCGGGTCCGATGCGACCGAGCCTTTCCCTGCTCGCGATGTCTACGAAGTGACATTCACTGTGAATTCACCCGCGAGCGTCGCAAACGAGGGCGCATTGCCCGTTCCAAGTTGACCTTGAACGGTTCGATGGATCCCGCCAACTTGAACTACGATGATGAGGATGAGGGTGATCAGGGTCCTGATCAGGATCCTCACCCTCACCCTCACCCTCATACTCATAATCCCTCGGCTCGCAAACCCTCCACATCCAACGGTGACCAGAAAGTCTCCCAATCTGCCCTCTCTCCATTACAACAGAGCTCCTTGTCGCCAGAATCCGCTTTCCCACACCGATCCCCAGGAATTGCTTCCAATCGCCTCAGTCTGTCGGCGCCGAGTGTCGAGGAAGACTCGCGCTCGCACCCACGTTTGCGCCCACATCCGCGACCAGAGACCGAGGCCAATGCGACGGAGGAGTGGTTGTCTGGCGCACACCTTTCACCCGAGTCTTATGATATCTTAGGAGGTGTACATGGAAATGATGGACCACTCCCGCGATTATACGATATTTGGAACCCAGTCGACCTCGGCGGCCATCACTCTCACTCTCAATCTCATCCTCGCCAACACTACCACCACCAACACCAACACCATGCACCCCAGCGTCCTCAGCGATTACCCTCCATCTCCGCACAAACTCACTCCCAGTCCGGTCAGGGAGCGCCCTCATCCTCACGATCAAGTTTGAAATACCCCGTGCTCGAACCCATAATGCCCTTCCTCGAATCCAGTCTACCGCGCCGGCTCGTGTGCGATTTGTTGGAACTATATTTCACCTCCGCTTTCTCGACACACATGCACCCCGTGTGTCACCACATCCACTGCTATGTCCTACGCAAAGCATCTTTCCTGAGCACCGACCGACCGCGACCGAGCACTCCAGCATTGTTGGCGAGTATGCTGTGGGTCGCTGCCGTGGATGATCGCGCATTCTCCCTCTCCATTTCACCACTACAACGCCGCAAAATCTGTCAATTCCTCTGCGCTTTGACGATCCGTCTCCTCCGACCATTAATTCATGTCTCGTTTAAGGACCAGGAACCACCGGAGAACCCAAATGCCCCGCAGGAATTGCCGACCGCCGCAGTACATCACCCGTTTGAAGGAGTGGGCGATGATAAAGGGTTGGTTGGGCCAGCCGGATCTCTTGACGACGTGATTACATATATCCATGTTGCATCGATTATTTCATCAAGTGAGCAGAAAGCGGCCAGTATGCGGTGGTATGTGTTCCCACTTCTCCTACTCCCACCACCACAACCATGCTAACATAGTACTCTCTCATTCTAGGTGGCATGCGGCCTTCACTCTCGCTCGAGAACTCAAGCTTAATCAGGAGATGGAAGTCATGTCGAACATGGATAGTCAAAGTGATGGGTCGAGCCCGTCCTTTGGCTACTCTCTCGCAGCGTGGGCCAGTTCCCCCGGCGGTGCGGCATTCGACTATTCGAATCCATCACGACCGAGCTTAAACTGCGTTTGTGAAGACAAGCACGACCCGCACAGTAACGGTGTGATCACTGAAGAACATCGTGAAGAGCGCCGTCGTACGTGGTGGCTCTTGTATATCATGGACCGACATCTGGCATTATGCTACAACCGGCCACTCGCCCTGCTCGACGCCGAGTCGGAGGATCTGCTCCTCCCGCTGGACGAAGGGTCCTGGCAGGCTGGAAATATCCACAGTAACAGCCCGCGCACCGATGGCCCCCAGTGTATTCGATCCGGGGATCGAAATAAGCGACGCGTTTTCCCCAATTTCATCTGCCATGATCACTCGATTCTCGGCTTCTTTCTTCCACTAATGACCATCACGGGGGAACTGATTGATTTGAACCAAGCGCGAAACCACCCCACACTCGGCCTCCGCCTTCAAGGAAAGGAGGCATGGGAGGTGCATGTGGCGGAGGTCCTCGGACAATTGGAAATCTACAAAGCCAGTCTGACGACCTTTGCTGCAACCACGGCGGCACCTGATCCCGAAGGCGACCGGCAATCGGGAGACGGGGGATCGTTGTCGCAGGCTTATTCCTGGCACACACAGACCGTGATCGCATATTCCTCCTACCTGGTGCATGTCCTACATATCCTGCTCGTTGGAAAATGGGATCCGGTCAGCTTGATCGAGGACAAAGATTTCTGGACCTCGTCGCCGGCGTTTGCCTCGACAATTTCACATGCATTGGAAGCGGCGGACTCGGTGCAGCAGATTTTGCGGTTCGACCCGGATATCAGCTTCATGCCGTACTTTTTCGGGATCCAGCTGTTGCAGGGGAGTTTCTTGCTACTGCTCATTGTGGAGCGATTGCAAAAGGAGGCCGGGGAGGGAATCCTCAATGCGTGTGAGACGATGATTCGAGCGACGGAGTCGTGCGTGGTGACGTTGAATACGGAGTATCAGCGAAGTTTCCGGCAGGTCATGCGGAGTGCGGTGGCGCAGGCTCGGGGCCGACCGGTGAATCCCAGTGAGATTCGACATCGTCGGAAGGCGGTTTTGGCGTTGTATCGGTGGACGCGGAAGGGGACTGGACTTGCTCTTTAGCGAGGAGTGTCTAAAAGCATATTGTATATTGTATAGTGTATATGTCCACTGGAATGATGATGAATGGAAGCGAGATATGGTGTGATGATCTGGATAGTCGAGGCCGGGCCCTGCATTAAGGGAATGGTAATAATATTCTTAGTCTCGTGTGGAGTCAATCTAGTTCGGTTGTGAAGTGTGAAGTGTGAAGTCATTGCGGCGACGAAGCACGCAATTGTGGGGCAGCAGAGCAGGAGTACAGTGTAGTGTAGTATAGTATACTATGATATAGTTAGTATACTACTGTATACTACTGTATACCACTGTATACCACTGTAAATAAACAACCCGACTGCCAGTGTGCCTGGTATCACCCGATATCTCCAGTGTAACCTGTAGTCTTCGTATAGTACAGAGTTACAGAGTTACAGAGTTACAGAGTAGATTAGATCAGATCAGTGCATACATTCAAGTTTACATCAAATGCATACTAGTATACTAATAGACTAGTACATATACTAGTACATAACTAGTACATATCTACTATGCCCTCATCCCAACTGACGATGGCATCATCCTCTACTAGTCATGCGAAAACCTTCCCCACAATCATTGCCGATGGCTCCACTCGAGAATTGGAGACCAACAGACTCAAAGTTCGAGTATTAATACTTACTCTTCATACTTTGATCTCTGCACTTCTAATGTCACTCCCACCCCCATCATGAAACTCCCCCTCCTGGCAGCCACCTCGGCCCTTCTCCAGAGTGTATATGTATCCAGCTCCAACCTCAACAACCTCAACCTCCAAAATGCCCTGCAGTCCGTCCTCAGCGCATCTCCGCATTTCTCCTCCTCTTCCTCCTCCCCGCCAAACATTCTCCTCGTCATCACCGACGATCAAGACTTGCAGCTCGACTCAATCGATTACACTCCTCACATCACCCGCCATATTCGCGACCAAGGCACCTTTTACCGCAATCACTTCGTCACCACCGCTCTTTGTTGCCCTTCACGCGTGAGTCTGTGGACCGGTCGCCAGGCTCACAATACCAATGTGACGGATGTTCATCCCCCGTATGGTTAGTACAATCAATCTGGAACCATGCGCCGATCATCCAGCAGAAGCTAACATTAGATCTCTGATTAAAGGCGGATATCCCAAGTTTGTGGACCGGGGCTTCAATGACAACTTCCTCCCCGTCTGGCTGCAACAAGCCGGCTATGATACCTACTACACCGGCAAACTCTTCAATGCCCACACCGTCGACAACTACCACAGCCCCCACGTCAATGGTTTCAATGGCTCCGACTTTCTCCTCGACCCTTACACCTACTCTTACCTCAACTCCACCTACCAGCGCAACCAAGATGCCCCCGTGAGTTATGAGGGATACCACACCACAGACGTGATCACAAAAAAGGCATTGGGCTTTCTCGATGACGCTCTCGAAGGCGAAAGACCTTTTTTCCTCACCGTCGCTCCTGTCGCCCCACATTCCGACGTCAACCCGGGGAGAGCCCTGGCCGGAGAAATCCCCATCATGACGGCCCCCATCCCACTCGAGCGACACGAGCATCTCTTCAAGGATGTCAAAGTGCCTCGGAATGAGAACTTCAATCCCGATGAACCCAGTGGTGTGAGTTGGGTCAGGGACCTGCCTCAGCAGAATCAGACGGTCGTGGATTACAACGACCACTTCTACCGCTCGCGTCTCCGCGCTCTGCAAGGCGTGGATGAATTGGTTGATGCACTCGTCTCGCGTGTCGAACAGAGTGAAAAACTGGATAATACCTATATTATCTACACCTCCGACAATGGGTTCCATATTGGTCAACACCGGTTGCCGCCCGGGAAGACCTGTGGTTTTGAAGAGGATATTCGGGTGCCGCTTTTCATTCGGGGGCCTGGAATTCCGGAGGGTGGGGTCGAGGATTCGGTGACGACGCATATTGATCTGGCTCCGACGATCTTTGAGTTGGCGGGGATTCCAGCTCGTGAGGACTTTGACGGAACGGCCATTCCGATCACGGATGAGTTCTCGGGTACGCGACATGAACATGTTACAGTCGAATATTGGGGGAGAGCAGTTGTGGAGGGAGATTACAGTGGCATTGGTGAGTTTTTCCCTTTGATTACTGCCAGGGTCAACTCAGTACTAATCATGCATACATTGATCCAGGTCCCGATGGTCTACCGCAGTTCCCTAACAACACCTACAAATCGGTACGCCTGCTCGGAGAAGGCTACAACTTCTACTACTCGGTCTGGTGCAGCAATGAGCATGAACTTTACGATCTGTCGGTGAGTGATGGTCCCTACCTTAAGAAAAAAGAGAAGAATCGCCGACTAACCGAACCGAACAGACCGATCCGTATCAACTACACAACCTCTACCCGAGTACAACTCCGACAGCGACCAAGGAACCCCAAATACTGGGGCGCAGCCTTTCGCAGGTCATCAGTCGACTGGATGCGCTCCTTTTAGTGCTCAAATCGTGCCAGGGAATTACCTGTATCAAGCCCTGGGATGTCCTGCAACCAGGCGGCTCTGTGAGCAGCCTCCGGGAGGCCCTGGACGAAGGATATGATGCTTTCTATGGGGAGCAGCCAGGTGTATCCTTTGACTGGTGTGCTGCTGGCTACATCATCGCGGCTGAAGGTGCACAAGTGCCATTGACGACGAGTCGTTATGGACTGCCGTGGGACGCGTGGGTGTAGTGGTAGCAGTAGCAGTAGTAGTAGTAGAGGATATAGACATATTCAAGTCAAGTTCACGTTCTAGCGTTAGATTGTATCTATTATGATCATGATTACAGAGACCAGATTTTCATAAAGCAGACAATATTTACGAGTTAATGGAAATTAATTAAATCCACTGGAGCTGTAGTGATCGTAAATAGTCTCAGCTCGTAAGGGTGTCCCACCACACGGTATAACTGCCAGTGGTAATACACTGGCAGGTGTAGGAACGCAACAATAGCCGAGCCTCGTGGCTTGACAGATGCGTATTGCAAGTGCCGAGTTGCTGATACAGTGCCAGCTAATGGGAATGGCATTCGCCGATGGGAAAAGGGAAAACTGGGGCGATTCTCACGAATCTCACGATGATTGACGATTGTGAATTGTTGATTGCGCCATAACCCCCCACCGTGTCGACAACACTAAAATACTCTCCCGAGTTACGCAATGCTCTCGCTTGGCCTTTTTTCTTTATTTCTTTATTGTATTGTATTTTTGGCTATCTATCGGCAGATGGAATGGGAAAAAAATAAAATGTATAAGACTGTCGTACCCACCGGTTTTGTTGACATTCTCCATCTCGAAATCCCTTGAAGTATCCCTTCGCTCACCATCGCCTTCAAGATGTCCGATCGGACGAGCTTCAACGAAAAGCACATCAATGAAAAGGTCACTGATTCACTTGATTCACCACCGAGTGAATTGGATCATGGCATTGTTAAAGATTGGGATGAGGAGGAGTCGGCTGTGACACGCAAGTTCGTATCAATACTTTCAGACTGGGTCAAATCCAGTATAAGGTCAAAATAGACACAAAAAAACTTACATTGACTCTGTCACTTTCGATAGAATTGACTTCATCCTCTTACCGACCCTGGCCCTCGCCTTTTTCTGTCTCCAGATGGATCGAGGCAATATCAGCGCGGTTCTCACCTCAACTATTACCACGGACCTGAATATCACCACCAACCAGATCAATATCGGTACTCAATTGCTCTCTGCCGGCATTGTTCTCGCCGAGATCCCTTCGAACATAATTATGCAGCGCATTGGGCCTCGCGTGTGGCTCTCCGGTCAACTCTTCGCTTGGGGGCTGGTCGCGACCTTCCAAGCTTTTGTCCAGTCGTATCCCGCATTCCTGGTCACTCGCATCTTGCTGGGCTTCTGTGAGGGTGGTTTCATCCCTGGTAGGTCAAGTCGGGTCAGGTCAAAAGGCTAGCAGTAGCAGTTGAAGCTGACACGATTAGGTGCTTTATACTACCTGTCCACCTGGTATAAAAGAGAGGAAACCAGTCTGCGGACTAGTCTCTTCTTTTATGGTCAGATGTTTGCCTCAGCGACATCAAGCCTGATCTCCGCAGGCCTGCTGCGCCTTTCTGGAACGCATGGAATGGAGGGTTGGCGATGGATTTTCCTGGGTTAGTTCGTTTCGATATCTCTTTGTCTTCCCATTTGGATAGAACTAACACCAGAACAGTGGAGGGTCTTCTCACACTATTCATCGGCATATTCTTCACTCTCCTTGTCCCACCAAAGGCAGGCGATGGCCGCCCGCTCATCGCCTTCGGTCGCTGGAGCTACTTCACCGAACGCGAATCGCACATCATTCGTAACCGTGTCCTGCTGGATGACCCCACAAGGCACAGGGCCATATCCAAATCTCTTGGTCGGATATTGCAAACACCTTGAAAGAGCCGCGTATCATGCAGCACGTCTTCCTCACTCTTGTCTCCATGTCTGGGTTCCAGGGTATCACTCAATATACCCCTAGCATGATCAAGTCCCTTGGATTCGACTCCATCAAGGCGAATGCTTTGACCTCGGTCCCGGTGTATTGCAGTATCATTTGGTTGACGATTTTGTCGCTTGCTTCGTAAGTTGAACGCCGGAGGGTGTCGTTAGGGGCGACCTGTTGTCTCTGATGAATATTTCTAACGATTAACAGAGACTGGACTGGTCACCGAGGACCCTTTGTGTTGATTGCCATCACTTGGAATGTCATCTCCTACGTATGCCTCAAGACAGCACCATACACGCTGGAGAAGTGGCATCGATACGGAATAATTGCGGTCGCCAATGTCTCCTATTGCAGCATGCAGTAAGTCAAGTCTCGACCCCTTTTGACCTTTGGCATTGTCCTTCCGATCTCTTGCTCCGGGTAAATACTAACGGCGAGAAACAGCATCCTCAACGTAGGCTGGCTGTCTATCTACTGTCACACCCCGCAGGAGCGAAGTGTTGCCATGGCGTGAGTTTTCTCTCTCCCTCCCTCTCTCCCTCTGAACTTCGAAAGAAAGTAAAAAGCATTCTAACTTTTCCTTTTCCATTCAGCCTGGTGGTGATGGCGGCCAATTGTGCTGGTATCTCCGGCTCTCAGATCTTCCGCACCGCAGACGCGCCCAAATACACGCACGGTCTGACAGCGATCTGTGCCTTGGCTGGAGCATCATGGGGCCTTGCAGCCATCCTTGGTGCGCAGTATTATATTCGGCGTCGCAAGGCAGGCGGAAATGAAGTATGAACGGAGCGGAGCTGTCCTGTCCGGGAAGTCCGACTCACCTTATGATTGTAAATAGCGCATACTACTAGTATACATGCACATATTAAACTATACTTCTAGATACTATTTGTTTACTCGGTTGCAGAAGTACTACTACGTGTGTTTTGGGTACCTTCCAGTTGGCTGCTATAGTTCTACCGAACAGGCTATTAGGTATACTTCTAACCACACCCGGCAAGGAACTGCACTGCTTGTTCTTCGTCGCTTCGCGTACCTGGCAGTCTGCAGACTGCAAACTGCAAACTTCTCGTGGCGACTTGCGGGGAAATTCGGTTAAAAAAAGAAACTGTGTTGGGAGGCAAATGCACCGATTGGTGCGTTGATGGGCCTCGTGGTTCGATTATTCGGCCCGACGCTGGGAATCCGGGGTCGGTTAATTCGAAGACAATTAATTTTTGATTTAATTTCTTTGTTTTTGACTTTCAGGATCATCCGGTCTGTCGGAGTGGAGGACTGCCGTTGGCCTTTCGGTTTGAATTTAGCAGTCTTCATCTTCACCTAGCAGTATAGACATGGATTATATGGAGAGCTGTTTAATTTACCGATCGGAGGTCGCTTGCAGCACCGCGCGTCTCCTGCCTCTCCGCAATTTATTTTAGCTCTGCTCTGGTTCCTGACGATGAAATAAAATGGAGGATTCCCCAGGTTTGCGGGGTTCGTTTATTTCCCGGATTTCTTTGAATGTATCTGTACCTGTTCGTGGAATATTTGAGAATCAGTTACAACCATCTTCGACACAAGATCATCTCTGCAAGAGAATGAGCACACGAACTTCAAGCTGAAAATCTCATTTCCATCTTTTTTTTTTCAATTATTTCAATATGACCACCGAATACTACCCCATGGCTCAGTGGCCTGCGCATCCCGCGCAAATGGCCGAGCCCCAATTGATCACCCAAGAAGAGCTCGATCAGCAAGCCTTGATGGCTGCAGGCTTTCCCATGCAAACCGACTTTGAGCAATATCTCCCGCAGTGGGATGAGATCGATCAACTGGATTGGAACAGTGAAATGGCCGGCAAACAAGCGTTTCTACCACCATATCCCCAGTCATGGTACGAGGCAGGCCTTGTCAATGACCAGCGAAAGCAGCTAGAAGCATCATGGAGGAATAGGTGAGTCGAGTTGAGCCCAGCCGAGCTTCAACAGATAATCAGTTGCTCCATCTTGCAGAAGTAATAACTAATCGCTGGATAAATAGCTTCATGATGGCAGAATATCAAACCATGACACCCACAGCCACCCACCACGACGCAGAAAATAACCTCCTCTCCCAAACTTCCAGCGAGAGAGCCCTTTTCATGACCCCACCGGCTCAGCCTCACTATTACCCGACCTTCCCAGGCTCCCCGATTTCCGAACTCTGCAGCACCCCCGAAATGTCTCACTCGTCGCGCTGGGAATCCGATTACGAGGACAAAGAGAGGGAGAGTGAAACACACACCTCCCGATCACCCTACACCGCCCCAGATCCACACCGACTGAAAAATGAAGCCGGGGATTATTTCTCGCGGCGCGGGGTAGACATGAATTCGCATGTGCATGTGCATGTCGACGAGTCGGAGGTTGAGACTATCTTGGAAATGCCCGATGGTACCACGCGCCGCTCGGCAAATTGGCTACCCGTGGACTCGAGCGCTGGGTTCACGATCGGCCCGGAGCAGAGAGGACTTTATAAGGATCCTGCACAGATGGAGGAGTTTCAGGATATTCAGGGTGCTTTCTTCATGGGCCCTCCAAGATGATGAGTGTGTCATCTACCCAAAATAATCCATACTTTCATGGCATGCGCCGGCGCTACCATTCAAATATCGATCTCAGTGATGAGGAACGGGATCCCTTGATCTGATTCAGCGATTAATGCACCTCGAATCACGCGGATTGTCTAGTTGGCCCCTCTAATCTCACCCAGTGCGGACACTCGAGCGATCGGTTGCGTTTTACCACTACGAATACCCATCGGACATCCACCCTAACTACGAATAGGGGTATCCCGGGATGACATACAGTACTTTGATTGTGAAGAATCTCAAGTCTGTACTTGGTTCGAAGAGGATAAAAAGGGTCACAACCAGAGGCAACAGGCGCCTCTCCAGCTCCGCAACCCCGTGAGATGAACGATTGACACTCACAGTGGGCCAAGTGAACAGACTACGAAGTACTACTAGTAGCAAAGTCGGTGGTGATGCAAAAGAATCGATCGATGAGTTAAAGCTATCGAATATCAATGAAGATTTCTAGCTTGACCAACGTTTATGTAAATACAAAAGCGAAACCATAGAGCTTCAAAATCTCAAGTCAAATGACCCTCGTGAAGTCCATAGTCCAGCAGAAAAAGAATTAAAAAGATTTGATCACGAACGTCCACTCAAAGTTGCAACATTCGTCGTGAGACAGCATTTTACTCAGCCTATCCTATGCAGAATCAGGACGTAACCTCTGCTTTAGTTACCCCAACCGTGGTGGTGGTGACCGTGGCCACCGTGCGCACCGGGGAAACCGCTCGACTGAGGGCCACCGCTGGGCAGAGGGAATCCACTGGGAGTGGGGAACCCGCTGGGCAATCCACTGGGGAATCCACCAGGAATGGGACCACCGAATGGAGGAGGGGTAGGCTTGGTACCGACAGTCCTCCAAGACCACGTGGGAGGAGGTCCGGTAGGGGCAGCACCAGGACCAGCGGAGGAGTGGATGGGGAGGTTAGGGGCACCCTGAGGAGGAGCGTTGAAGCGGCGGCGCTTAGAGCTGGAGCTCAGCTTTCCAACACCGGCATTTGCCAGGACAGAAGATTGGACGCGACTGGTGTCGACGACGGAGATGCCAGATTCACCCTTTGGCCAGCTGGACAGGACAGAGGAGTCGGAAGCGGACAATTCACCGGACGAGGTGAGGGTGTTGGCGACACAGGTGCGGCCGAGAGCAGAGTCGCAGGATGACTTGTCGCTGGCGCTGACGGCGTAGGTCTGGCCGGGCGAGCTGTCCTCCAGGAAGGGAGTGTCGACCTGGTTGAAGACGTTTCCTTCAATCAGGGCATTGGTGCCATCGCCGACATCGAATGCGTGGCCAGTGTTGTTGTACCAGTAGTTGTTGTAGGCGTGCCAATAGCTGTTGAACTCGAGCTTGGGCGAACGGCCAGAGGTGTGATGAATGTAGTTGCCAGTGAAGGTGACCTTGTCATTCTTTCCGTAGCCGAGACTGGAATACCATTAGCTGAGGTCATGTTTAACGATATGACTGGCGAGACTTACACGGTCCAATAGTGGTGGCCGTCGCAGGTGGCGGACCAACTCGTTTGACCGTCAAATTCATTGTTGGAGATAGTGACACGACCACCTGGAGATGGTTAGCTGAGATGCTTCTATCGGCTTATTAAGATACTTACTAGCTTCGTAACCAGCAACAAAGTGCTGACGACCGATCAGAGAGGTCTTAACATGGTCAATCCAGACCAGGTCGGAGCCATCCAGGGTAATGGCATCACCGCCCCAGATGTACTGAGGGTTCAGCTCGGTGATGTGAATATTCTGGACGATGACATTGCTAACGCCATTGCGAATACGCAGACCTTTACCACGAAGAATACCAGAGCTGCCAACACCAACGATGGACTTGTTCGAGGCAACATCGATACCCTCGAGAGCGGCCTTGTCATAAGTGCAGGTCAGAGTGGGATAGTCACCACACCAGTCAGAGGAATCAAGGTCAATCGCGTTCTGACCAGAGCTGCCGCAGGTATTGGACGAGGGCTTGCAACATTTGCAGTCGCTACACTTGCTGCCGAGGAAGTTGAACTCCTTGTCGATGAGAATCGTACGGGGAGTGCTGTCAGTCAACCACGATGTGAGCTCGGCAGTGTCACTAGGAGAAGCGGCGCTGGCACTTCCACCACCAGTGGTACCAGTCGCGAAACCGAATGCCTTTCCAGAGACGCCAGCGGCCTGGGCAGTGGCTCCAAGCAGCGCAAGAGCCGTGAGGAGGGATTTTTGGATTGCCATATCGGGGCTGAGGGATGAAGGGAAAGTACTGAACCAGCAGTATATCAAAGAATGGAGGTATAAAAAGAACGAATGGGCCGAAGTGGCAAAGGAAAAGAAAGACAGATGACCCGCGTCAATAGCATTGCGCAACACAGTGATTTTATATATCTGCACGCATATTCTCATAGCCCAAAGAGGCAATGAAGAGCATCTTGGCTTCGTTTGAGCTTGAGTAGAAGTGAGGCTCGCAGTGAAGATCCATGCTCCTTTGTGTCCACGGACCGAGCACCGCGGTGGTATCTTGTCCCCAGCATCGCAGAGATTGTCCATAAATGATATCGCAGGGCGGACCACTGATCGACCGGCCACTTGCCCGTTCCTAAGGATGGACTCCACCGGGACGTTTCAGCGAAGCCCTAGTCGGGGCGTGGGCGCCGTGAACCTTGTTTGTAACAGGGAAAATATGTGAATGGTTCGTACATGGTTCTATCTTCCAAGTTCTTTTTGGGAGGCCGACGCGATTTTCCCCTGCAGGTGGCAGTTGAAGGTACCGTCGTTGCGCAGCATTACCTAGGTACATGTCACCTAGATTTCACAGCGACGCTTCCTCGGAAGAAACTCGGGGATATGATCTGATGTAGAAATGATCTGATGCACATATCAAGTGAAACTTCGGCGAATGCTCTATTTGATTTGTTTCACGTTATCACTGTCTACTGTCAGTGGGACATTGCTTATGTTGTCAGTGGAGCAACCATTGCACAACGAGACGGGGTCAAATTCTCCACTTACCGCAATAAATCCCGTGTCTGGGATGTTAATTTGTACTGGCCAATCCCTCTAGTGCTGCTAGAACACGTCTGGATCATTGCTTGATGCCTGCCCTGCATACAAATGTGACCGAAGACCGGGGAAAGGTGGAAATCGGGCGCCCCCCTGTTGAAACTGGGAGGTTCAGAACGAAACAAAACATTTCAGCTGATGTATGTAAATGATTTGATTCTACTCCATAGCGCCAGGCGGCAGTATTCTGACGCCAGCTAATATATTCTAAGGATCTTCATCCCCATCAATATATAGCCCGGATCCATTCCGAGTGATGCTTAGCCATAAGCCACCCAACAATCTTGTTATATTAAAGCGGTTGATCGTTCATCAGATTAGTCCCACTCAGGCCACACCGTGATTTCCCTGAGATCCTCTCGATGGGCCATGTAATAAGCCTGTCCTAGCATATGGAGCTTGCGACGATCCGTCTTCTTCGACTTGGTTCGTGGAATTCGGTCGACGAGTAGGAAGAGGCTAGGGACATAGTAGGTTGGCAGGCTCTGCCGAACCCCTTCGCTGAGGACTTGAGTGAGAGCATAGATTGCATGACGCTGCATTATCGGGCGAAATTGCATCTCTTCGACAGGACCCGTCTCCATGTTCATTGGGTTATTGGCAAGGTATAGGTATACCCCAAGAATTGGGTCGCCCGCGCCATCCACAGCACCCAAGACATCCACCACTGCGGCATCACCAGTTGACAGATGTTGGCGAAGTACGTACTCTACTTGGCCGGCTTCCACTCTTGCCCCGTCGAGTTTCAGCATTGTATCTTTCCGCCCGATGAGCTCAATGGTTCCATCGTGATTGTACCGGCCAAGATCCCCGGATCTGTAGAATCGATGTCGTGGTCGATCGCCATGGAGCTGTGCCATCCAGACAGGAAGGGCCGTCAAGAAGTTTTCCGATTTTCCGGAGACATGGTCTAAATAGCCTCTTGAAATGTGGGGGCCCTCCACGAGCAGCTCTCCTATCGCTCCCACGGGCATCAGTAGATCGGGGTGGTCTTGATTCGCAATCCAGATGGCGCCACTAGCTGGTCTTCCAACAACAGCACCGTGGCCCATTTGAAGGTTAGGATTGTGAGCACATAGAGATGCTACCTCCCCCATGCCATACTGGTTTACAACCTTCACGCGAGTCAGCCACTTGGCGAGAACCGCGTCGGAGATGGGCTCCCCGCCAATGCACATCATCTTTAGCGTCGGCACCCGGTCGGGGTTAATCTCGATGGCGACTGAAGGGGTGGCGAACATCATATTAGCCTGGAGGTCATTGATATCTGTCATCAGGGCATCCATTGACAGCGAAGTTGTGGGGACGCAGCAGCAGCCACCGGCTAGCAGAGGTGCGAGGAAATCATTATTACTGATATCAAAGGCGTAGGCATCGAATTGAAAAAGGCGTGAATGAGGGCCCATCCCCATGACGCGAATGTAATCGGTGAGAGCGGACGCGTAACTTCGGTGCTCTTGGATGATTCCCTTGGGTTTACCGGTACTGCCCGAAGTGAAGAGTACTACGCAAGCATCGGTAGGCTTAACATCGACAGATGGTACTGCAGGCATGGAAGGAAGCTCTCGGAGAGAACCCGCGCTCACTTCAAACTGGACTTCTACAAGTTCCGTATACCTTGATGCGTATCCGGTCGATGTCAGCATGATTTTAATTTGAGTTCGCTCCAGGACAGATGCCAGATACGGTGGCGGGTCACTGCCATCAACGCAGATGTATGCACCACCGGCCATTAGAATTGCAAGACGGGCTACGATCGCCCAGGTTGACTTGTAGAAAGTGCAGGCGACAAAAACGCCCGGTCGAACACCCTTATCAACCAGCCAATGCGCCAGGCGAGATGCAAGATCACTGAGTTCACTATAGGTGAGATCGCCATCCCATGATCGGATAGCTGGTGCATCCGGGGTCGTCACGGCGTGACGCAAGCAGAGATCATGAAGTAAGGCCTCTTGAGAGGGTGCAAGAGATCTAGTAAAGTCGGCAATCTGGGCACGATCATTTGACCCGCATAAATCCACGGCACCGATCGATTGCATCGACGTCATGCCAATTGAAGAGAGAGCTCGATTGAAACTGTGAAGCAAGCTCGTTGCCAGTGGTAAGCTGATTTGAGAGTCACCCACATCGAGCTGTGCATGCAAGAGGTCATCTGGCGTACGTCTGACGAAGAGACGCATTCCATCCCCGGGGATTTCCTGTACCAGCGAAATGGAGCAGCAAGCGTGGCACCGACTCATGCAGGCTTTTTGACCCAAGTCCACTGCCCGCTGGTAAGCAATGGTCGTGTTATAGCGGGAATCCTTGCCATCATGTCCATGCACGCCATTGGCACATGACTCCTTTATGGGGGCATTGAGACCATTTGTAATCTGCCCGAACAAGTCATGCACTGGTTCTTGTGTGTCGATGTGGATCTGTGTCGTAGGGGCACTGGGATCATCAGACCCCCCCGACATAACAACTTCCCTTGGTGTACTGCTCGCCAACGTACAGGGTGGTCGAGGAAGTGAAGGCTCCAACTGTAATCGCCCAAGCAAGTTGAAAAAGACGTTGAAGCTGGATATCAGAAGCCTCGGATTTGACGATTGTTGGTGCGTTGAAAATCTCGACGAGCCGCAGAAGGAGCCGGGGGTGCTCGGAAAGCTGTAGATACACGGTCGAGTCTTTCAGACTATTCGGCTGGTCTTCCAGGGGAACCAGAGCTAGCGGCTGGTCCAAGGTATCGGAATCTAACAGAATGGGCGCCATGGTGGTGATAACAATGACAATGCTCTCGCGATGATTCCTGAGTTGTGGTTGGAGAGAGTGAGTTTCTGAGACAGGAATTTAACCGGGATACTTGTGATTAAATGGCAGCTGTCAAGCTGCAACGGTCCGGAAGGGCGTTCCACGGACATGGCTGATGCGGCGCAACGAGGGGTTGGCTTTGTTGGACAAAGAAAGTACTCAATGAGGTTTCGCGCCCAAGCGCCCGTCTGGGAGGCGTCTGTTGGGGAATCTTGGATGCTGCAGGCCTCGTGGAATTGGCATGAATCGATTCGGTCGGGATGTTTGCCCCAACGGCCACATTTGCAAATGGGCTGACTGGTGGGCGCGGCCGTTCGTGAAGGGTGCGGAACGGCGCAACTGGGGTAAGCGGTGCCGGGGGGTTGAGCGAATGGGGGAGACGAAAAGGATCATGGTGGATGAGGTGCAGATCGAGTGGGAAAGGGTTCAGCTGATGTGAGGGAGATCATAGTTCGCGGTTGGTGGTTGGTGGAGGTGGAGGTGGAAGAGGAGAAGTTTGAGGGGAAACGGGGAAATCGGGGAAATGCGACCTGTGGGCACTCACGCCAGGCCTCGTTTCTGCAGCACCACGTCAATCACACCTGGCCAACTTGAAAGTTAAAAAGTCTCAAAGTACGAGATGGCCGAGATGTTCGCAGGGATATAGTGTGGATAACCATGATAATAACATTCATAACATTAGCGGTGCGTATTAGATAGGCATGGGAGAGTGGCTGAATCAAGGCTATGGTAGTACAAGGGACATATATAAACATCAGAGACACGATCTATAGGAGGTAGACACCCCGTCTAAGAACTTGAAGCCACTGGTGTTCTTTTGTTCAACTTCTGAACCATCGCAGGATGACTTTGACATAGTTCTCACTGGTTAAAAGAAGGTAGACAATAACATCAGACGGCATTCTGCATGATGCCAGGACGCACTCCCTCGAGAATCGTCGCGACTTCCTTCCACAGCTTAATGCGGGCCTGTCGCCCTTCATCACTGCGCACCCATGGTGACAATGCAGTGTTTTCAACGTGGCCGTCGGTCATGTAGGCACCATGGCTCTCGAGTCCGGCTGTGATCCCTGCCACCAGGGTACGTGATCCAATCTCGGTTGTTCGTGCCAGTAATAGCCGGATAACCTGGGCTGCACCACCTGCTTCGCGTCCTAGGGAGGAATGGCAGAGGCCTGGGTTAATCATATTGATGATCACTTCTGATCCTCGCACCCGACCAGCTAGCTCCTGCACAACCAGAACCTCAAGGAGCTTGGACAATCGGTATCGCTCGTTCATTTTGGCCTTGGATTCTTCGGAGAGGGTCTCGAGGATATGGTCGGCCTTCCACTCGGGAAGTGAAACCCAGGCATGGACTTCGCTGACCACAAAACTGAGCCGGGGCTGGCTGCCTGGTACAGTTTTGCCTGTCTTTTTGAGAATAGGAAGGACGAGTAGTGACAGAAGCAAGGTATTGACAACATTAACAGTGATAGAACGCTCTAATCCCTCTGCCTTTGCGTAGTTGAGAGTTGCTACTCCGGCATTCAGTAGAGCAGCATCTAGTTGGGGCAGCTGGGCAATGCGGTCTCCAAAGTCCAGCACCGATTGATTGGATGCTAGGTCAACCTCCCAGACTTCACAAACGCCTGAACGGCCAGTGGATGTTTCGATTTGCTGCTTGGCTTCTTCGCCAGCGGGGACATTGCGTACTGCGAGAATGACACGGGAGGCACCTAGGCGAACCACATGACGAGCCGCCTCGAATCCCAGTCCGACGTTGGCACCAGTGATGAGAACAGTTTGGTTGGCAAATGACTGTTCGGGGTAGGGGGGTCGAACGCAGAATTGAGAGTAGAGGAAGCCCATGTTGTAGGTGGTTGTAGGTGATTGTAGGTGATTGCAGATGAGGTGAATGGAGAATTCCGTGGTTGAATGGTTGAATATTTCAAGGGGGATTGTTTTTGATGATTACCAGGACCATTGCGGAATGGGATGTCTTTATATAAGGTGACTCCATGAGGAAGTTGAAGCTGTTCGTAGCTGTTGGTCGCTGTTCATGTCGGAAATTAGTTGACACGGTGATAAATGTGGAGCCTCGTCAAAGGCCTAATGCCGCCACGGCGCGATGGGGGCTTTTGCTAACCCCGAGCCTTGTGGACTTCCAAATGCCGGGACTAGTAGTAGTACAATCAGATTGTGGGAGGTGGGTGAAATGGAAAGGAAGATAGTTAGCGGGAGTATGTAGGAGTATAGGAGTGTAGGAGTGTGTAGAGGAAAGTAAACATGAAGTTCCAAGGTTGCCGAGGTAGCCTTGACTAGAGGAATAGTAGTGGTGGTTTAGTCAATGCAATTGGCTTAGTAGTCAGAATAACTACTAGTATTGTATTTCTTTCATTTTATCAATCTAGAATATCCCGGTCTATAGAATATTCTATAGAATATACTTACTATACTGTTACTATACTTGCTGTAGTGTAGTTTTGTCTATTGTGCTGCCTGATCCCATGGCATGACGTAATCCCCTTTGGGACATTTGGAGATCTCCAACTTGCAACTTCAACTTTACTTCAACTTCACTCACACCTCCTTATATCTCACCCCCCCTAAAACACAATGGGCCACTTCGGTCAAAAAGTACTCAACGCCTTAGGCGTCAATCACTCCCACGACCAGCAACAAACCCCACCATACGGAGGAAATGGAGGATACGGAGGATACCCTGGCGGGCCACCACCACCACCACCACCAGGTGGCCAATTCCCCCCAATCCCCCCCGGACATCCAGGTCCCCAACACCCAGGTCGTGGTCTAGTGAACAATGATGAACGTGCACTCTCTTCTCACCCTAACCGAGGAACCTACCCACGTCTTGCCCGACTCTCCGATGGCTCCATTCTCTCCTCCTTCACACGCTTCCCAGACGGACAACGCGCTCTTTGCGTGGCACGCAGCACCGACAATGGACACACCTTCGAAAACATCTCCGAAGTGACCCGCGCCGCAGGCGATGTCGATAACATGTTCCTCTGTGAGGTGGGACCGGGAGTTGTCCTCGCAGCCTTCCGCAACCACGATAAAGGAGACAACGGCCCCACGCACTTCCGGATCACCGTTTGTAGGTCCACGGACGGCGGCAACACGTGGCGCTTTGCATCGCAAGCCGCGGAGAAAAAAACCCCCATTTGGAATCTGGGAACCTTTTATGCGTGTGGGTCGGAGGGGCGAGGTCCAACTGACCTACTCCGAAGAATTCGCCCATAATAACCAATGTACCATGCTCACCGTCTCGCATGATCAGGGGAGTACCTGGAGTCGCCCAACCTGCTTGCATGGGGACAATGATCCCCGTCGTGATGGTATGAATGGTATTGCGCGCACATTTGATAATGGCCGGGAGGCTCTCGTGATGGTCTTTGAAACTACGACGTATGGTCCGTTTAATGTCGAAGCGCTGATCTCCTACGATGACGGCGCCTCCTGGCACAATAGGCACCAGGTCTTCCGACCCCGACAGGGACACAATGCGGGTTCCCCGCAAGTTGCCTCGTTCGCGGATGGCTCCCTGGTCTGTGTCTTCATGACGGATGATGATTCGGATCAAGTGGCCTGGGTCAAACATGCTTCCATTAAGGTTTGCTTCGCAGGTCCTCCCCAGAATGGACAGCTTAGGTGGGGACCCCCAATTATGGTTTCGCCAGCATCTAGCTTCTGGCCTGGAGTGATGGCCTTGGATCATCACACGGCCCTGGTCACGTATGATCGAGGAGGGCCTTTGGCCAAGTCGGTTACCTGGCAGACATGGTAACTAGCCAACTATGGACCAGAGGTATTCGAACAATGCTACGAAACATAATGAACATACAACTCTATGATCTCAATCAAAAAAAATTATCCAATTGAATCGTCATCTGAGATATGCAGTGATGTTCTTTGAACCCGCATACAGTGGCGACCAATATTGCCTTCCACATCTTGAAACAGAGACCCGCCTTGAAACCCTTAGTCACACGTTTCAGTTAACCTAATAGATATTGCACGTATGTGACCTGTTCAGGCATGACCACATGACCACCTCTGGGTATCCTTTCCCCTTTAATCGCTCATTGCCCACCTACTGTTGTGACCTTGATGGTCTAGGCACGCACCAGGGCAACACTATCAAATTTCGTCGTTGTCGAGAACCACTGGCATGTCTTATATGTAGCCTTGTTAGCTCATTTTGATTCTGGCTCTGTCTGTTTTTAGGTTTGAAGAGAGCTCGCTTTGACTATCGGGATCATGCCACTAGATATGAGATAAAACAAAGATCCAGTGCTATTGAGTTATTTAACTGAGCTTTGCTTTGTACTCCCCTGCCTGACAATTTGACACGAGATGGAACTTCCTTTGAAATTTATAGACACGACTCGATGAAAACGTCCTCGTCATAGGATAGAGTGAAGCACAACTTCATTTTCACCTTGTTGAAAGTAGTAGTGACCACCTTGTTTCGCCAGTTAGTAGATATCAATTACCCAGCAAAGGTTACTCACTATCACCGCGCAGAATAACTTCTTTATTAGGGGCAAAATTCATATCAGTTTCAACATGCCGGACGTCCTTATATTCCTGGCCATTTAAGGTATCTGTACGGAAAAGAGTAAATTCTTCAATCTCTCCGGTGACACCTTTGAATCGAGTGTCAGCCCTTGTGTTATTACCCAGGGCTATTTTCGAAATATCGTACGCCGACACAGCGATCTCGTCGTTGACAAATTTGGCGCCAGGCATTGTAGAATACAGTAGGATATTTTTGTTAGGACTTGAAAAGGGCTTCGTATGGAAGTATGGTAGCGAAGCAGTGGCCAGTCAGTATCTTTTCAGAAGCTGTCGCGGTTCTTGTTAATATTGCTGGGGACTGGATATCATGAGATCTAAATATCCGTACTAGTAGTAGTATTGGGTTGAACATGTACTGTCGTCATACTAATAACGATTACTACTAGTACTTCTCTACTATACATCAGTCATGATATCATGACTGATTCTGGATTAGGACTAGTTTTGAAGCTATAACAATAATTGATTACAGTGGCTTATGACACCTTCAGTATCGTCCATTCGGGTCCGTGGCATAGCTTTCAATACATGAAACACCATATCGAGACTAGCATATCACTGAGTAGGGTCTAGAAGAACATACTATGTATCTTTCCGACATTGCATGCAATAGCGGTTGGCTCTATAATTGGGCGTTCAGCAAACATTCTCTGGGATTGGCTGGAGTTGTGTTCCGATCAATATGAAAATGACGCAACTTCGTTTTGGTGTAAGATCAAACATTTACAGGGCCCAACGTGATGAATATCGACATCATCAAGAGACCTCAGGACCCCAAATCATGTCATGCTGGCTAGTAACTTGGTTCCAAGGTTATCCAGGTAACCCGTACATTGAATATCGTACATGTCCCCACCTGGGCAGTTGAAGCTTTTCCCCTGGAGCCCCAAAAGTCACGGTCTCACCTCGGTGCCCTGAAAGAACCATAGAAGCAAAGATAATTATATATTAGTTCATCAGATTAGATAACTATTCATCATAATCGAACCCCGACCTTCTTTCTAGAAGATGTCGAAAAATTCACAGGCTTCGGCGAACTTGTTTGAATCCACAGACAATTTATTGCTGAACAAAACGAACGCACAAAATCCTTGTAATTCAAAGCGCCAATCCAAATGACAAAGTATGAGCAACCCTCTTCAGCTATACTCTAAGCGATTCTCAATCGGTTCGTTGATCTCGGCCCATAGGTGAACCGGACAAGTAACGCTGTACAGGATCCGGGTCACCCGATCCACACTGAGAGACCTTGCGTCCGGCCTTCTTCCTGTCTGCTGCAAGTACTTGAGCGAATGGGGATTTCTCCCGGATTGTCGGTCCTTTCCAGTAGAAGATGTAGATCGGAATCGTGAAGATGATAGCCATGAATCCCAAAAATGTCGATGGCCACTCGAGCGTATTGGTTTTGCCCATGTTGCTGTACACTGGGGGGTGTGAATAATCCTTCGTTTTCTTTGCTTGGGTTATTGCTATAGGTATCACTTACTCGGAACAGAGTACATTGCTGCTACGCCGGCGAGGAAATCTCGCGCGAAGCCATTACCCCCCTGTGGCCGAGGCGGAGTATGGTCCATATGAGGCGATCATGTAATCTATCGTTGCCATGTAGATTGCGAACTAGATCCAAAAGGTTAGGTTATATCCTCGGGAGTTCTGAATTATGAAGTTGAATCATCTCAGATAACTCACATTGGCAATTGCAATTAAGGAGGAAAATATCATCGGTGCAATCCAGTGAACATGTGGTGGTCCGAGACTTGTCCAGGCGAAGCCAAACAGCCCAATCGATAGTAAAGGTGCCACTGTCACGGTTAGAGCACACTTCCAATTGCTTTTTCATGTTAAAAGGGAATGATTACCGAATAAGAGCCAATAGAGTCGAGCTTCCGGTTGTAACCCATCCGGATCACGCTCCCGAGCCCTGTTATGTTTGGCGATCCAGGGTATGAAAGAGAAATAAGCAATTAAATATCCGACCAGAATACTAAGAACGGTTAGTAAGCGAATGATGTAGAAGTTATCATAGCGGTGGCATCTGCATCTATACTCACGGGATAAATGCAAGTCCAATCTCAATAGTATTGAACCCCCATTGCTTATATACCGGAGTATAAGACTGAAGGAAAGTGAAGATCAAAGAATCACTAAATCCACTCAGTAATGCAAGACACAGGACAATTGGCTCGCGGCAGAACATGATAAAAGGCCGAAGCCAGATCATCAAGATCCAGCGGAATGTCAGCCTGTTGCCTTTCAACTCATCTCCACTCCAAACCATATCCCCAGCCGCCCTTCGTCGCCTCGCTTCGCGGGTAACCAGAAGGCTACACCGAGTCTCGGGTATGGTCCAGTGCAGGAGTTGTACAAAACCGCCAAGAATCAACTGTAGCCAAAAATTCCAATGCCAGTCAAGGAAAGTTGCCACAAATCCGCCTACAATCGGCGCAATCACAGACCCAGCCACGGATGATAGAACAATAAAGGCAACGGCATATTGCTGGTGCTCTGCCTCCCACATATCAGCCACCATACCAAGAGTCACAGACCCACCAGCCGATGAAAGGCCGCCGAGCAAACGACAGATGACGATCGTGCCGAAGTTCGGAGCCAGCGCACATGGTATCTGCCAGATATTGACGAGGAGCAGACTCAACTGCATAATGGGCCACCTTCCAAACTCCTCGCTGAAAGGTGCCCAGAATTCGCAGCCAAAGGCATAAGCGATGAGGAAGTCCATCTGTCCGACTCGAGCTGCCTGCTTGGAGATACCGAAGTGTTTCGCATAGAGACTGATACTACTGGCGTAGAAACTTGCGTTCCAGTTCATGGATGTCTGCACGGCGAAGATGACGGATATAATATACCATTTCTTCCACCAAGGGAAAGAGTATCCCAGTTTATCGTAGCATTCCCATTCCTTCAGCTCGGAATGGTCTGAAGGTGGCTCGGTGTTGACGCCATTGGCTCCGGTCGGGCCTTGTTTCTTCTTCTTCTTCTTCTTCTTCTTCTTCTCTTGCGGAGTTCCACCTGGCGAGCGGACGCTCCCATCGGCGATATCTCCATCGGCATCGCTTTGTTTCTCGATATCCTTTTCGAGTTGCCTATCTGTGGGTGCTGTTTCGGAGGACTCGGGGCTGTCGGGTGTATGGGGCATGTTTGTTTTTTGGTAGAGTTATTATTCGATTGGTAGAATATAGGAGTCTGTAGGGATTGATGATTTCTGATCGCAAGAGGGATCACCATCTTCACTCTTTGTAAACAGAATGATCCTCGTTTTCTGGATCTGGGGATGGACCTTATATGGACGAACTATCTCTCGTAAGCGGCAATGGCATTCAAGACATACTCTATTCAGATCTTCCACGATAAGATTCCAGCGATTTCTTCTCCGATTGGTCCCGGGGGTTTATTCCACGGGATCGTGTGCTTGTTTCCATTAAACCTCGCGTGTATCGTGGTGTGGAGTGGACATCCGGGGAGAATGACCAGAAAGATCGTCACCATCGGAATCAAGACGCCCTCCGCACTTTGAATATATCCAGAAGCCGCAATTGGGGCCCGCAAATCGCGAGAACTGGATCTGGAATTGTGTTCAATTGTTCTCTATGTGCTCGGCTTTGGTCTTCCGGGGAGTTGTGCCTGTGCCTTGGACATTGGCAAGCATCGTATCACTGAGAGGGCTCGCAATTGGACCAAGGGATGCCCACGGTAGCTGCTGGTAGCTGCTATTACGCATGAATTGCGAGGACTAGGGCTTCTTCCGGGTTATCCCCGTTGATCTCCAGCTTTTGCTTTTGCCTTCAAGCTCTAGGAACAGTGTCAAGCAATGCAATGATCTGGTTATTGGAGCAATACTAGTAGTTATACTATGCGGTCATCAGTCGTAAATGGATATCCGCCAATGGCTATTTACATCGGATAATGTGTATAACTTCCGCTTACAATAGAGGGAATGCCATTCCATCCCCGCGCTGGTCACTGCCGGCACTGTAGACCGGCTTCCCTTCGTCATAGTGCAGACGAATGACTTGACCACGGCCAAACATGGAGCGCTTCCAGCCGGCAAGTACCTCGACCTTGTGGCCGAGATTGCGCAGGCCCTCCACGGTTGTGTCGCTGATTCCCTCCTCCACATAGACGGTGCGGTCCTTGTCTTCCTCCGTTGGTGCGGCGAGGCAAATGCGGGGGGGAGTCCAGGGCTGCCTGCGGGTGGTAACCAAAGGCGAGCATATTGAGAAGGACTTGGACGTGGCCCTGAGGCTGCATGAATCCGCCCATTACACCATATACGGAGTGCAAGGAATCATCGGCCACATTGGTGATCAGGGCTGGGATGATGGTGTGGTATGGTCGCTTGTGCGGTGCTAGAGCATTCGGGTGGCCCGGCTCGAGGGAAAAGTTGGCTCCACGGTTCTGCAGGGTGAAACCACAGCCAGCGGGGATGATGGCAGTGCCGAAGCCGGCATAGTTGCTGTTGATGAAGGAGATACCATTTCCTTCGCGGTCTGTCACATTAAAATACACGGTATCGCAGTGGTTGTGAGCAGGGCTGCCGTGATCCAAAAGATCGGATGTACGCTCGGGGAGAACAGTTTCGCGCGCTCAGCCAGATACTCGCGTGCCAGCAGGCCTTGCGAGGGAACCTTCTCCACGTCGGGGTCGGTCACCCACCAAGCGGCATCAGCGAAAGCAATCCGCAGACTCTCAATGACAGCATGCAGATACTCGGGAGAATTGTGTTGATCCTCGCGGAACTTGGGGATCTTGCCTGTTCGCTCGAGCTCTTCCATGATACCGAGGGCCATGAGTGCCACGATACCTTGCCCATTGGGCGGGTGTTCCCAAACACGGACGCCCTTGTTGGGGGTACCATCAGTTCCGGGGGTCTGCTTGGACACGATATCCTGTCCAGTGAACTCAAGCGAAATGGGATCGACTTCTTGGGTGCCAACCTCGGCGTGATAGGCCAAATCCTCTAGAGTCATGAAACCACCAAGATCATTTACCACCTTGACGATCTGTTCGGCAATGCGGCCCTGATAGAAGCCCTTCTTTCCCTCGGCTGCGAGAGTGCGGAAGGTCTTCGCCAAAGTGGGGTTCTTCATGATATCGCCTGGGAGCGGGGGACGCACGCCGTCCTTGGCCGATGCGTCATCCTTCAGCATCTCGCGAAAATTAGGAGACGCATTCCGAATATCATTTTCGGAGTCGTGCCACTTGGTGAGGGTTAACAAGCTTGCAGGGGAGGGGAAAGCAAGGGGTTACTCACGCCATGAGAGGAAAGTTCGGAGACGGGGAATCCTTGCTCGCCCATCTCAATAGCCGGTTGCAGGATTTGTTCTAGGGATAGCTTGCCACTGCCAAACTTTTCGACGGTGTCTACCCAACCAGCAGCGGCACCGGGGGTTGTGGTAGCCAGCGCGCTCAGCATAGGGATGCTGCCCGACTCACCGGGAGCCAGCTTCAACTCCTTGCGTACTTTTTCCAGACTGCCAGCGCCGGGGTAACGACCAGAACCGTTCAAGGCGTGAACTTTCTTGGTCTTGGAGTTGTAGAAAAGGCAGAACATGTCGCCCCCGATTCCGGTGGAGCAGGGCTCAGACATGTTGATGGCGGCGGCTGTAGTGATCAGTTTGAGGATTCATTTTTTTGCTCCAGTCTAGGATGGTGGACCAGGCTTACCAACGGCGACGGCGGCATCCTGGAGAGAGATAAAGATTAATGCTATTGGTCCCATCTTGTCTGGGCGTGAAACTTGAAAGACATACCGCGGCATTACCACCCTGGGTCAGAATTCGATGACCGGCCGCAGCAGCCAAGGGCTGGGTGCAGGCGACAATGCCATTAGAGCTGTGGACGGTGCTCCGGCGACTGGCAAAGGGCACATAATCGGGGTTCGCCTTGGCGTAGACGGCTTTGGAGTTGAGGGGCATGGTGAGAGAAAGTGTCAAAGTGCCACTGGCAGTGGATCGGCGGAATCCAGGGCAGCGTGTGGGGGTCGGGGTCGGGGTCTTTATACCAAAGTGATGGTAATTTCCATAGTCTGGAGTCCAGGGCTAGTGTGACACAATAGAGAAGCCGAGGGTGATTCAAGAATGGAGGGACCCGTGGACTCAGATAGCAAGTCTCCACTCGAGGGGTATCCCCGCCTTCCAGTTCCAATGAGGGTTTCCCTTGGAGAAGTTGGAGTCATTCGGAGAAGGTCCCAGTGTCCCCGGTGCATTGCAGGGCTGAACATAGTACTAGTAGTAGTAGGTAATACCTACTATATCAGACCAGAGTGTCAGAAAAAGGACATCCCTACCCAGATGGCAGTTCCGAGTCATGGCTGCACCAATGTTGAAGTGAGTAGTAGTGGTGGTACTAGTTAGTTATCTACTGGGAACATGCACTGGCAGTGATTGCCGCCATGATATATATGTCTCTGACCGCCTGGCAGTATAGTAGTAGTTACTACTACACTACTAGTACTAGCAGAATATATTTGATGTAACGGAAAATAATAACCTGAAACAGTTAGTGGAACTCCAGTTGGGATCAGGGATATATTTCAATACTCTATTCCTATTCCTACTCCTACTCCTACTCCTGCTGCTAGTGTACTGCTGCTGCTGTGTCTCTGCCGGTCGGGCCGAGATGATCGGCTCGTGCGGCCGAGTCTGCGAAATCGGAATACAAAGAGGATACTAGGGGGATACTAGGGGGATATTATGAGGATATTACCTACAAGTACATACCAGGACTAAGCATTAAAATACTACGATTCCGATCAAATATATCATACTATTATTACTATTACTCTTACTATCTAACTGCCAGTGGTTAAAGATACAAGCGGCTTCTCCGCATCGCCGGAGGACATCCGAGCTTCAAGTTCCTTCCCCCCCCCATATCCCCCATTCCGCTTCGGATTGCCCGTCTATAACATCCCCCCTCCCACTGTGCCACTACTCGACTCATATCTCCTTCTATACCTACTTCCCATCCCATTAATCGCTCACCATGGCCTCCATCCGCGCCAATTGCCGCAAGGTCATGTGCATCGGCCGTAACTACGCGTGCGTCACTCCCTTCTCCTTCTGCCCTCTGCCTCTGCCTCTGCCTTTGCTGACCTTGACCTTCCTGAGCTAGCGAACACATCACCGAGTTGAACAACACCACGCCCAAACAGCCTTTCTTCTTCCTCAAGCCCTCCTCCTCCATCCTCATCCCCGGCGCTGGCCCCGTTCTCCGCCCCAAGGGTGTCAGCCTGCACTATGAAGTCGAATTGGGTTTGGTCATCGGCAAGACCCTCCGGGATTTAGACCCGGAGGACAAGCAAGGTGCCTTGGATGCTATCCAGAGTGAGTACCCTGTCTTTTTTCCTTTTCTTTCTCTCGCGCTTGTTGGGGTCGACTCGATCGGGTGGGTGGTCTGCTAACCATTATTCGCGCATCGCATAGGCTATGTTCTCGCCATTGACATGACCGCCCGCAATGTTCAAGACGAAGCCAAGAAGAAGGGTCTCCCCTGGTCCATCGCTAAGGGCTTCGACACCTTCCTGCCTATTTCGCAAGAGATTGCCAAATCGCGCATTCCGAACCCGCACGACGCCTTCTTGCGCCTCAGCGTCGGAAACACCGAACGCCAGGCCGATTCGACTAGCCTCATGCTGTACCAGATCCACCAGCAGCTGGCGCAGATCTCGCGCGTGATGACCCTGGAAAAGGGTGATATTGTCCTGACTGGCACCCCCAAGGGAGTGGGTCAGGTCCAGGCGGGTGATGTGATGCGGGCCTCGATTGAGGTGGATGGCAAGGAGATTGAGGAGGGACGCATTGAGGTGGAGGTACAAGACCGAGAGGGTCGCTACGAGTTTAAGGAGACCTAGAACAGAGGGGTTGAGTCGGACAACCCGGGGATAGGATGTGTGGATGAATATAGAGACGGATGTTGCACAAACTTGCTGACATTTGTGAATAAGAATACTACCATAAACACTAGTAGTAGTAGAGATATACTCAGTGAATACTCAACTTGAAGTATACCTGTACTTATGCCATTGGCTTTGTAAATTACTCTGATGTCCATATCCAAGTATACCCTACTCTAATCCCCCCAGATAATTCCTTTCCCCCCCGCACCTCCCCACCTTTTCTCCCTTCCGCTTGCATCGGCTGGGGAACTTTCCTCTCCACATATCTCTTCATATCTCTTTCTCAACTTCAAGATCTGCTGCTCTACTGCCACTGCTGCTGTGTGGCCTCTCATTCTCCCCTTATCCTCCCTTGAATGCGACAGCTGCTGTGCATGGTGCTACCCCGATCATGGCACGCGTATAATCAAACTAGCTGAACCTGCCTCCCACTCCCCACTTCTACCTCACCTCAACCTCCAAATATCCACAGGCAATCTCGAAGCCGCTCTCATGCTAGACTTGAAGTCTCGCGTCCGTGACGCGGAACCCAATTCCTCCACATCCGCATCCCCCACGATCCGCCCTCCCACAGCTACCTCGACTACCTCCACCATTCCGATCACCCCGATCACCCCTCGCGCATTCGACCCCCATGCCTCGCTGGTGCTCGTAGGCATTCGTGGCTGTGGTAAGCGCTCACTTGGATTCGTCGCCGCCACAGCCCTGAAACGTCGGTTCATCACCGAAGATCACTACTTCCGCGAGGCGACAGGCGTCACCCGACATGAATACCTCAAACAATATGGCAGCCAGGAGTTTCAGCGCAGAGATATCGAGGTGCTCAAATTGATGCTGGACAATCATAGGACCGGCTGTGTCATTGAGTGCGGACTCGGGAGTCTTACGCGCCCGGTTCAGGACTATCTTCGCCTCTATTCTCAGACAAACCCTGTCGTGCATCTCGTCCGCGATATCGACCGCATACAACAACTCCTCGGGTTAGAAGACCAGTCGGTTCGGCTTCTGCGCGAGGGTGATCCACTTCACCGCACTTGCTCCAATTTCGAGTTCTATAATGTGGAGGACCGGACGCGTGTCGGATCTGATGATGGTACTCCAGACCCACGATCTGCTGCTTATTCGTTTAAGCTGCAGGAAGTCAAAGAAGACTTCACCCGTTTTGTTCGCTTTGTCACGGGTGTCGATGTAAATCATTCGAGTTATGATTCGCCATTTGTCTTGCTAGAGACACCCCCGGAACTTCGGTCGTATACGCATGCCATTTTTATCCGCTCATCCGACCTCATCGCCGATAATGTCAATCTCCCAGAGCTGGAATCGGGAGGTGATGCCATTGAACTCTGCGTCGACCGCTGGGGCTCCGATATGCCGAATGTGATCAGCAAACAGGTCTCGATCTTACGACGTAATGCGCAGGCTCCTGTGATCCTTTCGGTAGACACATCTCGCACAGAGATCGGCGCGGCAGATGTGCCAGACTCGCAGTACTTTGACATACTGGAACATGGACTGCGACTAGGTGTCGAATACCTGGTCATCGACCTCGAACAGAACCCGACCCGACTCACTGAAGTGATCCGGGCCCGAGGAAAAACGAAGATCATTGGCCAGCGGGTGTTTGAGCCATCTTCAAATATCAAGTGGGAGGATGAGGAGTGCGTACACTCCTACCAAAAAGCAGAAAAGATGAACTGCCAGCTAGTCCGATTCCTGCGTGTAGCAACCTCACGCGAGGACAACGCGACAGTCCTAGAATTCACTAATCGCATTCGGTCAATGCCAGGCGAACATCCTCCCCTCATTGCTTATAATATCGGTCGCCTTGGACGAACATCACAAGTCTTTAATTCGATTCTGACCAGCGTGACCCATCCAGCCATCACCCGACCGGAGGAGAACGAGCGGGATGCGCAGATTACATCGCGAGACGCCGTTCGCGCGCTTTTCCAGAGCTACGTACTAGACCCGTTGCAATTTTGCATTCTGGGCGCAAATGTGGCATATAGTTTATCGCCTGCTATGCATAATGCAGCCATCCAACATTGTGGAATGAGCCATCAATATAGCATCCCCGACTCCCCGTCCCTTGCTATACTGGATCGCCTTCGTAAGGATCCCCAATTTGGAGGTTCTAGTGTTGTTCAGCCTTGGCGAGTTGACACCTACCACAAACTTGCTGCGAAGAGTCAACACGCCGAGGCCATCGGTGCTATCAACACGATCATGCCCTTACGAGGTTCCTCGGACGGCACCATCTACCCGCTTCGAGAGCAAGCCAGCCGACGGAACCAGGCTGGCCCGGTGCTCGGATGGTATGGAGAGAATACTGATTGGGTGGGAATCATGACTTGTATCACCCGGCACCTCTCCCCGCGTAACGCAATTAGTGCCAAAACCACAGGCTTGGTTATCGGTGCGGGTGGCATGGCCCGCTCAGCCATCTATGCTATGCTCCGACTTGGCTGCCGGAAGATCTTCATCTATAACCGAACGGAGTCTCGAGCTGACGAGGTGGCAAGACACTTCAACTCATGGGCTTCGTCCCAGGTTGATTCTGCTGATGTGGTGCGAGTCTTACGTTCCACCCTGGATGACTGGCCAGACGATGCCAATCCACCCAGCCTCATTGCATCTTGTGTGCCAGCTGATCCAGATCGAGATGAGAGCCCCGGCGAACTTCGAGATGCCTCTTCAATGGCTGGGAAGTCCGACCGGGGGTGTTGTTCTAGAAGTAAGTCATTGCCTGGGGTCCCGATTCTGAACAATTATTGTACTAACCCAACCGCCTCCAGTTGGCGTATAAACCACTAGATACCCCTCTCCTCCTCCAAATGCGTCGCATTCGGGCCGATACCGGACGCCCGTGGGTTCTTTCCGATGGACTGGAGAACGTCATCGAACAAGGCATTGCGCAATTCGAATTGATGACTGGTCGGAAGGCGCCTCGTCGACTGATGACTCTTGAGGTGCTCCGCAATTACGAGGGCGATGATGGGCGGTTTGACGAAAAGACCATTCAAGCCAGACTGGATGGTGTTTGTTCATAGATGGGAGTGGATCGTCTGGCAAATGAATCGATTCCAAGGCTATTGCTGCTGGGTTGACTAACCGGCCCCTTTCATCCTGTCAATATGGCTGCTCTAGCTTATTGGCTGTGATTGAGTGGTATCGGATGTTATACTGGCTTGGCGATGTGCTTTTATTGTTATTGTATAGCATAGAGATGAGTGAATGAATATGTACGTTTGGCAAGTTTGACTAGAAAAGAGTCTTCTAACATTGGGAGGAATGGATAGAAATTTACTAGTATTTTGTGTACGACAAATGTCGTTGATACATGATTGTGTCTAGTATACAGTTCTCCATGCAGATGCTTCCAGTCTATGTATGTGCCCAAAAAAGATGGAAAAAAAATATTAATACAGGGGAAGGGACAGAGGAAGAAAGGACGAAGGTCATCTATGAATCCTCGACCTCGGCCTCGACCTTGACTTCACGATTGGCAGATTTCACCTTGAATGCCATGTCGCAGGCCGCATTGTAGAATTCGTGATATTTGTGCTCCACAGAACGATGAAACTCTTCGACGTCAGCGTGTAGGTTGGCGTCAACCTGCGGAATGTCGACCGCCAAAGCGACCTCTGTCGCGAGTCTAGAGTAGAAAGGACCACTTTCATAGAAACGGTAACTCAATTTCCGGCCTTCGAGGTCATAGTATTGAAGGATGGAGCCGCGGACGTCCTGAAGAGGAGGATACATGTATTCCACCTCGAGGTTGTTTTCGAGCAAAACGTTCCAGATAGAATCACCAAGAACCTCTTCATCGGGGGATAAGAGAAGCCCACGGGGAAGCGAGACCTTGCAGAAGGGGGGTAGAGTGGCAGAGAGCAGGGAATCGGAAGAAGTAGAAGCGGAAGCGGAAGCGATATCACGGACTAAGGCTTGTTCGATGTCCCGAACCAGCTGCCTGTAATGGGGAGACTCGCTTAGAATCTCTTTTGTGATATCTCGATGGGCAGTGCGGGTGAAACGGAGGTCGACCGTGTTCTCGGGGAGAAGGTAGTCCACACTGCTTGTTTCAAGGATAGATTTCAAGCCTGTGATCTCGACGCTGTGGCCAGAATCTTCACCTTCTGATCCATAGAGAAGATATTCCACCTCAAGTTCGGGGGCGACTCCGACATATTCTGAGGATGGTTTGAGACGAAGTCTCCCAGTCCCTGATTTCGACTTGGGTTCTGGAAGAGACTCCAAGAAAGACGTCAAGTTGGGTACTTCGGTTGTAAAAACGCGAGTCATGGAAGATCTCCCCAGATCCGAGGCACTTAGAGTGGCTTCTGCATCTTCGGGCATTTGCTTCGAAGAGAAAAGACATCTACCAACGGTCGCTGTCACGGATTCGTGTATAGTAGCCCCATTCGAGGCTTCTCCCTTTGCCACAACCGAGTCCTTTCGAAGTAACTTCAGTAGCTCATTGGATAGCCGTGTCTGGTGACCGTCGAAGAAAGGCGCTCGCTCTGCCTCGGTTGATGTCGTCTGGGTGGACGAAATAGCCCATCGGAACCAGGCTTTGGACCGGTCCAACCAGGAAGGGTGCTGTAGAATTTGACTGTAGAGATTTGCCGGCTGCGAGGCGGGCATATATGTGGAGAAGGGAACGGAGGTCTGGCTCGCCTCAGATAGTGGATAGTTGAGGGTTCGGCGAGCATTCTCTGCATCCTGAATACTTTCTGAGAGGCAGAGAATTTTGGTGGGAATAGACGAAGAATCTTGCTCGATAGCCACGCTATAGGTTTGAGAAACCCAATCGATGAATGAACGCGTGAATAACTGAGCCGGGTTGACGGGTGCTTGAACACTGATGCCGGTTTTTTGCTCACGAATACGGGCCACGGCGTCTTGGATGACATCGCGGATCGATTCGCAAGCTTCCTGTTCGCCAGTAACTCTGACCAAACCGAGAGAACTAGTCACATCGATACTGGAAGAGTGGAGTTCGGCAACTTCATCGAAGGAGAAATGCGTGGAATTGAGTAGCACGGTAATTGAGAGCGGAGGGAGGCGAAGATCCAGCTGGCCAACCTCGCTGACCACCGAGAAATGCCAGCAGTCTCGAAGGATATGTTCTGCTAGAAGTAGCTTCCCCGTTAGTCCCTGAGCCGCGGCCAGTCGTTCGGTGTTGCTATGCGCGGTTGGACTGGCGTGCCAGAACGAGGAGGTTCCGGGCCTCCATGGATTTTCTCCTTTAACCTCTTCTAAGGCAGATTGTTTGCGAGCGGCGATATAGTCTGACAGTTGGTTGTAGGTGAAGGAAGTAGCGATGTCTGACCGGAGGGTTTCCCAGTCGTGCGATGGCAGCTTGGCAGCTTGGCCGGAGAACCGGCCAAGATTCTCAATGGTCTTGCGGATATCCTCCTCATCCAGAACCGCGGTCTCCTGGTCCAAATCATCCAGTATTGAGTCGACTGTGGTGGCATTTTGCTCGCGAGAATGCACCCGGCGAGGTTTGCGTGACCGAAGAAGCGATTTGGGGCGATTGGAGGAGATGACGGTGACACTGCCAGGCTCTCCTAAGGAATCGACCGTCAGCTGGACCTGGCGGGCCTCGAACCGTTGCGCGGGTTCGGGTTCGGGTTTCTTAGAGCGCGGTCGCGAAGGTCTCGGTGAACGGTCATCGGAGGTGGAGGTGGAGAAGGGGGAGCTCTGGTGACGAATGGGGTGGATTGGGAGGTTTGCAAATGCAGTAGGTCTTACCCAAAGGCGTTGGGCACACCTACGATGAGGACGCATGGTGGTGCATCGCAATGGAAAAGATAAAAGTTGATGGAAGATCAAGATGGAGATGGAGAAATAAACTCGTGGCCTGAGAAATCGGGTGTCAATCAGGTGTCAATCAGGTGTCATGTGATGCCTGATCTGTCAGGTGACGAGGCATCCATCACCCTCACCACCACCACAACTACAACTACAACTACAACTACAACTACAACTACAACTACAACTGTCACTCTTCTACTTTACGAGTCACTACTCACTGACTGTACGACTGACTACTGACTACTGACTATACTGACTATCCTCGGATGTGGTACTTCTTCATCACCCCCTCCGCTTCATTTTCGTGACCAAGACAATTATCTGCAGCCAAGGTCATGGCGGCCAGCGCGGTCTACGAAAGGTTATGTCTCAACTTCCATTGTGCCAACTTCAGCTGTTGCCCATGTGTGATTCAATGATGGAAGCACAACAGAGTGGACTCGATTATGCAGACCTCTATCGAACTCACCAATGGATGAGAGGAGTACCGCAGTTCAGTTTCAGCCCTACGACGCCCTTCTCCACCGCCGATCAGAGCAACTCCCACGGTTAAAAGTCAAAAAGAAACCCGCGGGCTTTTCGGCCATTCCCCGACTTTTCCTCAACTTAAACATTCTACCTTTTCTCCCTTTTCTTTCCCTCCATTTCTTATCTTCCCCTCTCTCAAAACCCCCCGGTCGGCCTTGTGCTGCTTCTCCCCCTTCCTCCTCCCTCCTCCTCACCGACCCCCCATCACCCAATGGAGAAAGATTCACAGCCCCCGGTTATGCCCGATCTCGAGGCGAGCCCCTCGCCCGAGCCCAAGTCTCCCCGTCAGTCATCGCTCATGCGCCGATGGAAGGAGACCGTGGACCCGGCCAATGCAGACTTGGTCTGTCTGCTGCTATGCTTTTTGACCGGCCTCTGTGATAGCAGTGCCTACAATGCATGGTCGTGTTTCTTGGGCATGCAGACCGGTAGGATTCCTCTCTTCTTCCCGAAAGTTTAACTTCTGCGCCGCATGCTGATCGTCGGTCCTTTTATTTTTGCTCGATAGGAAACACCATCTTCCTCGGTCTGGGTGCCTCCAATCAGCCTACCAGCAAGCCCTGGGGCTGGTTGAAGTCGCTTATCTCCATTGTCACCTTCTTCGCCGGTGCCATGATCTTCTCCATTATCATGCGCAGTGTTGGTGCCCTCCGTCGCGGCACTCTCGTGGTCTCCTTCCTCGTCCAGGCTCTTATTATTATTATTGCGGTCGCACTTATCGAAGCCGACCTGATCCCTCACAGCTCGGCCGATATGAGTCTGGACGGAGGGCCATTGTTCCTGGAATTGATCCCGATCGGTTTACTGGCTTTCCAGTCGGCGGGTGCCATGACCTGCAGTCGATCTCTGGGTTACAACGAGATTCCGACCGTGGTTCTGACCAGTGTTTACTTTGATATTGCGTCGGACCCCAAGATTACAGAGAAGCCGACGGGCAATGTGAAACGGAACCGGCGGATTGGTGGAGTGGTGTTCCTCCTGGTGGGTGCCATTGCAGGAGGATGGCTCAGTCGGAGTAGCGGTGGCATGGAATCGGCGCTGTGGCTTGCGGCTGGTCTTAAGGTTGTTGTGGCCTTTGGATGGGTGTTTTGGAAGGCAGCACCTGCGAAAATAGAAGGGATGAGATATACGAGTTCTGCCTGGACCGGTGGGATTAGTGGATTGCAAAGTCCACTTGCTAGAGAGATACGAAGTAGTACGAGTCCCAAAGAGCTTCTGTTTGACTCTGTAGATAGACTAGACTAGACACCTGCTAGACAGACGGCATATACTATAAACTAATAATTGATACACTACTTTTCTTTTCTTTTGGAACCCTAAAACCCTAAGCCTAAGGGTTGCTCAGTTATTTACTCTATCTGCTCTCTACTATTTACTATTTACTATTTACTCTGACTCTACTCTACTCGACTCTGTCACACGAGGCACCAAGTTCACCACACCATTCGACTCCACAGTGGATCACAATGGATCCCCTGGCGGTATTGACCAATGACACTCGAATTACCCTCACTTTGATTTATGCATTTCATTGGCAGTTGCTGGCAACATTCAGAGCAACAATGATGCCATCCGCATGCAGTGGAGTTGCCCTAGACTTTCCCTCGAGTGGTGGCAGTGGAGTGATGAATGCAGTTGACCTTCTCATCCTCCTCACTCTCACTCAGCCATATACAAACATGTCCATCGACAACTTCCAGCACAACTACACCCTCATCTCTCCAATCCCCAAGTGGAGATGACGGCTGCAGCCGATATCCGGGGAAGAGCCCGACTCAACCGAAAACCTGCTGGCCACCCCCGCAACTTCAACTCCAACTTCAACTCCAACCTCATCTCAGCCATGCGTGATGTCCTGGTACTGGTACACTTCTCTCCACCATGACCAACTCGTTCCAAGTTCCACTTCCCCATGAGGCATATCCACCGGACCTGGACCGACCCTCCAGTGCTGTTTTGCACGATAGCCGACCGCCTTCTCCGCGCACACACACCTACGCCGACGCAGATGCAGAAGCAGAAGCAGATGACCGTGAGGCGCTGGAGCTGCATCAAATCCAAACCCACGAGGATGCCGACCTGAACGAATCCTCCCCCTCAGTCTCGTCGGGTGAGGAGATCCGAATCACCACGCGCCGCACCCGCTCGCGCGCCAGTGTCCAGTCTACTCGTGCCCATCGGGGTAAGGACCCGTGGAGTCGGCTGTGTCGATTCTGGACACATCATGTTACCCTCACCGTGCCGCAAAAAAGCAATCGCGATCACTTTGGTGAGTCCAGCACAACCCCGCAGAGCTTCGAAACGAGCTTCGATCGATGCAAGCGGACCCGCTAACGGCTTTTCTAGCTCTGGAACGAACATTCCTCGCCTACATCCGCACCTCGGTGGTCATCGCCATGCAAGGGGTTCTGATTGCCCAGCTATTTCGTCTCCAGCGATCCAACCAGGACCAGGACCGACTGCGATTCTACCAGGTCGGGATCCCGCTTTCGGTGACCTGTCACTGCGTTGCCGTCGTCGTCGCTCTGATCGGAGCCTATCGGTTCTGGCGACAACAGAGTGCTATTGCCCGCGGCAAGGTGCATGCGGGTGGGTGGGAATTGAATTCGGTCGGCATTTTGTTATTCCTGGTGAGTAGAGAAAGCCATTTGCATATACGTGAGTTGTCTCCTGCCTGGCCACTGCTAATCAACAAAAAAACAAACCAGATCATCTTGGTGACGTTGGTGATCAGCGTGGTGATCATCGTGGAAATCGAAAAGAGCCCGACGAATCTCCTGAAGCGCCTCCTGCTATTCTGATCGAGACTGTCTGGGAATCTCACTCTAATGCCTGATGACAGCGACGAAACACGATTCCTTGCCATGATGTACAGTTAGAATAATTCGCAAAGTACAAGAAATACGATAATGAATCATTTCCCTCGAATTATTTCCATGGATTCTGCAGTAGAAAGATCTTCTGTTCAGCCACAGCATGGACAGACCAGTTGGAAATACACAAAAGAATTCTCAAGATCCATTTATTATACTGATTGATGACCATTTGCGTTCAATCTCGACCTTGAGTCTGTTCTATACATTTACCCCCCCCCCCTTGATCGCCTTCAGTCTCTCTTTCTCTTCGGTTTTCACCAACACCCGCCATCACAAGCCCTGGAGGTGTTTCTAAATATTCGCACCACCATTGCAAGGCAAAATTTGACCTGTTCCTCGTTAGTAACTGGATACCCCAACTTCTCTCCCTGCATTCCACATACCGTTGATCCATTCTCCGGCAGGACTGAGACAAGAATGCCACAATGCGCCCGATATCCGCCGGAACACCGCATCGCTTCAAGGGGCTACCACCAGCCAGTGCCGCCTCAATCTCCTCAATCGAAGAATCCTTGGTGCAGCCCGGGGCATACCGCCACGCGTTGCTCAGCCACATGTCGCTCTTCACGCCAGCAGGCGCAATCGCATTGACGGTGCATCGCTTCTTACCGAAATCCGCGGCGAAGCACCGCGTGAAGCCCTCAATGGCGCTCTTACTACCGGCGTAAAGGGAGTGGCCGGGACTCCCACGCCGGCGGCGATGGAGGACATCAGGACCACGCGCCCGCCGGGCTGGATGTAGTCATAGGCGTACTTGGCGACGAAGAATTGGGCGCGGGTGTTGAGGTCGAAGACGGCGTTGAAGTCGTCAATAGTGGTGTCGGCTAGGGATACGAACTTCTCCGTTCCCGAGTTGGACACGACAATGTCCAATTGGCCAAAGTGAGAGACGACTTCGCGGAAGAGGTTCTCGATGGCGTCGACTTTCGTCAGGTTGGCTTGGAAGGCTGCGGCGTGCACGCCCAGGGCCTTGATCTCGTTGACCATCTTGTCTGCCGCAGCCGTGTTGCCGGCATAATTAATAGCCACGGAGGCGCCCTTTTTCGCCAGCTCAAGTGCAATGCCAGATCCAATGCCTCGACTCCCACCGGTGACAAGGGCGACCTTGCCGGCGAGTTCCAGCTGAGCGGCGTTGGGATTGGTGACGACCATGATCAATTCAGAGATGGATGGCACAGGGGACGTGACTTTTAGGGGAATAGGTATAGATTTCGAAGAGTTGCAAAGACCACGATCTACTGGATAGCCTTGAACTTGTATATACTCGGACAATGGGAATTGTCGGATTCATACATCTGAAATCAGATACTAGTAATCCGGCCCCGGCCCATGTCGCATTTGACTCCCTCCACTACGAGTACTCATTGGGGAGTCAGTCCGCATTGAGACTCACTCAGTGGAAAAGGCTACACTACTGTGAAGCCACTAGAGGTGAACAAGGCTGCTTTCGAGTGCCGTTCGGCTCAACTAACAGGTTCCTTGCCGCATCCGGGGGGCTGTACGATCTGCATCGCGTGTGCAGGTCACATTGTGAGCCCGGTTGCATTCTGCCAAGCATTGGCATACAGAGTCGGATCCTTCTTAGAGGGACTAGATCTCGTTCATGCCGCATTTGGTGTAGCAATTTCGGAGCTGGATTCCAGGTTACACATCGCGATGTAGACTCCATCGCGGAGGTATACCTTCACACCAATCTCAACTTCATCATCGTACACTTTGTGATCAGACTCTTGACAAATTTCACTATGTCGCCAGCCATCAAAAACCACGAGCCTAATCTCGACATTAGCTTCCAAGGTAATATCAATTTCCCAGCCGAAGCCGGTCAGTATACTGACCATCCTTAGACTACCTGATCCTATCCAAGCTCGTGTTCGACTGGGCAGATAGCTATGATGCCAAGGTATAATTGAATGAATCTATTTCCCTTTATCCATGAATGCGTATCTTCTAACCGCAGTTACCAGCAGGACTGGGAACGCTTGCGTGGCATCATTGCCCCAACCCTGACGGTGGACTATACCGAGGTCGGTCTAAGAAGATGGGATGACATGTCTGCCGAGGAGTTTATGGGGATGGTCACGCATCCAGGCTTCCTCGGGGACCCAACAATCAAGACACAGCACCTTCTAGGCCAGACATGGTGGGAGAAGATCTCCGACACTGAGGTGATTGGCCATCATCAGCTGCGCGCCGCTCATCAGGTGTATACCGATGAAACCCTTAAAGAGGTCAAACTGCGCGGACACGGGCATGCGACTAATGAGCACTATTATCGCAAGGTCGATGGTGTTTGGAAATTTGCTGGATTGAAGCCACATGTACGATGGAATGAGCTTCGCTTTGATGAGGTCTTTAGAGGACTGGATTGAACTATGCCCGCTTACTTGAACTTGGAGGCCTGGTCGGAAATTATCTGATCTGTACCTAATATGAAATCTATTTATTCTTTTTCATAAGGGTTAATGGACTTTATTCACGGCGATTCTAAATGACGAGACCTTCTTTGATTTCGGCCAATATCGAAGACCAATCCAGGCGTTGAGCGATCTGATCTTCTCTCTCACACATAACTTCCACAAATTTCCTCGACCATGTATAATGATCGCCCCCGACTGTTTCGTAGTCTGCCAGCATTCTCACGGCCCATTCGCGATAGACTGGATCTCCAACTTCGATCGCGGCCATAACGAGCGGCAATGGCCAGAATTTGGTAGGTGGCGGTGTCACCTTTGAGCCCACTGGTCGTAGTGCTCTGAGTTGTTGTGTTATTTGTATGATATCGCGAGCATGCTGGTCCGCTGCGTGCCTTCGATCGCTTGGAACAAGACACCTGGAGTAGGAGATTTCAACGCTGTGATAGAGGGCACGTAGAACGAGATATGTGTACCGATTTCGTCCCTCTTGTCTACTTGAAGCAATATCTTGATCAATAGCTTGACAATATGAATCCAACTTGCTGCGAATATCTTTGACCATATAGCCAACGTGGGGTTTACCCTTGACTCTGGTGATTATATGCAGTAGGAAAGAGAGTCGAAGCATAAGTTCGAGAAGGGGGTGCTGCCTTTCGTCCGATTTTCGCTCCTCTTCAGGATAGGTGATGCTGTAAGCATCTTGTAGAGTTGTCGACGATACGCGGACTAATTCGACGATTTCCTCTTCACTGCCTATAGCCTGCAGGATTGCGCCCTCGCCTGCCTGAAATGCCGACGCTTTTCCATCAAGAATACAGAACTATCACAGTCAGCAGGTCTAAGAATAAAGACTGAAAACCAAAAGGGCAGGCAACGCAGAGCTGTAAGCACTTACCCAGGACAATACTCTCGCTTGGACTCCCGTCATCCTGTCCTTGAATTCCGGATTTTGTAAAACTGAGGCAATGAACCGAATAGTCATCAAAAGGGACCCCGAGCGAGCCAAGGCTAGATCCAAGAGGGCGAGAAAGAAACATGCAACAAAGAGAGCATCCCGATCATCATCGGCTTGTGAGGAAAGGTGGGATGAATGACTCACTATATCGCGCCAAGATTTGCAATCTGGAAGAGAGATGCCGTATTCTCTTGATATCAGAGAGATGCTATGATCATAATGTGAAATTGCATCGTTCAGTGAGGTCGCCTGTCCAACGAAGAAAAGGTTGGCTGATGTCCATGCCAACATCGCGGACAGTGCGATGGGATGACTTCTGGCAAAGCGATGATAGAAATATGTGTAAAATGTCCAGTCAGGCCGCTTAAACGAAAATCTTCCAGCAAGGGCTCTAGAATAATGTTGTGCTAGGAGATGTGTCGGAATTCCCTCCGTTCGGGGTCGTTTATTGGGTCGTCCTGGACCATTGTCTGTGAATGAACCTTGCTCGGGTGCTGAGGACGGAGTTCTCTTTTCAATACCGTCTGATGATCTATCTGGGTTTGGAGAGGACACCGATGCGCAGGTTTGCGGAAATTCAAGAGGGAAATTCCAAATTTGATCATCCAGGACTGGTAATTCTGGTAGCTCATCATCCCAGGAGGAAAGAAAATCCGCAAATAAGCTGTCGTCCAGGGAAAGTAACGCAGATGGGGTCTCTGTTTGGTCCCAGTGAGGTATATTGGAGACATTCCCAGACCTTCCGTGCTGGTTAGTTTATAGCATGGACATGCAAGGGTTGGCTGTGTGACATGACATACCCCGGGGACGGTGCAAGGCTCTGCCGAGTTGATTTGGTAGCTGGGATGGGATGCTGGAAATTGTCCAGCTCCCTGTATTCTCCGCAGCTTCCGGGGTTTACATGTTGGAACTGTAGAACACGGGGGGGAGCATCGTAAGCACATCGTAGATGAGACGCTTTGCATGTTGAGCAGCGGGGCCGTTTATCGTCACATTCTTTTCGACGTCTCACACAGGCCAGACATGTCATTTCTGATAATCTGGATTTTGAGCGCGAGGCAACAACCTGAACGTATAAGAGAGAAAGTCCGGTCTGGGTACGGGGTGCGGGGATCTTTTTTACGGAAGCATCTCACCTGGACTATTTAAAGTGGGGATCTGGTATGACTTATATTTTCCTTAGTATTTAGTTAACTCGCTCTCGCCTTTCAACGCCGCCAGTGGGGATCGCTAAACCAATCACCCGGGGCCACCAAGACTAGAACTGTTAGGTAGGATATATCTGAGCATCAGCAAAAATTTATACTACTATGCTAATTGGGAATTCAACTACTAATTATGATATTCCCTCATAGAGCGTATCTAAAACTGGGATTTTCCATGTCCGTCAAGTCCATATCGTCTCCACTGCCCGACGAAGGCACAAAATGAACATCCTGTGCGTCTCGGCGTTTGTTCTCTTTCGAATATAGAAATCTGTCAACCATCAGTATGAGCCTTTCAAAGAGAGTTAAAATCGGAACTCTGACCGGAGGATCAGAGGAGCGATAAATAGAACACCGAAAGACACAATCATGGCGATAATGGCGGTGGGGTATCCTTCTTTCTCTTCCTCATCACGAAAGCACTGCGGTGCGATAATGTTGCCCACACAGTATCTATCACTGTTAGTAGAAAAGAAAAAGTGCGATCTTGGAGTTCACGGAAATGCTCACCCTAAGAAGAGAAGAAAGGTGACGGTGGTTTTCTTAGTGTACCCAGCAACATTTCCACCGATAACAGAAAATGAAACTGCGAGACTGGCGGAGTTGGTGTAAATGACCCAAACCGAGGCAACTCTCCCCCATTTATGGACACTTGGCAAAGAGTAGACCAAGGCAGTTCCTATTATAGACGGAATGACACAAAATGACATGGATACAAGGCGCGCGTTTGTGACTTTGGTTGAAACGATACCACTGCATGAAACATTGTCAGTTAATCATGTGGTCACAAGTGTCCCGTAACGGTCCAACTGACGCGATTAAAATTGATATAATTTGAACTACGTGTGACGGAATGCCTATCAGTTGAGTCTGAACAGCTGTAAACCCAAACCCCTTGATGAGAAGACTGCTGAACTGTGCCGCCAATATCGTCAATGTATGACAAGGTTTCAAGGACACATGAAATACACACATTTGACAGTGATCCAGCTGGAATGGTATTGAAAATCCCGATGATAAAAAAGACGTATGTCTTGAAGTCCGAAAAAGCTTCCTTGACCTGAGACCACTTCCAGTTTGATTGAACGGAGTGGCCGATCGAATGAGTCTATGGTGTGATGTGTTAGTCAAGCATATGTGTTGAGTGTGCAGGTCTTACACTTAAACTTGACATCAACCGATCCTGCTCGGACAAGAATGATGCCATTTCCGGGGATGCTGGAAAGGCGTATGCGAAGAAAATACCCCAAAGTGCGGTTACAGAGCCAAAAGCAATGTACAGCAAGCGCCACGAAGCTATTTCGGTATGGGTATTCCCAAGGGCATAACCTAGCAAGCCTCCAAATATCCCGAAGACTGGAGTACCGAGAAACCAAAGTACCTGCCTGATAGGTTGCTCCTTTGGAGTATACCAATGCGCTAGGGAGGTGTGAGTACGGGATGGATGTACACTGCTGAGAGGAACATACCTGTGATGACGACAAAACATGGGGCAACGACAGATTCCAGGGCCCCCAAGACAAAACGATTTATCATAAGACCGGTAAAGCTGACACAGAAGTTGGTCATGACCACGCATACCCCCCCAGGCGAATATGAAGAACCCGAGATATACGGGAGTGGAGAAAGAGTTAAGGAGGCCAGCTAGCGGATACTCAAACACCATATACCCGAAATAGAAGATTGAGCCTACCCAGCTGTATTCCTGTCCTTTGAGATGCTACTAAATGTTAGCGTGGCGATTCTAGAAGAAGAGCGAGGGACTCACAGTATCATTTCGAAAGGTGAAGACAGCGGCGTATCCGAGCAAGGCTTTGTCGAGGAATTGTAGTCCATAGGTAATAAACATCTGGCAGATAATGTGATGAGTTAGATGGCAACAAGAGAGGACCGTGGGGATGTTACTCAACTGACCAGAGGTACAATGCGCATGTCCAATTTCCGCAAAATGCGAGATCTGTGCAACGTAACTTGCTCATCGGATGCATCTGTTGCCAGAGACTCCAGCTGGGACACAGACCCTTGGGGAACGAGGGAGGATTTCTGGAGATCTTGATCGGTGGCAGGCATTTTGGCGAATTTCAACCTAAGAGGATAGATATGCCGTTTTTCCCTTGGCTTTCTACAGTTGGCGAGGGAAATGCTAGACTCGGGTCTTTTGTGAGAAGAGGGAGGGAGCGAGAGGATGAAGGGAAGAAATAGTTTCTCAGTCCCAACTCCCTTTCCCTTCTCAGTGAAGGCTGGGATTATTCACACTGGAGAGGCGAGTTGATAGCGGCGAGCAAAGTCTGGGGAAGAAGTACGCCGAATCGTCCATTTCAGGCCGAATGAGCGATCGCTGATTTCGCCCAAAGGGGAAATTTCCGCGACAGGCCGAGCACCCAGGAGGTGAAGGAATCGACAATTCCCTTTAAACTGGAAGGTGAACGAGAGAGTCGAAAGAAAATAAATCCAAAATTAAGACTGCAAAAACAGAAGAAGAGAAAATCATGTCTCCCTTGTTTATCGAATCAAACATGACCGGCCCTGGCCCCTGGACACACAAAGGACCAACCGACATATCGACAATTGAATCCCTTGACATCGAAGACTTCGCGCCCGGAAAGTTTGAGAAGTTTTGGCTCAACATATCTGTCTCTGCACTCGGGCCAGTCAATGTCCCTGTTTTCGCATATCGCGGTTTTGCTCCTGGCCCGACCGTGGGAATCATTGGCGCGATTCATGGTAACGAGGTAAATGGGATCCCAGTGATTCAACAGATATTTGCGCGTCTTGAGAAATCGTTGCGAAGCGGAGGCGTAGTGGGGACAATAACAGGTACTCTTATCGGAATTCCTGTACTCAATGTACCGGGTTTCTTGGATTCCGTTCGCTCGTTTGATGGTCACGACCTCAATCGACTCATGCCTGGGTAAAACCCTCACCTGTCTTCAACTTCAAACCTTAATTAACTTAATATCATCAAGCAAATCCAATGGAGCTGCACCGCAGCAATATGCCTACCGTGTCTTCCACGAGATTGTCACGAAGTTGGACTATGTATTCGATCTTCACACAGCATCCGTCGGTCGACAGAACTCGTTGTATGTTCGCGCTGATATGAACGATGATAATATCAACAAAATGGCAACCGATCTCAGTCCTCAAATAATCGTGCACAACTCGAGTCCAGGTGGTTCGCTCCGTGGATGTGCCCAGCAGAATGGCATTAAAGCACTGACAATTGAGGTATGTTTTGGATGCCTGCTTAGTTCAACAACGTATCTGACAACAATGTTTCAGATTGGCAATCCGAGCACTTTCCAGCATGATCTTATCATGAGAACTGTCGACGGCATTTGTAATACTCTGACGCTTCGATTGGGATATCCGCTCTTGTTCGATCACTATGCTACCCAAGTGCAGCAACAGAGTCCAGTCATTTGCTGCCGAAGCGTAAGCGCAAGAGTCCTTTCCGCTGAATGTGCATTATTCTAATGGGGCTCGCAAAGTATTGGCTATTCTCGCAAACCGCAGGGATCCTTCAAGGCAAGTGAGGAGATATGGAGCTGGGGTATCTTAGCATTTACTAACAGCGAGGCTAGTCTACAAGAAGGTAGCCGAGACTCTGAGAAAAGGGGAAGTTATAGCAGAGATACATTCCGTATTCGGGGAGTTACTCCAGCGTATTGTCGCTCCTGACGAGCATGACACAGTGATTATCGGCCTGGAATCCAACCCTGTCGCTAAATTGGGCAACCGAATTGTGAGTTTCTGTTGGCTCTTCCTGCTGTATCCATCGATCAAATAATCATCATTGCTTCTTAGGTCCACCTTGGTGTCATTGGGAATGGCTTTCTGGAAGTGGTGAACGATGGTCATCTCTAATACTGTCGACGAGATGAAACAGAAAGTTTAAATAGACTGCTTAATCAGTCAATAGTTCATAGAGTTGTTTCAAATTTTAGGGACATTCATTCAAGAGAAAATTCTAAGAAATTCTAAAATCTATGCAATTATATCTATTTTCGTGGTCGCTCATCACTCAACTCCAGAAAGCCTTTTGAAGGGCATCGCACATCAGGGTAATACATCGCTTACCCTCAGACAAAGCACCATCCATGGCCAGGAAAGGATGCGGCATGCCCTTCATGACCTGCAAATCAACCTCGACGCCGGCCTGCCGCAGCTTCTCGGCATATTGCTCTCCCTCAGTCCGCAACACATCCAGCTCACCCACCATTACCAAGGCTGGCGGGCATTGCGCGTATCCATCGGCATAGAAGAGCGGGCTGGCCTCCGGGTCGGTGCGATCGGCGTGGTTGGGTAGATAGTGATCGCGATACCAGATCATCTTCGGAGCAGGCAAGGCCGGGGTGTGCTCGTAGCGACGATATGAGTCGTTGTTCTCGACAGTGGCAGTGTTATCGGTCACCGGGACGGAGAGCAGCTGAGCCTTGAAAAGAACGGGCGGCGAAAGCGTCAAAGCCTTGTGAGTCATGATGGCTGCAAGGTTTCCACCAGCTGAGGAACCACCCGTCGCAAGTTTGGACTTGTCAATGCCAATGGTCGCAGGGCCTTCCTGGACCAGCCACAATAGGGCTTCCCAGCAGTCGTGGACGGCGGCCGGCCAACGGTTTTCCGGGGCGAGACTGTCGGAGGACAATCAATATTAGATCATGAATTGCCCATTGAGAGATAGAGATTAATTGCTGGGACAGGAGTGGCCGAACTCACCGGTAATCAACTGTCACAACGACACAGTTGCCGCGAACGCAGAGGTTGGAGCAGACAACGTTCTCAGTGTCGATATTTCCCAGAACCCAGCCACCACCGTGGAAGTAGAGCATCACCGGCCACCCGCCAAGGGGAGCTTCACCTTTCGGGGTGAAGACGCGGATGGGCACCGAGGGACCCTCAGTTGCTCGGCGTGTAACAGAGATATCCTTGGTAGAACCAACTTCCAGCATGGGACCAGCGCCAGGGATCAGGACACCACCAGTGCGCGATGCGGCCACGGGCTGCAGATGAACCTGCTGATTATTGATGACATGTTCGTTGTAGAAGGCGACATACTCCGGGTCCAAGAGATCCTTGACGGAATCGTGAAGAGGATAGGGAGGTTGTGGGCCGGCCATTTTGGATGCAATTCTGAAGGTTCTGAAGGGATCTAGATTGAGGAGGCCCTTCGAAGGAAGATACAAATGAATTTAAATGGATTGGATGGATTTAAAGACGAAGATGAAATCCCGGGGAAGACGATGGAGTCATAAATGCCCCGTTGGATTCTACCCCCCACGCGACCGCGGGATGCGGGGAGTGCCAAACGAAGAGGGGCAGCAATTCGGATGATTCCAATGATTCCAGGGTTATTTGGAGGGGTCCACCGTACCAGAACCCCATAACCCACCACAACTGGTTCAGGAGGGAAGAGAAATAAGAGTCCGAGAGCCTCCGAGTGGGAAGCGATCGGCGGATGCAACACGCCCCTGCGACTCTACGCCATTTGTGCTCCATAGAACACTCGGCGATGCTCCGAGTGGAACTGGTACTAAGTAGATTAGGGGGAAGTAGTGTAGAGAGGAAGATACCATAGGTAATTACGCCATAACGCAACTGGAATACTGTCGAATGGATACCTCTCGCACTAATGGACACGACATCAAAATTGAAACTCCAACTGTTCACCTGCTACTGTATACTAGTAGCTAGAATGCTAACTATACTAGTTACTACTAGTACTACTAAAATAGTTATTCCAGTAAACATTCACGTTGAAATATCTAACCACCGCTATAGTAGTTATATTCTTTCAGTTTTGAGTCTACGATTGGGTGTAATGAATTAGTTCGTGTGATTAACGAATATTGGAATGGGCATATCTTCAGTGAGCCCTGTCTGTACCCGTATGGCCAGACAGATGTGTCATTTCCCTCCCCCTTGCCTCGCATCTTCATCTAGCGGTGAGATCGGAGGATCTGTCGATTTGCACAGTCATTGGAAGCTTACATGCTTGTCCTTACAGATTGTTGCGGTCAGCAAAGCTTGCTATTCCATGAATACGAAGAAACCATGTGTGTCAAAATAAATGCATTAATTCCAAGGGATCTTATTGGTGTTCCATTATTAAGTCATTATTATTTCGTTTAAGTGACTGAAAATGCGATATACGGTTTAAACTAGCCAGATCATTCCCTCGGTTACTAGTCTCACTAGCCATACACCACCAGTACTAGTAATATACTATGCAGCTGCACGAACTCTCATCTCGTACGGTAATGCCAGGAACGCAATTCCTGCTACAACGAACAGCGCTGGGGAAATCCAGATCTGCATGCTAGTTTCCACGCCAATGTATGGCGCGATGATTGGGGCCATTAATCCAGAAAGCCGATTAACTAGAGCCACAAGACCATTTCCAGTACCACGGATTGGAGCTGGGAATAATTCAGGTGTATATGAATAGAGTAACCCAGAGACCAGGTTTTGGAAAAAGGCAATGACACAGGAAAATCCAAGAACACTGGCGGGGGTATTGGCCCTAGTAAAGAGGAATAAGAAGACACCAGTAGAAACACAAGCGATGGCACCTGTTCCCTTCCGTCCAACGCGTTTCATCTCAACGGTGTAACCACCGATGATGGAAGCCGGAATTCCACAAACGGCTTGAATGGCATAGTTGCGATATGTTTCATTCAATGACCCCCCCACCGGAGCTCACACCTTTAGTCTCCAAGTAGATGGGTATGAAAGAGTTGTAAAGCGGGTACGCTATTCTGATTCTACACCACAGAAATAACATTATGGAAGTGGAAAGCGCTATTTTGGGGGTAGAGAATAGAGCTATGACCCGGTGAGGAGCCTAAGCCTTTACTGCACGACGGATGATATTGTTAGATACGGGCGAAGAGTCAGCGGACACGGTCTCATCTGGTTCCGAACTTTGCAGTCTCGCCGAGACAGCCTCAAAGTGATCAACAGTAAGCTAGGTGGTGGTTTCATCCCTCTCTGCTATGTTTTGGATAACTTCCGTTGTTTCCCTGTCTCTACCCTTGCCTAAGAGATACTTGGGAGTTTTATGAATGCGGAAAAACAACTGAGCAAAGAATATGGCTAGAGGCAGACCACCAAATGTCTAGTAAGAATAGCGCTAACTGAGATTGTTTTGAAATGCGTATTCCGTTGCTGAGGAGCATGTGAAATTAACGATCAATGGCCTAGTTAAAGGTTGAGATTTTGAATATATAAATGGGTAGACAGTAATCTTACTAAGCTACGAGTGCTGCTACTGTTTGTCTAAGAGACTAGAACCCAGACTACATAGTCAGTAGGTACTGGTGTGTTGTAGGTGTGAACTTGAGAAATATGGCGCTGTCAATAGGTTGATTTCTGCTACTTCTAAGTCTAATGACTGTACAGAACAGCGAAATTGCAAAAAAGGTTGGACTTTCCGCTCCTACCAATCCGCTAATACCCGTAATCAGAAGTGTGACATTGAATGCAGGCCGTCGACCAATGAAATCTGCAGTCATTGGCCATACACTAGCTCCTATTATAAGGCCTGCATATTTGGCTACCGTCAAAACGCAATTTGGTTGACTGCAAACTTCTTTTGTATAGGGGGATTGATGATGGTGATAGCTTGCATCTAGAACTGTGTAGTATTGGTTTATCAGAATGGAATCGTGATATCAGGGTTCAGGGGAAAGAAATTGCATATGTTGTCGATGAACCAACCTAAACCAGTGGTCAGGAATACCATCTATTGATAACGTCCTATCCCAAGGTCGATTAAAGCCTCATTGAGAATAGCAATCTTTAAATCATAAATCTCATCTGCACCAGGCTGAACATTGCGTGTGTCAATTCCACGGTAGCTAGCATGGCCTGCTCCCGCTTCCTTGGTGCACCTGTGATGCCGCTCTAGATCCTTCTCATCTCGATTGGGGTGAGAAACTTGTACCGTTCTTGGCTGATCATCTCCAGGGAGATTCAAGTTCCGAGTAGCTATTCGAGGGTCTGTTGTGTGTTCGGTGACTGAGAGGATTACCCGCAACGTTACTAGTAAGACCCGAGGCTGCCCAGGTGTGAAATACTGGCTTCAGGTTTAACTTGAAAACCAGATCGAGATCCATTTCAGGTTTATGCCCAGGTGGGCTAGGCAACTTGAACGGAGCCCACCCAGGTATATATATACTCCCTACGGTACTAATAGTACCCGCCCACCTCAATCGGTTATCCATTTTCACTTGGGTCCAAACCGTAGGCACAGAGAATACACGATGAGGGGAAAATTCGGATGCGAGAGCGTACCACCTCCACAGCCCCCCCTCACCCTCCAAGCATCACCATGAGATTTGTGGAAAGATTGAAAATTCGGGGGTTGGATTTGAATTTTTTTCGCTCAGGCCTCGGCGGCTCGAAGGGTTTGTTTTGAGAAAAGTGACGCGGAGGGCCCGACCAACCGCCTGGGAAGAATCTTAAAATTAGGATAATATGGAGAAGAATTAAAGTACTTTTTGAACTGTCTTGTGACACGGCTATTTGTGGCGGTATTTCCTATGTTTTAAAACCCTGACACTTGGGGAGCCCATGGAACCATTCGTATCTCTGCCGCGGCGGGATATTCCCAAGAGCCGAGATCCTGCCGAGATCCTTTACCTTGGGACTGCATATGTTGGCGTGCTGAATAACAACTTGCTATACCAGATAATGGCTCAACATATGCAGGATAGTTGGTCTGAAAGGACTTCATATGCTGCTTCTATGTTGGTCACGAATTGTCGGCACTTCGGAACCAAAAGTCAAATGATATACCCCCCCAGGCCCGCAGTTGGGCTAAAGATTTTGAGTCTAGAGTGACCTGTTCGGCGGTTAGAATATCCATTTGGGGTTAAGATCAACTCGAGGTGATGTTGAAGTATCAGGCTGGAAAATTAAATTCAGTCTCTCGCTGAACACTCCAAATCAACATGACTTAAATGAGGTTTATTTGTCTTCATTTGTTGGCGCGGTTTAAATGGCCATTTTGGGGAATTCGGCGCTGAGTATAGATGCTTTACAAGGTTTTGGTAAGTGTGCTTAAGCAGCTATAAATTATTCAAGTAGTCTTCACAAATTTGTAATGTCAGATTTTCTTTCCCGATTGTCTTTTTCAAATAGTTTCATTCTAAAACAACTAGGCACCCTCAAGTCGACTGTCTAATCATGGCCCCATCATTATGTACCGACGACATGACTGGAACCGGCAAAAGTGGACCAGCCAAGTTCAATTCTAAGCAGCATCTTGCCTACTCACCACCATCAGATATACTCCAAATGAAGGATCTTGGTCAAAGCCCCACTGAACTTTCCCCGGTGGCCTCTACTGAGCCTTTCCCCTTGCTATCCCATGACGCCATTATCCAGCATCGCCGTGAGATTTTTAGTGGTGATGTTCTGGACAACTGCATGCATCATACCCGACCTGGATCTGTTCAGATCCGGGAATGGCTCCTCGTTATGCGTCCTTCATCCATGAGTTTTGGCACTCACCCGAGGTTTTGAAGATTATCAGTGACAATGCCGGGGTTGACCTTATTCCTGCGATGGATTATGAGATCAGCCACACCAATGTCCAGCTAGGACCTGGTGGTCTCGATGCTGTGCGCAAGACTCCTCTGGAGCCACCCGCGGCAACCGAAGAGGCTATTTCCGAATTCGAAAAGGACAAGCCCCAGACTCGAGCTGTCACTGACCAGACCAGGCCGATTATTGAGTGGCACCGTGACTCCCACCCTTTTGTATGTGTTGTGATGCTGTCAGACGCCCGGCACATGATTGGAGGAGAAACCGAGCTGAAGAAAGCCGACGGATCGACTCTGAAAGTCAAAGCCCCTCAAATGGTTCGTTCAATATTTCCTGTCGAGCCTTGTTACCCAACTATTAACAGAGATAGGGTTGTGCTGTCATCCTGCAGGGTCGTTATATCACACATACTGCCGCTCCAGCCGCGAATATGCCGGAACGCGTCACAATCGTGACATCCTTCCGGCCAAGGAACCCGACTCTCTTGGACGAGACTACCAATTCCAATGTTAGGAATAAATCCCACTTGACAGAGCTTTACTTCCAGTGGACGACATATCGACTGGATGTACTGGCTCAAAGAGCACAGATTGCGGCGAAGGAATTGCGAGAGATGTATGAGAAGAATGTGAATGCGTCCGATCCAGAAGGGAAAAAAGGGCTATGTCGAGTTGAGACCGTGAACGTGAAGGCTGTTGAGGCTTGGGTGGAAGTTCAGATGATGTACATGAAGGAGACACTGCATGAAATGCGACCATTGGGTCAATAGGGGTCGTTGTTGGGATCGTGTGTAGTGTGATGTTGCAAGCCTAGTCATACCTATCCGAAGAGAAATACATCATCGTCATAACCATCATCGCTACGAAAGTTTGCATTAAATGAACTTAGCAGAGCAGACCGATTCCATCCCTTGATAATGACCTCTCGTACACGTTCGAAGTGTTTCATTTGGAAACGCTGTTCCAACGCCCTTAGTCGATCGATAATATACTCCCTCTCGGAGCCTTTTGCAGCAGTAAGCTCGGGACCAACGATGCCGATTGGCCAAAGCAGAACATTCTCAAACCTCGATCCATCTGGTAATTGAGAAATGAGGGATGTAGCATGGCAGGCTAGGTCTACCGTCTTCAACCCACACTGAGACAAAGATTGACGCCCTTGCCGGCGACGCAGGCATTGTCTTAGATACACCTTTGCCGTATCCATGTAAAGCGACTTTATAAGGGAATAGCTTTCCACGTCCATCCTGTTGGTCCTTTGATCGATATCCGGAATCTGGATGTTTTTGACAGAGGGTGCCGGGTTTGATGAAAGGCGAATACCTAGTAAAGAAAAGCTAGGAAGCCAATCAAGTCGGCCATCCCAGGCATCGATGCATGCATCGGAGACTGTCTCTATCCCGGCACTTATTTGAGCTACCAGATAGGGGTAATAGAAACGACCGTACTTGGTCGAATCATCATTCCATTGCACGGGTGGAGCTTGGATCATGCCTTCGACAAAAGGAATATTGGATATGAGTTCAGCGCTCTTCGCTGGCCGTAGGTAAAACTTCGACAGGGTGGATTTCCTTTGGGCTGTGGAGTGTAATAGATCATTGTATAAGAATAGGTGGTGAATAAACTCAAACGCTTGTCTTTGCTGATCCCCGCGCTGCATCGAAACGAGGATTCTATAATTGCCAGGGGACTCAAGACGGTCGAAGAGCACGGCTAAAAAGGCCAAATGTGGCATCCAATTCGCTTTACCATCCCCTACAAGCTTCTCGTAAAGCAGGAGGCAGATACAGCATGCTAATATTAGGAGAATATTGTTGCTATTCGACTCATCTGTTGATGATTCTCCTGGACTCGAGTTCTTCGGATCCATCAGTGATGCCGAACAGCTTAACATGTATCTACAACCTTCTAAAGCACGGTGGCGCGCCCGAAGTGTAGCCTTGGCGATGTTTGTGTCATGGTGGGCTTCAAATTGCGCTCCACTCAAAGCCAGAACCGCACTCATTACAGCATGATGCTGCGTTGCGAGGGGGAGAAGAATAGAGAGAAAGGGATTGGTTGGACCGGAGAATGTCGGATAGATACGGGAAAATCGCTGGATGTAATGTTCTAATAGAAAATACTCGTGGGTGGTCAGCCTCTCCAACGTGGGAAGGCGAATCTGAGTAATGAGCGCCGTGCCCACATGGCTATCCGATATTGGACAATATTTGCTGTCAACTTCACCTAAATCGGAAACTGCATTGTCGGATTTCAGCCTTTTGTTTGGGGCGATGCATTCTGATCTCGATCCTGGGGTTGCGTTTGGAGATGTTTTCCGTGGGCCTCGTCGCTGCATTCCTTTCCTCCTTGCATCATCCTCCCAGACGAGTTTCGTGCCTCGGTCGCAAACCAGTCCCAATCTGACGCAGCTTTTGCATGGGAAGCTTTCATCATCACATCTTTTTTTACTGGGAGATAAATAAATTAGTGCCGGGGATGAAAACCCTTAACAGGGTTGGACATGAGCATACCGATTGCGACAAGTCCAGCATCCCGACCGGCTGCGTTTTCTGTGTTGTGGATCTTCCATCGGTAGCCAAGGAAGTTTTAAACGGACGACGTGAGGAAGGAAGACGGATTCCTGCAGCAGTACTCCATTGTAATATTCATCATGCTAAGAACCCCCTGGGACCTTTCCAAGGTTCGCACCGGCACAAAGCCGACAAAGTGGAGAGGCGGACGCGATCTGTGCATCAGTAACCCGGCGGCCAATGTAACAGAAAGGGCTTGGAAATCCGGAGCTACAGTAGAGTCCCGAAGACTGCCGGTAGTCTAGGCCACTCAAATACGAGGATAATTGGGGCCGTCGGCATTGAACGATGTTTTGAGTTGGGACTCGGACTAGTCATAATATCTCCGCAGTTTAATTATTGAGCACTTGATGGAATTTTCCATACTAATTACTCCGAGTCCCGCATGGAAACCGCTACGTAGTAATACTAGCCACGGGCTACTTTTCAAGGTTCAAGTTTTTTGTCCTGAGGTCATCATTGTCCAAGTATATATCTAGCAACCTCCTCCGCCTCCGCCACCTCCCACCCCCACAACACCCATCGTGTAAACATTATCTTGACCGGCACGCACCGATCGGGTAGTTTGGCGTCGTTGTTGTTCTCGCACAGCCAGTCCTGTTAAAAGAGACAGTTGCTCGAAATTTTCGCCATAAGTGCCGTATATATCTAAGCAGCCAGGGACGAAGGCGAAGCCATCGCGGGAAAAGACGGCCATGACTTCTTGGCTCTCCTCGTCGATAAGTTTGATATTCCCATGAGGTGTGCGGTGGTTTCCTAGCGACCGTGTCCTTTTCCATGCTAAACTCCTTTTTTTACCGTGAATATGGATGTCGAAGGTATAGGACGGTGACACCAACCCCTTCTTCGCGAGGTGGATCTCATTGTCATCGTTCTCCAGTCTCACATTGCAGTTCGATGAAAAGCGCTGAAATTGAGTCAAGCCGAGAACAGCCCCATCGACATCGGTGCGATGAAGTGTCAGATCCGGCTTTTTAGGAGCATGTGGGGAGTTTTCGATGAACAATCGATCCTTGGAGCCCTCGGCATCAAGGCTCACTGCAGTGTAATGAGGGCCCCAGGATTCCGCGATGACGAATTGGCGAGTCGACATATTGTGTTAAGTCGTTCGGGTGTGCATATTATCTTATGATTGAATAATCGGAATGTGCAGGACGATCCTCTCATTTTATCTGCCGATCGAGAATGTGACGTAGGCTGGTTAGCCCCCACGGCCGACTCTGGGTCGGTGAACACCATCGCCACTGATCGCCGCCCATTAATGGCCCCCAAAATATGGCTCAAGAATGTGATTAAGCGGCTGGAGCCCTGGGGTTTTTACTTAGGGAGCATTGTCTATGACATTGGAAGAGTCAAATGGTGACACCTTTGTACTCGTTAATCATACACAGTGAGTAGTGCTAATAATATCTTCAGGTTTTAGGCATACAACCTGGGCAACTGGTCCTAGTAGTAGTAGTAGTAGTAGTAGTAGTAGTAGTAGTAGTAGTAGTAGTAGTAGTAGTAGTAGTAGTAGTTAGTACCACTAGTACTACCTCGGCTAGTAACTACTACTTAGTTACTAGTGGCGAGTGTCACCTGCCAGCAAATGGCTATATAGGTACTTACATATATTCAGCCTGAACTTGAATGGACTTTAACTTGAAGGTTGGAGACAGGAAGGGCATATCCCGACTCTGAGGGTGGAACCCCCAAAGTCCAGGCCTTAGAATAACATGCTCCTCGTAAATAGGTGATAGGAGGTTGTATCATCCCATTACGAGTCAGTTCAAGTTTCTTTATACTTCATTTGTAAAGTACTATAGTTCCTAGAAAGAATTGGCCCAGGGGATGAATTCAGTTGAAGATAACCAAGCACGTGTGAGTGGGTTATTATATGTCACCGACCACCTGGGTAGGTGACGAATGCATTTCTGAAAGATTCTCGGGTGGTAGTATTAGTACCCAGGTATATGTTCAGAGTTGAACACAGAGAACAGCGCGCCTACCAACACCCTGGGGATTAAAAAAAGTCGTCGCAAGACATCAATCTGCTACTACTAGGAGGCTTTTAACCAGTCGCGATGATCATTATGACACCGTGACCAACTTGAACAGGCTGTTTGACGGGTCCTGCGGCTGGGTATGGTATATAATGCGGGAAGTTTCGACAACCGATTATATGTGTCCTATTGTGAGGTAATCGATGTGGAGAAAGGCAAATACTAGTTAACGCTCGACCGAAGATAAGGGGGGCAGATGGATTCTTAGCTAAAAGAGGACCCGGTACAAAATTCTTCCCAAAGTCAAAAGTCAAAACTATGAAACTTTAAATAGAGAATATAATACGCTATTCAAAACATTTAAAAGTGCGAGATTGACTATCTGCCTTTATCCCAATATGCCTTGATCGCTCAGGATACGCGAGCTCTAAAGCCCTGCGACAAATTGAAGGTTCATAACGCTCAGATTAGGGATCCATGCCATATGAATCCACTAGATTGACATGTTTTCACTGATAACAATAACTGTTCAGCAGACAAATCAATAAGAACATGACAATAGTAATTTTGTTCCTATATGACTTCCCCAGAACGAGTTAAATGCAAAGATTTTAGCAATCGATGGAATAATTGTAGAGGTGCTCGGAATGCAATGTCATTTCCCATTTCTTTAACGATACATAGTTCAAAAAACCTCCGTTTGCTCCACGAGAAACTCAATTAAAATAGGTCTGACCCAAAGCTTGTTTTTTCTCAAACTTAAATTAAGTCGAGAATGAAACTTCAATAATATGTAGAAATTGTTCGTAAGTAGGGCGAAATATCCTAAAATGAGTCTTCGGCCACAATGACAACAATAGACGGGATCATTCGGGGAAAGATGAAAATGTCATGCCCAGCTATCTGTGCCATGATTTATTACTATGTAGATGAATTTGGGAAACTGACACACAGTGCCAGTGCTACTATACAGGGGCCGACCCTTGATCAAATAGATATGACCAGTTAATCGGGATGTGCATTCACGTCGGCAAAGGTAGAGGATCAACATTGCGACATCAAAACATTTGGGCTTAATACACGGAGCACACCTGGAGATCTTAACCAGGAATTGTCTGGGATATTCCAGCAGCCAGGATATGCACAACCGAGGTATACCAGGTGTCTGGTTGAGGAATGCTGTCTGGAAGATTACTACTAGTACTGACTTAGATTTACATTCCATGTTTCCCGATCTTGCATCTGAATCCATCCATTGAGTGGGTCTAGGTCAAATAGTCTGTATGTTTCTCTACTCTAATTGATTGATCTGGAAACAACTTTGGAAGTTTATTCATATGGAGATTGGCTAGGCATGAGATAATCAAAATTGCAAGAAAATGTGATTGTTTAATTTTCAAATTTCTGTTTTTGTGTTTTTTTTTTTAGATTAATTTTTTAGTTTTTTAATTCTTTTTTCCACGGGCCAAATCATTCAAAAGTTATCATGCCGGTTAAAGTGTTCTAAGACCTGAACAACTCCACACCAGATGTCGACAGTAGCCATCTACGATGCGCCTCTCTATGATATTAGGATTCAGCAGCCTGGCTGTAGCACTAGAACTTGCTGAAAGCTCGTGCTCGACAACAGTCTTGGTGACTGAAACAACGACTTCGACCGAAGTAGCCACAGCTACAGCTCCACCTGTTGGTAAATCTATTCCATCTCTGTCTAGGTCTGGGTTTATGGGCAGGAGCTTTGTACTTACTACAGCTTTGTTTAGGTCCTACAGCGCTTACTGTTGCAACCGATTACGCTGGCAAGTTTACGGAGATTGGAAAAGCCATCTCTTACGCCCAGGAGCATGCGATCCCCACAGTCACCGTGTTGGCTGGCACCTACCCAGCGGTTACCGTCTCCGCTACACCGGCAGTTGCTGTCATCGGTCAATCCAAAAGTCTAAATGAGTACTCCCAGAACAAGGTGACAATCGCAGATGGCAATTCCGCGCTGATAATAGCGGCAAGCATCGATGGGATCGAATTCAAGAATATCAACTTCGTCAACACCGGCTCAGGAAAAGCAGCGACTATCGCCGGGACCAAGAATGGTTTCTACGATTGCCAGTTCATCTCACGTAGTGGGACTGGAATTTCAACCAATCCGGGCGTTGCTGTAATCGCGAATAGCCTAATACAAGCATCAGACATAGCTATTGATGGAACAGCAACTCTGTATGTCTTCAACACAGCAATCATTCTACTCAAGAACGAAGGTCGAGTTGCAGACACCAAAGGGAGTATATCAAGTGGAACTCTTTTCAACTCCACAACTGTCTTAGATCGATGCACTGTATCTGAACAGTCCGGTAATTCTGAGGGTCAGATTTACCTTGCCGCCGCAAAGGGTCCCGGTTCGGTCGTTGTGTTTCGTAGCTCCGGCCTCGAAAACTCGATCGCCGGATCTGGGGTACACATTGATGACACAACCCAGGACGATAGAAACCTATATGCCGAATATAGCAATACTGGTCCTGGTGCATTCGCGAACAATATAGACAAACGTTCGGAGTTCGTGAGCTTGCTATCATCCTCAGACCTCGCTCCCTTCACAATTTCTGCGGTTTTCGCCAATGCGGATCCGAAAGTGGCAATATCGGACAACTATTGGATTGACACTGCTGTTCTATCGGCCATAGAAAGCGCGGACGTGGTAGCTCCTTCCACCAATCCTGGTGGCGGGACCTAATCCGATGGAAAAGGTGATGGAGATAGCGGAGACGGAGGTTCATCTGGTGGGAATGATACTGGATCTTCTGATAATAGTTCCGGAGAGGGAAACGGGAGTGATGATGGCTCTTCAAGCACTGGTTCCTCCGATTCCGCAGATGGATCCTCTGAGGATGGAGCAGGGACGGCACTTCAGCCTCCGGAGACGGCACAGGCTCCTCAGGCTCTGAAGGTGGTTCGGGCTCAGGAGACGGGTCTTCCAGTTCTGCAGGCGGATCAGGTTCGTCTGGAGATGGAGGGGGGTCTGGCACTGGCGATGGGTCTGGTGCTAGCGACGGAGATGGAGTAGGGTCTAGCGAGGGTGGTGGTGATGGGTCTGACTCTAGCTCTGGTTCTAGCTCCGGTTCTGATACTGGATATGATTCTGGTTCTGGTGATGGCGCTAGTTCTGGAGATAGCGCTGGCTTTGGAGATGGAACTGGGTCTGGAGATGGCACTAGTACTGGTGATGGTGCCGGGTCTGGAGATGGTTCAAGTGCTGGTGATGGAGATAGCACTGGTACTGAAGATGACGCTGACTCTGGAGATGGCGCTAGCTCCGGAGATGGCGCTGGCTCGGGAGATAGCACTAGTGTTGGTGATAGCGCCGGGTCTGGAGATGGAACCGGGTCTGGAGATGGCACTAGTACTGGTGATGGTGCTGGTTCAGACGATGGGAATAGTGCTGGTGATGCAGGGTCAGGGTTAGAGACATCTGGAAATGGGGGAGGATCTGGCAATGGAGGATCGGGTGACGGCTCTGATATTGCTGGTAACTCTGGGTCCAGTACATCGGGAGAGGGTGGTGCATCTGATGACGGCTCCGCTAGTGGAAGTAGCTCTGGCTCTTCCGGAAATGGGGGAGGTTCTGGAGATGGTTCTGGCTCTGACTCTGGCTCTGACTCCGGTGCAACTGAAAATGAAGGAGGGTCCGGTGGCTCTGGAGATGACACTGGCGAAGGTGTTGGTTCCACTGGAAATGGAGGAGGATCTGGGAATGGAAGTGATTCGGGGGACTCATCCTCTCTTTCGGGTGATGGGTCTGGGTCCGCCGACACTTCGTCCGGAGGCAGCTCGGGGGGTGGCACCGCGGGAGGGTTGTCTGGTGGCTCAGGAGATGATTCCTCAGGGAGTGGCTCTTCCGGGAGTACCTCTGGCGGAGATGGTGCGGGGGATGGGGGCAGTTCCGCAGGCAATGGCTCCTCCGGCAGTGGGGATGCCAATGGAGGTGGAGGAGATGGTGATGGCTCTGGTGACAGTTCAGCAGCGACTTCAGCGAGTTCAGCCGCTACCTCATCAGGGAGTGGCTCCTCTGCGGACAATTCGGATTCCTCTGGTTCTGGTTCTGAAGGTGATGGATCTTCTGGAGATGGGGGCGGGAATGGTAGCGGTGATGGGTCATCCAGCGGCGAGACTTCCTCTGGGGGTGGGGGCGGCGATTCTACAAGCGGGAGTGGGGGTGGGAGTGAGTCTTCTGGTAATGGTGATGATGGAGGTTCATCTGACGATGGTGAGAGTACAGGAGGCGCTTCCTTAGGAGATGAGTCTGCTAGCAGCGGTGGAAATGGAGATGGAGGTGGGAATGGAGGCGAATCTTCAATAGCAGATAATGGTGGGACAGGCAGCGATTCCTCCAGTAATAATGGAGGTTCATCTTCTGGCGGAGAAGGAGGTGGTAGTACCAGTGGCAGTGGGGATGAGGGAAGCGGGGGTGGAGATGGGAATGGCTCCTCAGGTGATGGAAGTGGCAGTGGAACCGGTGAAGCTGGGGGAGGCTCTTCTGGGGCCGAGACCGGTACTGAAAGTTCGTCTGGGGACAGTGATGGCGGTGGATCCTCTGGCGATGGCACCAGCTCTGGAGATGGAGGTGAAGGTGGAGGAAATAGTGGATCCTCTGGAGATGATTCCACTGGAACAGGAGGAAACGGAGATGACACTGGCGCCGTATCTTCAGGCAATGACGATGGTAGTGGAGATGGAGAAAGTGATAGCTCTTTGGGAGACGGGAATGGCTCATCTGATGATGGCGCCGCTGGCGATGATGCCAATGCTGGCGGAAGCGATGATGGCCTTTCTGGGGAAGGTGGTACTAATGGTGACGGCAATGGAAGTGATAATAGTTCCTCAGGAACTGGAGACGGATCCTCAGGAGGCGACACTGGCAACAACGGTGACAGTGGAGGAGGAAATGGATCCAATGGAGATGGCAATGGCAATGGAAGCGGAGGAGATGGCACTTCTGTCGATAACAATGGATCGTCGGGGGTTGGAAGCTCATCCGGCTCTGGGACTGGAGGGAGTGGTGCTGCAACTTCTTCTGGAGCTGACAATGGCTCTGGTTCTGCAGATGGCTCGTCTGGTGGTGGTGGTGATGGGAGCGCTAGTAGCTCTGGAACCGGTTCTGGAGATGGAAATGAATCTGGAAATGACAGTGGATCTGGAAATGGGAGTGGGTCATCCAGCTCTGGCAGCGACTCCTCTGGTGGTGGTGACGCTGGGGATAGCAACAGCAGTGGAGGAGATGGCGGTGGAAGTGACAGCGGTGCTGATGGCTCCACAGGACCTACAGGCGGTGGAAATAGCAGCAGCTCCGGGGATGGAAATGGGACCGGTGATAGTAGTGATGGAAGCACCACTGGGTCATCTACTGGTTCTGGAGATGAGACTGAAGGTGAGGGCACTGGAAGTGATTCTAACGATGATGCAACCTCCACCGGGACATCCACCGGCTTTGGAAATGGCAGTGGCACTGCAGATGACAATGGCAACAGTGATAGCGATGATGGAAGCAATACTGGGTCTAGCGATGGCAGTGGAAGCAGCTCTGGAGATGGGAATGGATCCTCTGGTGACGGGGGAGATGGTGGCGCCTCTATCTCGGGCAATGGCTCTGGCTCTGGAGATAGCTCATCTGGTTCGAACACTGACACTGGATCATCTGGTGATGGAGGAAGTGAAAGTGGAGATGACAGCGGTAGCGGCGGCTCCGCGACGGGCAATCCCCAACCGTCAACAACTTTGGTCGTCTCAACCTCACCCTCCTCCGGTCAGTTTAACAACGTCACTGCTGCTCTTTCTGCCCTACCGGAACATGGGGACTATACTATCCTCATCCAAGCGGGTGATTATGAGGAGCAAATCTCTATCACCCGATCCGGGCAGACTACCCTGCGGGGAGAATCCGATTTCCTCAACGACTACACGCAAAACAAAGTCACCATAAAAGTCTCAAGTACCTCATCTAGTCCGGACACAGATGGAGACTCGGCCGTCATCAAAGTCAAAACATCCGGCGCAAAGGGCGTTGTGGCTTTGTACAACATTGACTTTTCCAATACCGCCTCTCCATTGGCCCTGAAAGATGCCCTCGCCGCTGATTTTCATGGACAAGTAGCTGCTTATGGTTGTTCATTCATCAGCCATCAACATACCCTTCTTGCCAATGAAGGTACCCAAGTGTTGTCCAATTGTTACGTCGAAGGCTCCGCCGACTTCATCTGGGGTTTCTCGACCGCCTTTATTCACCAGTCATCCATCGCCGTAAACGCACCTGGTGGCTCCATTGTGGCACAAGGGAGAGCTTCAGACAGTGCAAAGGGAGGGTTTGTCATGGATACATCTAGGGTGATCGAGACGAGTTCTTCCAGCGATAATGCTCTTTCCTACGACAGAAACAACATTGGAACAACCTACCTCGGGAGACCTTATTCAGAGTACAGTCGCGTGGTCTACATGAATTCATTCTTGGACAAACATATTAACCCTGGTGTATGGACGGCTTGGTCACAGAGCCGCCATCGGACCACTCATGTCCTTTTTGGCGAGTACGGTAACTCTGGCCCGGGCAGTTCAGGTCACCGCGCACCGTTTGCGACCCAATTGAGCAAGAATGAGGCTGAGAAATACAACTTGTCAAATTGGATCGCTGATACATCCTGGATTGACATGAAAGCCTATACATACGCTCCTTCGTATGATCTGCCGGGACTGGCAGTCTCTAGTACAAGTCCGGCTTCCCCCCAGAACGCTGGCTATGATGGAACCAAGCCACCCTCTGGTGCATATGTGGTCTCCCAGTCAAAGGTGCCCGGTATGAAGACTTATGCCAGTATTCAAAGCGCATTGGACAGTTTGACTGCTTTGCCTACTGGAACTTCCACGATATTCATATTCCCCGGACGTACGAGGAGAGAATTACAGCGAGTCAATCTGGTACCGTGATACTGATGGGATATTCAGAATCCCCAGGGCAGTATTCCAAAAACCAAGTGACAATACTCTATCGGGACACGGCTTCTGGCGACGCCAACAGCAACACCGCCACTGCATCTTTCAAAGAAGCAAAAGTGCGAGCGATCAACATCAACTTTTCCAACATTAATGGCAAATCCGAGAAGAAAGCGTCACTCGTTCTGGCAGTTGCACCCTCTAGCCACGTTGGTTTGTATGGTTGCCAAGTTGTTGGTAACCGGAATGCGCTCCTGATCAATGGGTTGCTCTTCGCTTCAAGTAGTTTGATTGAAGGAAATGTAGACATGATCTGGGGGGGGAGAATCGGGATATTTCCTCAAATCTCACATTACACCCAACCAAGGTGATTTGAGCCTTACTGCCGACCGGCGAGGCACTCGGACTAAACGTGGAGGGTTTGTCTTCGACCAATGCACCATTTCCCCTGCGGACCATTCGAAATCCATATCTGGAATATTCCTTGGAAGACCTGAGAACTCATATGCGCGCGTAGCATATGTTCTTTCATATCTGAGCGCAATTGTTGAGGAAGGAGGATGGGAAAGGGGCTCGATTGCCAGTCCTCGGACGGCTCATGTGCTTTTTGGGGAATACAAGAACAGTGGACCAGGGTCCGACACTTCTCAGCGTGTCAATTTCGCGACACAATTGGATGATTCTTCTGCTTCTGAGTTCGAAATAGCCAAATTCTTCTCAGGAATCACTTGGATTGATTTCAATCATGTTTTTGGCACTCCTTTCGTTGCCGGTCAGTCTGGTAATACACCGTCACCTCCATCATCGATCCCTTATCCCGATCCCGATCCCGAGACTATAGAGACAAAGACCAGCACAAGAACTTCTGTTACGACTCATTCAGAGACCTCTACAACTACGACTACTGCAGCCGACGAGACCTCGACAACTACATCAACCAAAACCCCTCCTGTGACAGGCGCTGGTTCTCCCCATATTATCACAACAATACCAACCATCTCAACGACCATTCTCATTACCGTTCCAATATACACCTCAACAAAGACGTTGACGATCACGATTGACACTGAACCTACAAAGGCCGCTGCCTCCGCTATGCTAGCAGCTTCTCTCGATAAACCAGTTGTGAAGACTATGCATGCAAATTATGTCACGAAAACAGTTAAAGCTACACGCTCAGTAACTCACACTAAGACCGCGTCATCGTCCATGATGACAGCAATTACCACCGTCACCGATGCTCACACAGTTCGACCTCCTCTCTTAACAACCACTCTGACTATTACAATGAATGTCAATCCTGGGCGAACAACGACGCTGACAGGCAGGCCTGTGGTCATTACCTCGACCAGCACATTTTCGGTAACATCCACGGCTCAGTCCACCACAACATTGCGTTGTATCAAATCGAAGAAGGAAAAGCGCACTGGTTTTGGCCCCCTCGCAGCTCCCACGGTCACTACAACGGTCATTGAGCCGTCGACAGTCACGATGTTCGTGGCAAATTCCACCGTTACAGTTGAGGGCTCCACTTCATATTTAACTGCAGTGGTGACCAAAACACAACCAGGCCATGGATCCGCCGCATCAGCCGCGACCGCGACGGCAACCATCACTGTAACGAAGACCTTCACTAAGACTGTATCTTCGGGAGTTTCATTCATGACGATAACCAGGACTATGTCGACACCAAAGACCGAAACTGGCACAGTGAAAACAAAAACTTCCACGACTACAATGGCTGGATCCACTAAAACCGTCACCAACATCAAGACTGTCACTTTGAATAGCACAACCAAGCTCTCCCCTTCAACGACTACTATAACAAAGACATTGAAAGCGAAGTCAACGGTGATTCTTCCACGACTTACGTCAACGACCATTGAGACCAGTACCCACGACGACGCAGCTTTCGTGACGGTGACTGCTCGTCCCACGTCTACGAAAACGGAAACGGTCAAGACTATCACAACCACCATCGAGACTGTGACAAAAACACCCAAAGGGGCTTCCACTTGTGGCTCTTCCTGAAAGCCCCAATGAAGATATATAATGAGGATGGGCTCCTAGACCTTTGTCAACCTATTGAGACGACAGACAAAATTTTCTAGTTTTTCTAGTTTTTCTATTTTCTTTTTCATTTCTTGTATGACCAAGCCCAATACCGAGCCTAGACTGTTTGTGCGCTTTTTATTTTGTTTTTCTGTTTTCTATTTTTCTTTTCTTTCTTTATTCTATTTTATCTTCTTTATCACCCCTATTCGAAAGCATGTAACTAATTGTGGAACGCCCAACATGGCACTGTGCCCACGAAGCTGCTCATCATATCTTTTATTTATCAATGCAAATTTTCACACGATCGCGGTACAGCATGAGCGTCCCTTCTTCCTCGCTCTGTGAAGCATTCAGTATGGTCCCTTAGGGTAAGTACCTTCTGCGATGGGTGACCGAGGGTTCACTCCCTGCTGCCTTGAATGTTGCGTCGTCGGGCGATCTGGACCCCGTCTGTGTGGCTGGCCCCCAATGCAAAAGATGGAATTATAAATAGATAAGTCGATGCTTGTAATATCGGGCTAAGAGTCAAATCTTGCTAGAACGATATGAACGAGGCCGCAAAAGTCCAGCAAAATGGTTGTATCGGCCGGGGTTGTCTCGGAATCGGCTTAAACTGCCCAGTTGGCTCGCATTCCTCAACTGTTATTCTACCCATATTTTATTGGAGGAAGGTCGAATGGATTCCTATGTACTTATAACTGATGATTTTTGCTAACATCCATGTGAATACCGAATAGCAAACTCGTATCCCAGTAGTTAGTACCCCACCAGTCGCTAACCACATCCACATCCACACAATCCTGAACGTGAGCTATGCTGCAGTGCTAATACATCGATCATGCATTATAGGCGATATCGCGTGACCAGAAACAAGACCGAGAACGTTTATTATTGGCTGGTGCGCTGCTAACTTGACTAGCCCCCACGAATTGGCTAAGGATCGGCAGGATCGCCATGATAAAGTACAACACAGACAAAGGTCACCTTGGTTGAGACCTGTGGGGATTCGCTATTTTTCACCAGGCTGGGCTCTGATCGCGATGAGTTGAATACTTGGAAAGAAATCTATAAGTACGAGCCTGTCCACGGCGCACCCGTTCCCAGTCCACTGTAATAAGTCAACCTAGCAAAAAGTATACCAACTTGAAGGTCGACACGTCATTATGCATCGTTTCATATTTGCAATAGCATATATTTGCTTTTTGATCTCAAGAGGCTATGCCGTGACTGTTCCGCCACCATCCCAAGACTCCTGGTATCGTCAGCCTAGTGACATCGGGCGCTACTCACCGGGAGATGTGATCCGATCTCGTCATGTGGCGCCACAGCTGGAATCATTCCTCTCATTCCCGGCCAATGTTTCGGTGAAGAGCGTCACACAATATCTTTTTCGGACAACTGATAACCTGAGAACACCCGTTGCTTCCGTCGCAACACTGATTGAGCCTTTCCGCGCTGATTCTTCCAAACTTCTTGGTTACCAAACATTCTATGATAGCGCTTCGGTCGATTGCAGTCCGTCATATACGCTTCAAGCTAAGAATGATGATCCCGAATTCGCTATGCGGAATCTCAATCTGTCCGTGGACATAGCCTTTGTCAGTCTAGTGTTGGTTTTGATACTTTTTTTGCCATGGCTAATAAGTCATAGATGGCTTCGGCGTTGAATCTAGGTTGGTGGGTTCTGACCACGGATTATGAAGGTCTCAATGCAGAATACACTGTGGGAATTCAATCAGGGAATGCTGTTTTGGATTCGGTGCGAGCAGTGTTGCGGTACGGGCCAGAGGAGGGACTGTCAGAGAATCCGCGGTATGCTCTCTGGGGTTATTCCGGGGGCGCACTAGCTAGCTCTTGGGCCGCAGAGGTTCAACCCGCATATGCACCGGAACTTGATTTCGCTGGAGTGGCCTTGGGAGGACTGACACCTAACGTTAGCTCCGTGTTTAACACAATCCACAATGGTGTTTACGCGGGATTAGCTTTCCGCGGCATCTATGGAATGGCGAAGGCGTATCCCAATCTTACTCAGTGGATGGAGCAAGAACTGCTGCCCTTGAAGTCTGAAGATTTTTTTGCGATCGCGGGAGGGTGCAATGGCGATGGGACGAGTCAAGACCTTTATAGCTTTTTCAAAAATGGAGAAGCTTCATTCAAAAAGGCGATACCCCAAGCTGTTTTCAGATGGTCTGGTCAAATGGGAATCCACGGTACTCCAACGGCACCATTGTTCATTTATAAAGCCACCAGTGACGAGATCAGTCCCGTAGCGGACACAGAATTTTTGGTGAAACAATATTGCTCCAGAGGTGTTGACGTTGAGTATCATCGAGATTTAGTGGGGAATCACGAAACGGAAGCAATTACAGGATCGGCGAGTGCTTTAGAATGGCTTTATGATCGGTTGGATGGAAATGCAGTTGTAGAAGGGTGTCACACGGAAGATGTGGTATTAACCTCCCTTCACGTCAGAACAGCTGCCCTTCTTGGCGAGGTGATCTTCTCCATCTTGCAGTCGACGGTCGGCGGGATGCTATAAGCGAAATTATTCTCCTAGGGATTAGAAAGAATGTGAATGGCAAGGATGGGTGAGTTGGTGGCAATGTGATAGCGGTTTACAAATCTGCCCAGGTTTACTGGCCAGTAGTGGGTGCAACTTGAGCAACCTTTGACGCTAAGGAGGAAAAGCCATTCGTCAGTACATAAAGGGGTTCGAGACCAAGGTTGGCGACCGCCATGGCTATAATCGTTATAATTGTGACGGAGACTTTGACCATCTACTCCCATCGAAGCTGAAGAGCTTCAAACTCGCATTGGACGCGGGCTTTGTCTGCATGCGGGCTCCCTGAGAACGTTTCATTATCTGCGCACTACCTTTGTGGTCCCCGACTACACTTGATGACCAACCCCGACTATGATATTTAGCGGTCTCGCTGGGTTCAGGACATAGATGGTTGGCTTAAGCCGCTGACGTAGAAAAGTTCAATGAGTTCCGAGCTTTCCACGGTGCTTCTAAGATCATATACGCTGAACACCTTGAGCATTTCACCACGTGTAGCTGCTGTTACCGCTTGAGAAGGATATACGTGTCATAGGAGTCGTGGAATCCCCACGGTCGCAGATCTTGCGAGTTTTGATCCACCAAATCAAAGCCGTATTTTTGATACAGTGCCAACGCTTTGCTGCCAATTGCGACCAGAAAGATCGATAAGTTCAATTTCTTGGCCTGCTTGATGCCTGATTCCAACAACAGGCTTGCAATCCCTTTCCTCTGATGATCAGGGTGTATAGCAAGATAATCTAGTTCTACATATCGCGTCAGCTCTCTCTGTTGGAACTTGGGACAAGTATTTTTTCCAGAAGCTCACTAATATACGGCTCGGTCGGACTGTTCCTCTCCATCATTTGCTCAAGGTGGTCATCAAACCCGGGCATGTCATCTCTTATGGCCCAACTGGCTTCAGCGAACTGATTTTCGAAGACCCTCTTGTTATCCTCGCTGACATCTGGTGTCTGTGCTTCGAGCCAGCAGGGCGCACACACCTCAGGCAGAATCCATCGCGCATACCCAATGATCTGTCCTGTTCCATGATCGATGACCTTTTGGTGTCTCCGCACCAGCCTCCCTGTTAACAAATTGTGCGGCATTCTCAATGCGCTATTTTTAATGATAGTATCCAGCGAAGTGTCTATCCAAAGCATTCGCCACCAGGTCATTTCCCAAAATGCCGTCATATTGTTTCTAGCGAGAAGTTCTGTATCCTCGACGGTGCAATTATGAATAAGGACATGGGTTGCCATTGTGCTGCAGAGATCCTCCAAGGAAGGGGTTTGCCACCTGGCATAGGTATCGGATCTGCGGGTTAGTATTATGTAGTATTTCGATTCTAGGGACACGTGTCACCTTAAGATAATTTTTCATCCACCTCAGGCTCCAAGACATCTGCGGGGTTGATCGACGGCCGGTGGAGACAAATTGAATCTGCATGTGTACGTGGCTACATATTGGAACCCCGAATATCTCCGTTATCCAAGAACCTCAAATTGTGATTGATTAGAAGCACGTTAACAAGTTGAGGTGAAGATACCCTAGTCAACTTAGATTAATCATTCAAGTTCCAATACATCCTTATTTTCATATTTTCGTGCTTCAGTGAAAATAAGCAAGATTTCTTTGTTCTTTTGAAGGTGAGTGACCCCCGCCTCATCCACCAAGCTTTGAAACCCTTTCGATTACATAAAGGTACGGGGTATCACGCAAGTTAGATTCTTCACCATCAACTACACTGAATGACTGACGATCCCAGTTTCACCTTTCCCTCCAGGATGATCGCCGATCGCACTTTCTGCTGGTACGAGTTTGGGTCCATACCGTCCAATCTGATACCAAGGCAACGCGAAAAGTTCATCAGTACTTTCAAGTGAGCGGCCCCGAAGCTCGGGAACAAAAAACCAAACCCATATCAATCCAGCAAAGCTCACGGCCGCGCTGAATGCAAAAAACCCATAACTCTGCAGCACGAGCAGCATGTCCGGGACAGCCTTCGTATTGCCAAATTGATTAAGGAAATGCAAGCACATAACCAGAGAGCTCCCCAGGGCTCGGAGTCTTAGTTGCCAGATATCAGCGTTCACAAGGTATTGGAATGAATTCCAGCCCATTGTCCAACCTATACCAGAGAGGTATATCATAGCAATCGAGCCGACAGCCCCGCGGCGTTGCGATGTGGTAAGTTGTCCAGATTCGAGAGATTCTGAGCCAGTCAACCCCAGAAAGATGGCAATGTACGTGAGACTGAGAGTTTGCAGAGTTATCCCCATGTACAATGAGCGTCGCCGGCCAACGAAGTCAATCAAAAAGAACGCACAGATATATGCAGAGACCAGCTTCACAACGCCGAGGATACAGCTGGCAAATAGCTTCTCGGATTGTCCAGATTTTCCGAGAACGCCAAAGAATTCTGTCGCGTAGATGGTGATCGAGTTTGCGCCAGACCATTGGCCCAATACTTGGGACATGAAGCCTAGCATGAGACGATATCTGTTTGCAGGCACCAAAAGAAGCTCACGGATCTTACCCCAGCGCGAAACACCATGTGTCGCTTCCTGTTCAGACTCAAGCTGACGACTAATTCCGGCTATCTCAACTTCAACGTATGGATGACTACTGTCTAGCATCCGAAGGTTAGCTAACGCCACTTTAGCATCTTCATACCGACCCTTAATCATATGGTATCTTGGTGTTTCGGGAATAGTAAAAGATAGGACAAGGAATAGACTGAGACCACATTAGCAGATGACTCAATTCACGTAATATCCGGGTGCATCATACCTCGCAAATCCGATATGCGCAAACTGAGGCGCTCTCCATTGCCAGCCTGATTCATTGGAGAGATTAACGGAAGCTCGCCAGTTACTGAAGAATGCAATTGTAGCACCCAGATAAACGGACCCGGCAAATATGTTTGTGAGCATACCACGCACAGACTTTGGGGCAATTTCGGCGATGTACATAGGCCCGACAACTGTAGTCATGCCAATCCCCAGGCCTGCGATAAATCTACCCGCGAGGACCTGACCAAGGCTACCGTGGCTGGCCACAACAATGATGAAGCCGACAAGCCACAGAAAGCTCAGAATGCGAAGTGTGTGTACACGACCGAGTTTGTCACAAATTAGGAAGGCAAGCAAAGCACCAACTATGCTGCCAAGTTGCACCATGCTAGTGATGTTTGATAGAGTACTGGCTTGATGGTTTTGAGATCCATCCTCGAGATGAAACTCATCCTTGAAGCTTTGTAAGCTGACCATGCCGCCAACAAGCCCTTCATCAAGACCACGGCTGGCACCAAGGAAACCTGTTTTGCTGGTAAGAAAGTTGGTTCCAACGAGGTAGGCGGGGCATGTCATACCGAAAACAGCAGCACTCCAGAAAAGCCTGCGGTTCAAAGCCTGATGAGGCGTCTCTTGTAGTCCTTGCGGCTTCAATGATCTAAGCCCCATCACGAACACTGAAGTATATATCTATTAGGACTATGTGACCGGGAGAAGAAGAAGCTGACTGGGGAATACGAAGGGAGCCTTTCGCCTTTTGTACTGCCATCTATGGTGCAGGGGAACTGGTTTATCAATAGTCACCATTCCCCGTCTTCATTGATGGGGAAACCCAGGGATATGCTCAAGTGGGGCTTGTGTATACAACTGGGGCAACCATAATGAGGGGAAATCTAACGTCCCACACATTAGTGTCGCTTAGAAGCAAGCCAAGGAATGACTTCGGTCAACTTCCGAATCCGGGGTTTGGCCTCGAGGCCCTCCCCTGGGCAGGTGAAACTAATTTTCAAAGTCAAGTACTAGGAGTATCTCAAAAAGATGAAAAACAGGTCGGAATTTGCACGTACATATTTCAGACCGGGGTACAAATTGATGAAGTATCCTAATTCAGCGGTTGGAATTAGGTCACGTATATCATGTAATTTGATCTAGTGTCAACCATGGGATTACATTTTGAACCTAAATGGAACCAACTTGGAATAAAGTATCACAAGACCTCACTTATTCTACTCTGCTTCGTTTGCAATGCAATTAGATACTAGTATAATTTAAGAAGCAAGTTGATAATATATTGAAGGCAATATGTTTCAAAGGGTTTCCATGGCTGGTGTAATTAGAACTGTGTGTGAGGCTCGGAGCGTATATTCTGGGCCAAAGCTTGAACAAGGCCATGCAGGAAGGAGCCATGGTACTTTTATGCTACTTAAGAGAGACGAAATCTACAATCATTAAATGGGAAATGGCGGGATTGACAGGGACAATAGGCTGAGTAGCTGGATATGGTAACTATGCGAACAGATGGACATTCCGCTCCGAGGCTGCCTTTGTTTGCCTCATCTCCATAGTAGTGCGAGTCTTCGTGTTATAAAAAAGGATGCTTGAATCTTTAAGACTAACACGGTGGCGACAAATACTACCTATTCAGCTGAGCTAAGAACTTGCTTTGCCTTGTAAAATCGAACGTTATTCTTTTTCCACATCAATGCCACGGCAAATAACTGGGCAACTGAGATTGAACCAGCAAGCCTCATTTGCGTGTTGTAAGCCATTGCGTAAACATCCCGAACATGGGTTTGAACGTCTGGTGACAGCGACAAGATCGATTCGGTTGTTTCGTACAAGGCAGCTAGTTCTGAAGGAAGCAAAGTGGATGAAAGTCGGCTCTGAATGTAGTGGTTAAGAATTGAGGCTGAAGCAGCGACACCCAGAACACCACCAAGGGTTCTAAACTGTATACCGATTCCAACTGCCGCTGAATGATCATCCCGATCAACCACAAGCGGTGCCGCCATGTAGAAGGCGGCTACACTTAAGCCAACCCCTAGTCCGGCCAGAACGAGGTATCCGAATTGGCCAAGCCAGAGATCAGTGACCGGTTCCACACAAGAATAGGGAAAAAGACCCGACACTTGACAGGCTACACCAGCAAGTATTATGTAGCAGAAGGGAATCGATAATCTCCCCGCAAGGATGGAGCAGGCTATAATGCCGATCGGACAGCTGACCGAGAATGAAAGCAATTTAACGCCTGCTCCGATCGGGGAACTTCCGTTGACGATCTGGAATCTTTGTGGAACATTAATTATGCAAACAAATAAAGGCAAGCCTGTTGTGAAAAATCCTCTAATCGTTTCGTGTTAGTTCAGATCAGGACTAGACGAAACAATAATCGAGAGTAACACATACAACGCAACTCCCATGAACACACGATTGCGTGCTAGCCACAATGGGAACATCGGGATTATCCCGATATCATGGCGGCAGATAAACCACTCCCAATAAATGAAGGCAATACAAGCAACGCCTGATATGACGAAGAACGCGATGACTAGCCCAGAGCCCCATACATACTCGGAGTTTCCCTCCTGAAGGGCAGCGATGATGAATGAGCAGGAGATCAAAGTCAAAAACGAGCCCAAAATATCCACACGACAGAAGAAGGATTTTCCAGCCAGCCAGAACTGTGACTCAAGACCGGGGGCATGATCTGGGCTGGCGTGCGGGAAGTGAGTGGGAAGAGCAAATGAGATGAAAACCCAGGATACGATACCCGCGGGAACACTATTATGATTAGACGGTTTTAAGGTCCCTTGGGATAGTCATACATACTTATAGAGAAACACCCAGCGCCAACTGCCATTATTGGCAATAGCACCACCCAGCAGTGGACCAAGGACAAGGCCCAATGACGAGATGCCACCAGCCAGTGAACTGACCTTGTCGAAGTGCTGATAAGGCACAATTCGAACAAACGAGAAAAGCGTCAAAGAGTAGACGCCGGCACCTCCGAGTCCTTGAAAAGCTCGGAAAATGATACTTGATATGGAAAGACTTAGTTGAGGGGATCTTCCGGATTCAAGAGTAACTTACAGTTGATTGAGTGTCTGAGATGCTGCACAGCCGGCGGAGAAAACAACAAAAAGAAAGAGAGATGCGAGTACGGCAGTTTTGACGCCTAATATGGTACTGCAATTCGACCAAACTATCAGGAATCCTGCTCATAAATGTGTCAGTATCAGGAAGGCAGTAATGCCGAAATTGGGTTATGATTGTGCTGCAAACCTGTATATGTGAGCAGATAAGCTGTGATGATCCAGCTGCCTTGATTCGAATTCCCAAGATTATTGGTAATCGTGACAAGTGACGTGCTAACGATGGTTGCTTCAAGGCAAGTGAGGAAAAGAGCCAATCCGAGACTGAAGGGGGGTATGAATTAATTTGGATCAGGAGAAACTATGCTGGTATGGATTTACTTACCCTATTGCACCAATATATAGGCGAACCCCGTGCAATGTACTATCCCATTCAACAGGGGATTTGGGTTCTTCGGCATTCATATCGGAGGATACGACAAGATCCAGCGGGGGAAAGGGGATGACGGTGTGCTTTTCGCAGAGTGCGGGTGACAATAAAGCAGACCGCGTTGGTAGGTAGCATATATCTGGCTTGTCAGTTACGACGTAGATGACGATTTATGTAGCTATGTCGGATATTCCTACTAATGCATTTGGTGTAAATTACAGTATCAATTTCGGTACTAATTCCGCTTCGTCAAATTATTGGAGCTTGCATATAGTCCTTGCAGGCTGTTCCCTCTCTAGTCGATATGATAGATCGCCTCGCTCGCTAACTATCAGACGGGCGGGTGCGTGAAACTTCCTTTGTCCCCCGATTGCGCTAGACCAAGTTAGCTTGACCATCGCACACTAGCATCTCACGCTAGCGTTTCTCGTCGATCACACGATCGGCGTGACGCGTAGCCGCAGATTGCGATTTAAAAACTTTATCGGAAACATCTAACAAGCATGGGAGCGTCCAAGAAACGTGATGCGGCTAGAGGACAAGCCAGGACTTGCAGTCAAAATATGTTACAGTATTTAAAGAATCCCCACGCGATCTTGGAATTTGTGGATTTCTCCAGCTGCCTGGCGCTGGACCCGGCGGTCTCCGCCTTCTTTGTATGGGAAAATCATGATGCTAGCGTAATATGCAGTGGCAACCTCGAGCGGGTCATTGACGTGGCCTTGTTAGCGGATAAGAAAGAACAAAGACTAAGAAACTGAGTCCTGCGAGGGGTTGACGAGGGGCTCCCCGGGTATCTCTATCGCTAGTGCTCTTGATAGAGGGGATGGCGTACCAAAATGCTCAAAGCCTGCAACTATACGCCTCGGGACTGCCTCGCATGTGGATACTCAAATATGAGTTCACTCTGTGTTAACGTATTCATGCCTAATCCAGTACTCCCGCGAACGTGAATGTAACCCTTAGGTGACTGAAAATCAGGATTTGGAACGACTCGCAAAAACGCTAAGAGAATAAGGAGGTCTTGAGGAGATATCTGACGCAGGAACTTGTTAGTATCGTCGAATAGTATAACTACCAAGGGTACATATGAGGCCTATGACGTTTCCTGTCCTCCACTACTGATCTTTTTAGTTTCTAGCACAATGCATACAGGTCTGCATAGCTATTCACGCATGTCTCTCCCTGGCGACTTGCGTTTTTGATTCCCACGAAAAGTCTAACTGATCTATCCTCTGGGGTATGCGATCGTTTGTGCCCTTCGTTTTATCTTCAATAGCATCAGAAATTATCCAGGTAGTGGCTGAAAACCCCCCGAGTCTTGAGACTTCGTGGAAAGTATTGGAGGCAAGGCTGAACCCGGAAGTTCCTTTCAATATTGGTATCTTTTTATTTTGGATATGACAAGTAGTCACGAACGCAAAATAGAGAACCGCCTTCTTTCGGCTTTCCATTCGGTGGACTGGATTTTCGGGAATTGGTGCTCTGGAGAAGCGGGCCAAGCCAATGAGAATCCATGGCCAATAGGTCGGCGCCTTATAAGGGTCCCTCCCTAGCATAGACTCAGGTATTACAGGTCGAGTTGAAAGTTTACACTACCAAAAGTGGGCTTCGTATGGGTCTTCAAGCTAGTGTTTGTTTGTGAGTACTAGGCAGGGCCATCCCAGCTAGGGGCCGTATCGGTTTCGACAAAATTTACCGATGGTTGAGCAACCGGCCCATTCCAAAGGTCTCAATTCCTGCAGCATGAATGTATATAAGCATGTCTCGCCATCCCTCAAAAATTCGATAGAAACCAATCTTACCTTCATATCACATACACTTCTTTCATATAAATCTCCTATATTAAGGTGCCCTCGAGAGATAAAACAATGTCTTTGCACGCCATCGACAGGAATGACTCAAGCAAGCCCGCAACGAGTGAAATTGGATCTAAGAATTTTGATAGAACCTCAACGAAGAAACCAAACCCTGCGACAGATTGTGGTGAGCCCACCATGAATGGAATATTATCCCAGGGGGTTATAAGTCCTGTTCCTATTGCAATATGTGGAATGTCCGTTCGCCTCCCTGGAGGAATCCATGCACCTCAAGATTTATGGGAGTTTCTTCTCTCCAAGGGTGATGCGCGTGGACCTGTTCCGAAGTCAAGATACAATGCATCTGCCTACTTTTCTGAAACCACAAAACCCGGCAATGTCAAAACCCAATATGGTTACTTTCTTGACGAGAGCATTGATCTTTCCACGGTCGACACTTCCTTCTTCCATATGGGAAAGGCCGAGGTTGAGAGAACAGATCCTCATCAGCGTCAAATGTTAGAAGTCGCCAGGGAGTGTATTGAAGATGCCGGTGAAACAAAGTGGAAAGGTCGACCAATTGGCTGTTACATGGGCAGCTTTGGGGAGGATTGGACGGAGATGTTTGCAAAGGAAAATCAGCAGTATGGTCTGCACCGAGTCAGCGGCTATGGTGATTTTGTTTTAGCCAACCGAGTTTCGTATGAAATGGACTTGACTGGGCCAAGGTTAGTTAACACTTGTCTGATCCTTTTACCTGGAAATCAATAATGACACGAAACTAGCATGGTTATCCGTACAGCCTGCTCATCATCGCTTGTAGCACTACACGAGGCGTGCGTGGCAATCGGGAGAGGTGATTGCGAATCCGCGGTAGTTGGGGGCGCCAACTTGATACTTGGGCCGGGTATGACAGCCGCCATGTCCGAACAAGGTGTTTTGTCACCAGATGGGTCTTGTAACACATTTTCCGCCAACGCCAATGGCTATGCTAGAGGAGAGGCCATTTCAGCAGTATTCATCAAACCGCTTGCCGCTGCTATTCAAGATGGAAACCCAATTCGAGCCGTTATTCGAGGCACTGCTTCCAACAGCGATGGGAAAGGGAGCGGTGGCATGCAAGCCCCAAATGATGTCGCCCAGGAAGAAATGATCAGGCGAGCATATAAGCTGGCAGGCATCACAGATTATTCTCGGACAGCATTTGTCGAATGCCATGGAACAGGAACTTCAATTGGCGACCCGACAGAAGCGAGAGCAGTCGGGCGTGTCTTCGGCCCACACGGAGGCATCCAGATAGGATCTGTTAAACCTAATCTCGGACATTCCGAAGGTGCTTCTGGTCTGACATCCGTGATTAAGTCGGTCTTAGCACTTGAAAACAGGGTTATCCCCCCGAACATCAAGTTCAGCGAGCCAAATCCTGACATACCGTGGGATGAGTGCAAGCTCTCCGTCCCCACAGAGCCAACACCGTGGCCGAAGTCTCGGGGCGAGCGTATTAGCATCAATTCTTTCGGAATTGGAGGCACCAATGCACATATTATTCTTGACTCCGCGAAAAGCGTTGGCATTGCAGCTGCTCCAGACAGACCTCTGACGTCACCAGAACTACTTGTTCTCTCCGGCACCAATGTTGACGCGGTGAAGAGGAGCATTGCACTCTACAAGGACTACGTGCTCAAAAACCCTTCCAGGATACACGATCTAGCATTTACATTGGCTACGAGACGAGAACATCTATCACATCGGGCATACGCAGTGGTAAATCTATTCGGCGGCATGACAGCATCCGTGCCATTCAAATCTTCCAAATCCCCTCGAATCGCGATGATATTTACCGGCCAAGGGGCCCAGTGGCCTGAAATGGGCCGCTGTCTCATTTTGGACCACAAATTTCCAAGATTCCGCAAGACAATACAGTCGCTCGACCGTCATCTTGAAGCCATATCCCCGAGCCTATCATGGTCCATCGAGGAAGAATTGCAGAAGCCTGCGAAACATAGCAGACTTCATTCATCTGAGCTATCTCAACCTATCTGCACTGCAATTCAAATTGCTCTTGTTGACACCCTGGCATCCCTCGATATCCATGCCTCAGCTGTTGTTGGTCACTCCAGTGGCGAGATTGCTGCGGCATATGCCGCTGGGGCCCTGGAGGCAAATGAGGCGATGGAGATAGCATTCTACCGCGGGCAGGTTACCCTAATGCAGAACAAGTCTGGGTCGATGGCAGCGGTGGGCATGGGATATACTGGTATACAAGATCATCTACGACCAGGTGTCACTGTTGCCTGTCAGAATTCTCCCAGAAGCATCACCATCTCCGGAGATACGGACGCAGTCGAGGAAACAATTTCCAACATCAAAAACGCGCACCCTGACATTTTGGTAAGGAAGTTGAAAGTTAATAAGGCATACCACTCTCCACACATGGCTGAGATAGGCCCTTCCTACCATAGTCTCATCAAAAGACTATCCTGCGCCCCCCCGAAGAAGCTGTTTTTTAGCAGCGTCGAGAGCGGAAAGCTTATCCAGGACGCGACGCTCGGCCCCAAATACTGGCAGAGAAATCTCGAGTCTCCAGTTCTCTTTCACGCGGCCGTGTCATCCCTACTAAAACATGAAGTCTCCGAGAATATAATCCTTCTTGAGGTCGGCCCACACGCGGCTCTCGAGGGTCCCTTACGACAGATCCAAGCAGAAAGTTTAAATACTTCAGCCTATGCTTCGTCCCTCCTTCGAGGCCAGAATGACGTGGAAAGTCTTTTGGCGATGATTGGCAAGGTTCATTCTCTTGGCTATTCTGTTCATCTGGAAGAGACAGTGTCTGAAGGCCTCACCCTTTCTGATCTCCCGAGGTATCCTTGGGACCATAGCCAGAGCTTTTGGTATGAGTCAAGGCTAACTAAGGAATGGAGACATCGGCCGTACAAGCACCATGACCTTCTCGGGGTTAGAGTTGCAGAAAGTACTGAATTTGATGTCCTTTTCCGCAATATTTTTCATCTTGAAAATGCACCATGGATGCGTGACCACAAGGTAGGCGGTGACATTGTGTTCCCATTTGCGGGCTATGCAGAGATGATAGGAGAGGCACTATCCCAACTGTCCGGTGTCCCTGATGCATTTCGCTTGCGTCATGTTATCATTAGTACCGCTCTTGTTCTGAAAGAAAATCATCCAACGGAGATAATGACAGCCATTCGTCGTCACCGTTTGACCCACAATCTTGACAGTGAATGGTGGGAATTTACCATTTCTTCTTATAATGGATCCACATGGACAAAACATTGTTTTGGAGAAGCTCGATCGCAAGCCGAAGAGTTAATCAGCGGCGAGGAACCAAAGTGCCTAGTACGGAAAGTCACAACTCGCCGATGCTATGCTGCCATGGCAAGGGCTGGACTCAACTACGGTCCCTCGTTCCAACGGCTAGATCATGTCCGCGCCGACACAGCTAGCCAGTTGGCCACGTCGAAGGTTGCGAGCAGGCAAACGGATAGCATATATTATCGACTACACCCATCAATCATTGATGCCTCATTGCAGTTACTCAGCGTCGCGGCTACGAAAGGCTACGTGAATGCCACAGGAAAAATGATGGTTCCAACAAGCATCGAGGACATATGCATCTTCCGTTGTCATCAAGATCTTCAGATCCGAGCATGTGCAAATTACTCACCAAGCGGCTGCATATTGGGTTCTGGGGATTGTGTGACCAGTGAAGGAAAGGTTGTACTCCGGGCCTCTGGTATAAAACTATCTTTTGTTGATGACAGTGCCACGGAGGAAATCCCAAGTGGCTTCTCTCGGGCAAGATGGGCACCACATCTCGACTTTCTCGATGTGCAGTCATTGATAAAGCCATCGGCAGACCACAGCATGCAGATTCGCACTTTGACAGAGCTATCGCATATTTGCATGATTTACACAAAACGTGTACTCGTGAACCTTGAAAGCCCTCTTTGTCATTTGAAAAAGTATCGTTCGTGGATCGCTCGCCAACTTGAATTCTCTGATCTTCAGCATCTCGATTGTCTAGATAATGATTCAATTACACAAAGAGTCCGACAGATTGTTGCCGAGCTATCAGAAACAAGTGTCAAAAGTCCTGCCATTGCTATTCAAAAAATCTTTGATCACATTGAGAAGATCTTTATTGGAGCTGTTGATGGTCTCGACTTGCTTGTTTCTGGAAACACATTGGTCGATCTTTATGCACTAGTAGATCAATGCGACGAATCACAATTCTTTGAACATCTCATCCACACAAGGCCAAATCTCCGTGTCCTTGAGATCGGCGCTGGAACGGGGGGATCCACTGCTAATATACTCAAGCTCCTGACCCCTGGAAATCGAAGGCATTACTCGAAGTATACTTTCACTGACATCTCGGCCGGCTTCCTCTCGGCCGCCAAAGAGCGTTTTGGAATGTATGAAAGCATTGAGTACGCAACTCTGGATATCAGCCAAGATCCCTATGATCAAGGGTTCGAAAATTCCGAGTACGACCTCATCGTCGCAACCAACGTGATACATGCAACCCCATATCTCAATGAAGCCTTGCGCAACGTGCGAACATTGCTTGCCCCAAATGGCCGTTTACTGTTGCACGAACTCACCCCAAGCTCGAAATGGGTCAACTATATATGGGGAATACTACCTGGCTGGTGGTATGGGGAGGGTGATTCCCGAGTTCATGAGCCCTATGTTGATCTCAAGCGATGGGAATCGGAACTACAGGCCGCCGGTTTCCGTTCCCCTGATGCAGCAGTTCTCGACTCCCCGGAACCGTATCAAGTTGGATCGACAATCATAGCAAGACCAGCGCTCGACGTCACTCCAATCAGACGTGTCACCCTCCTCACGCTGTCTAGATCGAAGAATGTTGATCTCCTAACACAAGGTCTCGAGCATAGGGGGTATACTGTTTACCCTCGTGACCTGTATGAAATGCCTCTACCCCCTGGGCAAGATGTTATTGCGATGATTGATGATGAAGCCCCATTCTTTGAAGATCTTGACGACGAGAGATTTGGTGGATTCAAATCTTTGATTGAAAACCTGCAGGAGCGCGGACTTCTTTGGGTCACTGCCCTCTCACAAATTCAATGTCGGGACCCGAAGTTTGCCCAAATTAACGGGACTGCGAGGTCTTTACGGTCAGAAATGTTGATCGATTTGGCTACATGTGAGGTCGACGACGTCTCTCAATCGATCGGCAAGATTATTGATGTTTTCGAGAGCTTCCAAGTTCGACACGAAGAACAGTTTCTTCACCCCGAGTTTGAGTACGCAATCTTGAGAAATACTGTTCATGTTGGGCGTTATCATTCTTTTCAAGCACAGGAGGAGATCCTGGACTCAAGCGTTAGCGACAGTATATGTCTTCAGACGAGTAAAGTCGGTCGTCTGTCCGCGCTGCACTGGGCCGACCAAGAAATAGATGCACCGAAGGCCAGGGAAGTGGAAATTGACATCCACGCGACTGGTCTGAATTTCAGAGTAAGTTCTCCCTGGTAGGAATTAGACTGGAAGATATCCATTGCTGATGCGGATTATAGGACGTTTTAGGTGCCATGGGAATTATTGAAACCCAAGAAAATGGATTTGGCCTTGAGGCCTCTGGGACAGTTCGTCGCGTTGGTCGAGAAGTTCAAGATCTTAGGCCTGGCGACCGCGTGATGGTTCTTTCTTCTTGTTCATTTGGGACCAGGGTTGTCGTTCCGGAGGACGTCTGTGAAAGGATTCCTGGGGGTCTCAGCTTCGAGGATGCCGCCACTATACCTTGTGTGTTTGCCACAGCTCTCTACTCCATATTCGATGTCGGCAATTTGCAAAAGGGCCAGGTATACGCAACGAGCAATCCATGTATATGAATGGAGCTAACACTAACGATATCTCTTTAGTCTATTCTTATACACAGCGCATGTGGTGGGGTTGGAATTGCCGCCATTCAACTGGCGCAGATGATTGGTGCAGAAATATTCACCACAGTCGGAAGCGACGAGAAGGTGAAGTTTCTAATGCAAAATTTCGGATTGCCACGCAACAGGATTTTTACTTCTCGCGATACATCTTTTGTGAATGACATCATGCGAGAGACAAATGCCGACGGAGTCGATTTAGCGCTCAACTCGCTGTCAGGAGAATTGTTGCATGCAACATGGACTTGCATTGCAGAATTCGGGAAGATGATCGAGATAAGCAAAAGAGACTTAATGGGGTCCGGAAAGCTTGACATGAGGCCATTTCTTGCCAATAGAAGCTATTGCTGCGTTGACCTCGACCAAATTTGTCGAAAGCGATCGAGAATCACAAAGAGGTGAGTCTGCATACCTGTTAATCAAACCGTGCACAATAATTGACAAAAGTGAAAGACTACTCAGAGAGATCGTCCATCTAGTCAAAGAACGTTACATCCACCCAATAAGGCCCATCAAAAAGTTTCCTGCCAATGCGATACTCGATGCGTTCCGCTACATGCAGCAAGGTGTGCATCTAGGCAAGATCGTTGTATCAATCCGAGACAAGAAGGGTGAACTACTTCTTGTTGATGGTATCCAGCGCCGGAGGACGGGTACTCAATTTGATGAATCTGGAGCATTTCTACTTGTTGGCGGCCTTGGAGGCCTAGGTCGCTCTGTATCAACGTGGATGATGGAGCGAGGAGCACGGCACTTTATCTACCTTTCTCCAACAGCCGGGACAAAGAAAGACCATCATGACTTTGGTGAAGAGCTAATGACCATGGGATGTCGAGTTTCATTCATTCAAGGCAGTGTTTCGAATCTCAAGGACGTTATTAAAGCCGTTGCGCGGGCTGAAGGCCGGCTGAAAGGTATATTGCAAATGTCCATGGCGCTTGGCAATCAAACCTTTCCTCGGATGACACTACACGAATGGAATACGGCTGTTGATCCGAAAGTTCGAGGGACTTGGAACTTGCATCACGCTTCCGTTTCTGTTCAAGCAGAACTTGACTTCTTCGTTCTATTCAGCTCGATCTCCGGAATATGTGGGCAGCCTGGTCAGACCAATTATGCCGGTGCAAACACCTTCTTGGATGCTTTTGCACAATACCGGTTAAGCCTTGGACTACCAGCTTGTGCAATAGAAATCGGTGCCGTGGAAGAGGTCGGCTTTCTCGCAGAGCACGAGGATGTCAAGGAAAAGCTTCAGGCCGCGGGTGCCCTGCCTGCTCCAATCTCAGAATCGGAACTTCTTCTTGGCTTAGAACTGGCGATGAAATCCAAAACTTCAAGGTCTCCAAATACAGCCAACAACATTTGCCTTGGGCTTCGAACCAATATACCTCTTCATGATCCCAACAATCGCTTGATCTGGAGGAAGGATGTTCGAATGGCCATATTCCATAATGCCGGTGCCTATGACGTATCGTCGGCGGGCTTCGTCAATGACGGTCTGAAATTATTTATCGTGGCAGCTAAATCAGACCCAGCTCTTCTAGTTGAGAGTCAGTCGGCTCATTTTCTTGCTTCTGAGATCGGAAAAAAGGTCTTCAGTCTCCTGCTGAAGCCGGAAGAAGATCTAGTAACCTGGTGCTCCCTTTCCGAGTTGGGCATGGATTCTCTTGTGGCAATAGAAGTCAGACAATGGTGGAAAACGATTTTCGAGTTTGATATCAGTGTATTGGAGATGCTGGGGATGGGAACGCTCGATGCCCTTGGCGACCATGCCGCTAAAGGAATGCTTCATTTGTTCCACAACATAGGAAGATGAATCGTTTCGATCAAATTTATAACTAGCTCATTACTTTTAGTGGCTACTATTCCAATCTCTTGAAACAATTGCAACACTTCATCGTAAAATAGGGCAAGTACGGTACTACTATCCAAACTTCGCTCTGGACCAGACCTGAATACTGTCAGAGGCACTTGCAGGTAGTTAATTGCATAATGGGGATACCAATATCTCAAGAATAAGTGATTCAGAATATTATCCTGTATAGTATTGTATTTGAGCAGAACCTTGAATAAGAGGACCTTTGTAAGCTTTAGCGTATTTATTTGTACCATTTGAGGCTCCTCTCTGTTTTAGTAATTAAATTACAGAGTTAACCCGTACTATTGATTCGGCATACATCAGCACACACTGTTTTCCGCCCATTAGATTTAAATTCCAGCGCATGGTGATGACTTTCAGGAGGTCATGGCTTAGCTGAAAGCTGCAGAAGGCCCGCAGCTGAGATATCAGCCTACTCGTTCTATACATAACATCACTTTCTATAGTCCTGGGCATCTGATAATACCTAAAGACTGTAGAAATACGGCATAGGAAATTGTTTTCCCCCTAAATAATCGGGATCCTAGCAGCCGTATCACTCAAGCGCTTTGCGCAAGGAGATGGCCGAGTTTCTCGTGAGTCTACCATGTTTGGCATAATGATTGTCAAGATCTGTATATCTACTTCAAGTTGCATTAGGTACTCACTCAAATTCTTCCAGGTGGGAAACTACTATAGTTCAATCAGAAGGTAATAGTTATACCTGTACCATCAGCCCCTGAAAGGACAAATTTCATTCTTTAGAACTTCTACTTTTGAAAATACATCTCATATGGCCAATTCTAAGAGTGAATACGCAAAAAGCACATAACAACAGCTCTGAAAAATTGATATACCCTCATATTGGTGAGTTGTCGAGATGACGTCATTTTCCTTGCTCCAGTATATCCGCACTAGTTAACTAAGTCTAGTTCTTCAAGTTGAACCTCTATGGTATCGACTTAGAATTCGGCCGGATGTGCACCGTGCTACTTCCGCGGAAGAAGTGGGATTCAAACCTTCTACCCATGTCTTATCTCAATTCGTGTTGCACGGACTTGACCTCATGAGTGGTTGGATCCAATTCCGCCGCAGCCACCTCCAGTAAGTTAATCTCACTGGGAGTGTTCTGGGTATAGCGAGAGTTGAACTTTAGCACGTGCTTGATAGCATTGAAATGCCTCACACTCAAAGCTAGAGGCTCGGAACTGATAAACCAGGCCACATTTTCAGTGCACGGCGGGGTGGTGAGAGAGCCGGAGTACTGGTAGATCGGGTAGCTTTCGAGCTGCCCGGCGAGATGACCGAACCTTAGGCGACCAACTCTAACAGACATGCCGGGTGAGGCGATTTTATGAACTTGGGACAGTATATTCTCAACAAGAACATCTCCCGACCCATCTTCGGTGAGTGCAAATATAAAGCCAACGACAGCGATGCGGCCCCCTAATAACATGATCAGCCAAGTCGTCTACCACGAGAGAGTATTGACGAAGGTCAATGGGAAAAGAAATACCGCTATCGGATGCTTACCAGGATCTTTGAAGACAAAGTGGACTTCCAGAGGATAGGACTCCTCATCAATACGATGCTCACTAGGAGTATAGAAGTGGAATTTATTTAGTGCGTAACGACCGGTCGGGGTAAACAGGCGTCCTTCAGATAGAGTAATCTCAACAGTAGAGCCCAAGTTCTTAAAGTGGGCGATATCGATAAGTGGAATTTGGATTCCGATACCTCCAGCTACAGAATGTATGTTGGAGTCGATGTTTATTGGCGATTGGTATCGACCTGATGCACACAGGGCGTTATGTTTCATGTCCAAATCAAACCAATTCAACGGACCGCCAAGACAAGTATAGTTGAAATCGGGGCCATGACCCAAACTCACGCTACTTAATTCATCATGACCATCATCAATGTACGATGCTTTAGCCATTATCAGCAGAGAAAACACACAAGTAAAAAGTCTCATCATGTTGCCTTTGGCAGTCGTGTGGATAGATTGGCTCTTGTGTTATCGGAGACCGCAGCAGGGAACCGGGTTCTTATATGCAGCTACAATCACTCTCATAAGATAATGATCACCAAACCTATTTTTGAGTAAAGCAAGGGGAAGAGGTTGGTAGCGATTTGAACTAAAGTAACCTGAATCAACTTGTATAAAGCTAGGGTGCAATAAGAACTCGTGTATTCCTGTTACACGGCTGTAGACAGTGGCAAGGGCTTTCCAGGGTTAAGTAATACTTTTAGCTAACACTTCGAGCCTTTCTCTACCGCTAAATTTTGAGTTAAACTCACATCATTAATACCAAAGACTTCATGTTCTGAATAAATACTGTGACAGGGTTCGGAGTATACAATACCTCAGGCATCTAACATTGATCCAAGGCCAAATCTCTTTTAAATTACTTACATATCTCTATCTACTTAACATTCAATTGGTTCCCTCAGTACTAGGAGGTACGGAAATCCTTTATCCCGTCAGTTTTGGGCAGTCAATGTGCCACTGTATTACAATTTCCAACAATCTGCCACTTTTGGCGTCTGCTGAGAGCCATTGTCAAAAATTGCGGCTAACTATCCACTCCGGATACGAAAGAACTTTCCTGATTGGTGGAGCCAGGATAAGTTCGTGAGGACGTCATCTGCCTTGCTGGGAGTGTCACGACTGGTGGAAAACCAGCGGAAGGTTCAGTGTCCGCCATTTCGTCCATTTTTAGCCTTTCCGGGCTCACAGGGCGTTGAGCTACGTGACTATACGCGCGTCCCGCCCGCGCGGTTTTCCCTGTCACTTTACTTTTTCTGATATGAATCACACCTCCCAGCATCTGCTTGATCCTGTACGCTTCTTTCCGCAGATGAATCTTCTGCAGTCTGATTTGACGGAAAATAAGACTTGTTCTCGATTCCTTCTGTGTATTACGTCACCGATAATCAGATAGCCTGAGAATATCATGCTCTCCTCGAAGGAAAATATATCGGAGTTCCTGGCTTTTGCTCCAGGCTGTAATGAGGGCATCGCCTTGAAGTTCCTAGAGGTATCTGTGGCCACGTGCCTAATGGGCGGAATGCTTTGTTCACTAACATATTCCAAAGAAGGCAAACACTCTCGACGAGGCTGTGGGCCAGTATTATGACAATCCTGACAAATACTCACACGCCTCAACTAAGCAGGATGAAAATTCTCAAGCGCGTTACAACATGCCACTTCCGCCAATGACTACAAATGGCACCGCACGACGAGCTCATATGAACGTCTTGACTGAAGCGGAAAATATTCGAGCCCGAGATGAGCAACAAATGCAGAACTTGCTGCAAACAGCTCAACTAAACTTTGGCATTTACAATCCGGAGATTGAGCCAGAGCACGATGCAAACCTATATTGTGTGTGTGAAATTCACCAATATAAGAGAAGAAAAATGAATCGCCTACATGTCCACGACATTTGGAGCAAAGCTGTCATGTATCCAGGAGAAAAGGTCTATCACGATTGCTACCAGAACCCCATTTTTAGCAACAATCCTTATACTTATTCTGTTACATCGCCCTACGCATTCACTCGATCATCCTTTTTTGCGATTCCGAGACCTGATCCATACTACCACGCTAGGTCAGTACATCAGATTATAGAGTTAAATGCGGCTTTGAATGTAAACGCACAGGCTTTGATAAACTCCCAAGAACCGAAGGTCAATATCTGGAGGGCCGAGGAGCTAGAAACGACAATGTCAAATCTAACAATCCCTGGCCCCTCGAAATTGTCTGGTTTGAAGAAGGCGCTTTCAATCAAATCATCTGAGGAGAGGACTGCTATCAAGTTAAGAAAGCAGGCTGACTATGCATTTGATTTGCGTAGCAGGATACTTGAGGAAGAGCATGGGAGGTGGTCCGACGAAAATGATCGACAAATTGTGACTACTTACCAGGCAAAGGTCGGCATGACATCAAAGATAGCAAATCTTCGGAACTATTACCCTATTCAGTATTCCCATCTACTACGAGCTGGTTACTTCGAACCAATCCCAGTCGCTTGGGCTAATTCGGCTTCAAATCCATTGAAGTTTACTATCGACGCCCCTGCTGGATGGAGAGGCATCACTCCAAGCTGGAGAGGATTTGAGGACACGGCTGAAGAACGCCTATATTGGGTCTTGAACCATAGAGAGGGGGAAGGGGTCAGAATGAAACCGGACATGATCTCTGCGCTAAACATGGCTCGCGCCAGAATGGCCTCTGCTGTTGAACCTCCTCCAGCATACTACTCTGCCAATGACACTTGCCATATCCAACATACCTCGAAGGGATACTCAAGGCAGGTTATGCCGGCCGCTTTTCGACCATTTGACACTCCTGAAATACCTACCGACCACACGATGATTTTGTTGGATGTTTCTGGCTCTATGGATTTCGAGCCAATGCGACCGAACTATATCCAATATCTCATAACTGGCTATTCACCGTCTACTCAGCCAAAGAATAAAGGTTAGTAATTTCAATTTATTTCGATACAAGAATAGCTCCAAGCAGTGGACATCAAAATATGGCAGGAATATTCACTCAACTACCTATCTTTGAATATGTTGAGGGAACAAAAAGTCGTGCGGAGCTGAGGGTAGATACCCCTCAATGGGGTGGGATGGCTGTATGACCATGCCCTACTGCCAGCATATGCATACTTAATCGATTCATTTTTACCCATAGCTAATTCTATATCATAGATGTTGCAAAGGCTATAATCTGCAGATTTACAGACGCAATGTCTAATCACCATCAAAACTGGCAAGGGTATCAGCTCACAACCTTTTCAACTTACGCCCACTGTATCGGTGTTGTTAATCACTGGAATGTCGATCAAATGTGGAGGGGTATTCGTTTTGGGGGAGGCACAAGAGTGATGACTGGTTGGCAGAAAGTTAAGGAGCTACATTTTCAAAAACATTCAGAATCGGCCACATATCACCCTGTTTTCGGATGGCAGGCTGGGCCGCAAACTCCTATTCTACGACTACTGCTTTTACTTGACGGCGAGGCAACCGATATGGATGAGTTTGAACTGGACCTTCTCAGTTTGTCTTGGGTTCACGTCACCATTTTCTTGATTGGTGTCGATGGGTGTCCTCATCACCATCGCCATGCCAACGAATTACAGCGAATCAGCGACGTCAATCATCATGTGTCTTTTGTTGATGCGCAAGGCAATGCCCCAGAGAGATTTATTACTCATGAACTTCTTAAGCGTCATCTAGGCTATGAAGTTTCTATGTCGGAGTTTGAAGAATTAGAGCAACCGCCGCCATATTCTTTCTAGGCTTAATATATAAACAGTATAACTAGTAAGATCTGGAATTAATATATTGCTCTATCTTAACAACCAGAAGTCCTATAGGCTTTTAAATATATTTATCTGATATGTTGTAGCCACGGCTGTATTTTAATATAGGGTTTACCTTTGTAACAAACTGGTGTTGTTTAGACCTGTGCAAAGGGCGCCCGTAGGGGCCAGAATTTCTTTTACCTGCCTTGGATAGAGGTACCCTTAGGCCTTTTAGGGTATACCCTATTGGGTATGTCCATTGCTAAACCCGCCCATTCATGGGCATGCCCTAACTGCCCATAACCCACCCATAAGTGGGGCAAATAGTAGTATTATATGATATGTATAAAATATTTTTAGAGATTATTGATCAACGTATAAGTTATTTAGTAGTTAGCTATAATTAAGGTAGTTGGTTTAAAACAATAGTCCGAATAAGCTAGTAATATATAAAAAAATTATAAAAATTATGTAATGTCTTGGCTAAATGGGTTTAGGCATGCCCAGGGCACAGGTCTACCTCCTTCAATCTTCAAATTGACCGCAAATATCCAAGTCTGATACAGTCATTCTCAAAATTAGCTTGACCGATACATACTCAATCACTCTTTTCTGGCCCCACTGCCAAGACAATAACGTAGATCACGAATTGAGGGCCACCGTAAAATGATGTTTGTATAGTGCCTGATAAATTTACGCAATGTGTAAGAGAATCGGGTAGAAGGTCTTTGGAAGGAGACACTGGGTCTCCGCAAAACAATCCGTAGGTGACTTCAGTTTTCTAAAACTCCTTCTCCCTCCGTGTGCACATTCTCATTGCCAATTGTGTCTTTTCATTTTCTGTCTTGCATTCCACGTAAATCTGTTCTCCGATCGTTTGTAACTCCCGGGCAGCCATCGCTTGGTCTGAGCTTGTCGTATTATCAGAAAAAGAAAAGTTTTTCCTATAGAGTCGTGCACAATTTCGTGGCTTTTCCCAACCAATTATCAAGACTGGAATGAATCTATCCGCTTAGTGCTAACTTGGCAATGTACGCAGTAAAGACCCCTTTAACCCCCGATCAACGCCGGTCGCGCTATGCTCCATGGGCCAGGCCCGCCGCGACCGAAGCCGCCGCGACCGAAGCCGCCGCGACCGAACTAAGCGCGCCCCAAAAACCGGATCTCGATGTCTTGTCCACTGAAGACCATACTAAATGTCTTACCACTTTTTTCAATATTAAATAGAGCGACATGAGCGGCATTCTACCTCTTTATTAAATTGTCCGTTGAGCTCCTGCTAATAATGTTGAGTAAAATGCTGTGTAGTCACTCAGCGCCGGATCTAGGTAGGCCCTTTTTCGTCTTCCCAAACTCCAAGTGCCGAAAGACATGACCAAAACAAATGTCTAAGTTATATCCATTGATACATGTCACAAGCTAACTCCTCAGAGTCTTCAAAATATTGGCCATATATCCTACTTTCTCGGCCTCGGGGCATACCGTGATTATGGGACCCTCCAGCTTCCTGATAGCATCGCCAGAAGTATGTTGATATCACCCTTGAATGAGCGGTTCTGTCCAGGATTGCTTCAGGCTCTGAACCTTTTATCTTGTCAGTTGGCCAGCCATAATTGTTTTCTAGTGCTTGCAAAATATCCAAAAATCCATCACGCGTTCGGTCATTGAAGGAGCATCACCATATAGAGCGATGACCCAGTAGGTTTGCAGGTAAGTCAGCCAGGCTTAGATAACGGCGATGTCAACTGTATTGGACTGCATCGCACAAAATTTCGGTCCTTTCCAAGATGATCTTACCTTTTTGGTACCTAGCATTTGTCTGCTTCTGTCTATATTGAGTGTGAAGTACAAGTACGACACATCTTCCTACTATCCGTTCCCTAACATGCGATACAGGATCCCTTTGGGACTGCGAAAAGCCCGTGGCCGGTCTATTACTTGTATTTGCAAGGGAACGTCCTTTGTGTATTTGCCATGGCAGTTTAAGTCACCTTTCTACAATAATATGTTTGTCGTATCACCCAAGCGTTGAGATTTACGGTAGAATTTGATCTACGTTTTGATGTCATCCTTTACTCAAATGTATTCAGATAGAAGATTCTCAATTTTTTTTAGTTTCCCCGCCGTGATTGCCGGCTGTAATACCTTCTCGATCTGTAGTCTCAAGCATAACCTTGGAGGCCAGACCCACACTTCGCATTTTCGGGGCTCTAAACGAGCTTCAATCTGTAGCACTGATTAGCTCTTATTTCCTTGTAGTACCCATATTTCCGTGTCCATTTCATTCCCAGGAAATTAATTTAGGTATTGCCATACGCAAAGCAGAGAGAAAGTTGTTCGACTGAAACATAAGCGACGGAATAACTCACTCAGTATATGAATTGATCACTCTGCCTCTCTGGCTTATCTCCAAGGCTTACCAATCAAAGCCCATCGCCCAATATACAATGAAGAGTTTATGTACATCCTTGGAATCAGGTTAGGTGATAATTATTTCACATGCTCAATCCGAACCACTCATACTACAGGTCTCAATAATGAGGGGCTCGTAGGTGAAGAGGGGTGGGCGCCAAATAACTGTGAGGCTTGGTTTGAGCTTGGCTCAACGGGCCAGATATATTGGTTTCCAACTAATGCTTTGAGAATCGAGGATTTGTAGGATTCAAGACAAAAGGGCGTGTGAGACTGCTACTCTATGTACACTGTACACAAAAAGCCCGCTTATCTCCTTTCTGTCGTCAAATATTGACTATGAAGTGCGGACATTCGATTTACCCTTATTATACAGCTTATACTGAAGCTATCTCTCAATCCTTAAGCTTCTGAAAGCTTAAAAATTACAGTAGATGATGATGATGATATTTCATTTACCCTGACCCCTTACCTCAACGGTGATATGCAGGCTACCTCAACTATATATATCCCTGTGCGTATATGTAGATTGTCCCACTTCCTGACAACAAACTTAGAGCCTCGTCACGGCCTGCCGTGGCCTAGTTGCCGCTTCCATTGTTAGGCTGCCCTCGTGGCGCGCGACTACGAAACCGTTGTGACGCCTCGGCGAAGTCCAATACGGCCTGGACCGTCTTTGCCCTCGAGGCGGTGTCTGGTTTACCTTTCTCACCTTATTTTGAGCCTCCCAGCAGACTCAACACGCTGTTGAACGCGTCGCCCACTTTATGCCTCAATTCCCTTTATAGATCCTTAATAGCTGGGCAATCCACCAGGACGTAGGTCACTGTCTCTTGCGCGCCGCATACGTACTGATTATCTTCGCAGAAGCCGAAGAGCTTAGCGTAGGTAGATAGCTAATTGTGGCCTGTGCGTAGCTGAGTCAACAAGTATGCCTGGCCCCTGGCCAGGTTTCCGTACAACTTCCTGGTGTATGCGGACGGCAGAGTGTTGTCGATCTTCCTTAGATAGCCGCCTTTACTAGATGATCTCTACTCCCCTTCCCATTGGGTTATAATATTGCTACGAATGAACGCCTTCTCTCTTGTGAGCAACGGCCGGAACGAGTGTGATTTGCCTGGGCTGGCAGTATCTTTCGCCAGTCGATCTGCAGCGTCATTGCCTAGGTTATGACAATGCCCTGGCATCCACTGTAGGCGCAATGCAACTCTTGCGGCTTAGACCTCAGTAGCAGCGTAGTAGATTGCGTAAACAATCCGTTATCCTGACTTCTTTTTTACGGTCTGAATGGCTTATAACGCTGACTTGCTGTCGCAGAGAATTATCGCGGTTGTCTCTCGGTCTTCTGCCCCTTTCGCTGGTATACTATTTTAAAGATTATATTGATCGCATAAAAGACGCCAATCAGCTCCGCCACGTAAACTGACCGGCGGTCCATCGGTCCCACCTGGACTTGCTGTAATTCGACTACCTCCATGTTATTGTCTATTGTTACAGCGGCTGCTCCCAGCTGGCCATCGCAACCGGACGTATCCGAGTAGACGACTATATCCGATGTTGATCGGATGGCGTCAGCGCATTGTCTCGCTGCCTCTCGGTCTAAGCCAACCTCGACATCTGTAAAAGGGTCGAGGCGCCACGAGGGTAGTGGTCGTAGGTCAATTGTTTCCATTTCATTCAATCTCTCGAGGCTCATAGTCTTCAGTGCTTCCGCTAAGGGGAAGCGTACATATAATCCGGTGTTGTTTCTACAGCGTTAGGCTCGTGTGAGTATGTGCCAGATCGGGTGGTCCCGAGGTAGTGTGTGAAGACTGGCGATGGTGCGCTGCGCTCGGTGTCGAAGGCGAAGATGGGTGGGGAGAATATGTGCCTGCGAGGATAATGTTTGTGGACCTCTGATTATCCTGAGTCATGTTTGAGATTGTGTTTTGAATTGCGCTGAGTGCTGGCTCTGCTGATGCGTTATATGGAGCGTACAGCGGGACGGGTGGAATGTACACCGAGAAGATAAGGGTCTCGGTATTAGCTGTCCAGATCTTGATGGCAGTAATGTTAGGGTGGTCGTATAAGACCTGTCGGTGTGAAGAGGTCGATAGGTTCTGGTTTATATAGATTAGGCTGCAGAACCAGACTGCGTCTGTTTCTACGGTGGGCCGGTAGAGACGCTAAGCACTATAGTTGATATAGGTTTGATAGGACGTGATGGACGGTTCCTGGATTAGGAGTATATCTAAATCCTGGCTTTGGTAGTCATTGATAAGGGCCTCTATCCTTGGGCCTGATTTCATTATATTTAACTGTAGTATTCGTAGGTTTGTCTCTAACATTGACGAGGGTTGAAAGTTGCGGGGCTCGGGCATTGTCGGTCGCCTATAGCATATTCACTACTGTAGTTGAGGTATCGGGCTCTTACCCCTGAGGGGCATCGTTGCCGCTTATATTGGCCCGCGCAATAGCTACAGCGTAGAGTTTCTTTGTACGACTACGCAAGGTAGCCGAACCGTTGATACCGAAAGTATCTTTTCTTCTTGATTTCTTGGCGTTCTATGCTGCCGATGTACCGTTCGCCGACTAGAAGACCA